ATGCAACTATGACGGTAAAATTTGAGGCTTGAGATTTGAGTTTAGCTATTGCACCACGGCTGCACGCATTTCCACACAAAGACACAATAATTCAGCGCTCTATCCAAATACAATTACACCAAAAATTGCGTTGCCATGGATACGTCATCGCTCGTGCTCCACCAGCCAATCAGCTGTCAGAAAAAAACAATCCCGATACAAAATGGCTGCCACACACCGGTTAGTGCTGTACTGTACTAGTAACGAATTGGCCACGTTCTGTTTTACGTGACACAAACCCCTTAATAATTGGCTGTGTCGGGTGGTGGTGGCGGTTTTAACGACACCACATTTATATTTACGCGATATAACCCCCCCCCCCCAAAAAAAAAACCCCTGTATTATGGCTGCCTGTAAAACATAGCCGCCGTGACTCCATCATCCGGGCTGTGGCTGAGGTAAAGTTGCTGCTGCACGCATTTCCACACAAAACACAATAATTCAGTGCCCCCCGCCACGTACATTTACGGTACACGCAAAAAAATTGCGTTGCCATGGATACGTCATCGCTCGTGCTACACCAGCCAATCGGCTGTCAGAAAAACACAATTCCGATACAAAATGGCTGCCACACACCGGTTAGTGTGGTACTCGTAACGAATTGGCCACGTTCTGTTTACGTGACAAAACCCTTACTAATTGGCTGTGTTGGGTGGTGGTTGCGGATTTAACATCACATTTATATTTACGCGATCTAACCCACCCCCCCCCCCAAAAAAAAACCCCTGTATTATGGCTGGCGTTGTTGCATCGAGCCCCTGTACAAACATAGCCGCCGTGACTTCAACATCCGAGCTGTGGCTGAGGTAAAGTTGAAATTGTACAATTGCTGTATGTTATTTTAAGGGTTTGTTTTTTAAAGTTATGGGGCCAGTTTGTAGGTGGGCGAGCCAATGGCGGAGACGATGGGACGAAGGGCTGTACATTCTTTGTGTTTTTGGTAAGCCATATAATCTGGGTGGTTTATGAAGCAGAAGGTTTTAAGGAAAACCGTTTCGTCTGTTCAATTAATGAATACGATGGTACTTTGCAAGCCTACTGGCTATCAACAAAGTTTCGTTCATGAAGCCATCCACATATATAGACACAATTTCAACCAAGAAGATGGTTATAAGCTCAGTAATCATTGGAAAGATGTCATCAACCACTTTGGGTCGTGACTTGATTTGTGTTTTCTTGTCAACCTCCACCGTCAGCGGTGTGTGGAGCAAGGTGCAATGATTGCCTGGTGGCCCTTGAATTATTGTAGACACATTGCTGGTGTCGGCGTTTTCTCTTTACATTAACATTAGCTGCCCTGCCCATACACACTTGGGCTACGCACATCCCTAAACCTTTATAAACAGTTTGCCTTTAGAGGCTAACCCCCCCCCCCCCCACTTTTGCCTGATGAAGGCCGCTTGTGTCGTGATCGAAACGTCGTGGTTTTTATTTTTTTGTATTTTTTTATCACCGGCTTAAAAAAACAGGCTACAGTCTACATTATAGACTGCCAGTACGCTCACCCAGCTTAATATTATTTGTATTATTCACTATCTTTTTCTTTTTTTATATTATTTGTATTATTCACTATCTTTTTTTCTTTTTCTATCGACGTGCCTTTACCGAAAGTACCAAACAATATGAATTCCTGCAGTCACGAAAGTTTTAAGTCAAAATGTAATGTTTGACTTAGCAAAAAAATATTGAAAATAAAGTTTTTTTGTTACATGTAATGACGCAATCGCAGCCATTATTACAGTCTTAACGTGGTGCTAAATTAATGTTTTATTTCACATTTTCTTCAGCTTTAATTTGGTAATACCACGTTAACAATAAAACGATTTAAAACTGTCTCGGAGTGAGGGCGGGGCCAGTGGGTGCATGGGCGTGGCTATGTGAACTGGGGGGGGGGGGGGTGGCTAACAGATGGGCGGGGCTGACAGCTCACCGCGTGCACCGGTTTATCCTCTCAGACATTCGGTATAGCCTGAGTTTAAAGCGTTCAATGTTAATGCCATTAGGTCTAAGGATAGTATCATACCTGTCAACCCATACGGTGTACCCCGTATTGTACAGGGTACTTGCGGTTTCAGGTCCATGCGCTGTACAGCCGTTTCAATATGGGCAAAAACGTGCATATTTGTGTTTCTCCCTTGTGATGGGACTTTGTAATAATGATTATCAGTGCCTACCTTATTACAGACCAATTCAGACCTTATTGGTCACCCCGTGCCCTTATAAATCTCAACGTTCATTCTATGAAGTCCCATCACAAGGGAGAAACACAAACAAATAAGACATTTTTTTGTCCATATTGACAGGTATCTTAAAAGTATGTAAGTACGTATTGTTTCATTTGTGCAGTATTATCAGAGACTGTAGGACATGTAGGAGGCACTACATATGTTTTGGGCAGATGTTTGACGTTAAATATTAAACTGTGTCTTGTTAAATGTTTGTTAAATAATATGTATATTAAATGTTGTTAGATATAATAAGGTGCTGTTATCATAATCGAGATTTTGGAAAACTTAGTGCTGAGGTACTGAGAAGTGGTCCCAGACTATTTGCTCACAATCATTAAGGACCTTCATGATGGTGGGCAGGCCCGGGTAAAGTTGTGTGGACAGGTGTCAGAGACATTTTTCTGTTCACCTTGGTGTGCGACAGGGATGTCCTCTGGCCCCTACATTTAACATCTTCAAGGAGTTCAAGAAGTTTTCCATGAATGTATCGGTGGAATTTCCATCTGGTATAGATATAATTAGAGGTTGATCGATGCCCGGGTGCGGTCAAGGGATGGCTCTCTATCGGTCAACCATATTTATGTGCCCATTATGAGAAGAAGTTGTAGATGCTACTGCTGAACCTAGAGCATGCCACTAAGATATGGGGTCTTGCCATCAGCGCCACGAAAAAACAAAGCACCTGCCTGGGTATTTTGTGCCATTAAACACTGCACCCCCTCAACTCCCTATATGTGATGGGGCAGTTGTGGAGAGAGTGGATAAGTTTCCATACTTGGACAGTGTGCTTATGAGCAACTCCAGTTTGGCAGCCGAGGTCTCGCTCTGAATCAGTCGATGCGCATTCTTTTCATTGGTTGTATAACAATTTGTGGAAACCATCTGGCCTATTGCTCCACGCAGTTATTCCCTCCATTTTCTACGATTGCGAGACGTTGACACCCTCCAAAGGAAAACCTGCACCGTTTTGAAACATTCAGGCGAGACTGCCTATGATCCATCCCGAGTTTAACCAGACTGGATTGTGCGAGCTCACATTTCCTTCAAAGATTTGGACAAAGTTCTATCAGTGAACTCCTCCATGCATGTTGTCACATTTGGTAGTGAACCGTGCGTGTTTCGTCAGGGGAGAGTTATGGTGGTGTCCACCCTGCTGAACGCAATGACCCCCACTATGTTTATTCTGAGTAACATCTCCCGCAACCACCATAGCTCACCCAGCCACTGGCAAGACCCTCATCCATGTATTTGTAACATATTGACTCGACTCCTGGGAAACAACCCTGGCAAACACTTCACCTGCACCCATAAACGAAACCACATCTTTTAAATATTGAGCCCTGTGCTTGCCCTAATGCCAGATCAATTTCACGATAGCACTCACCATCCTCAAGAACCTCTATGGGCTCAGCCCTGCCTACCTCTCCTAGTTGCCCCTTATCATCTCACTTTACTACTCATCACACACTCTCCTAACTCTCACATCGCAGAATAAACCCACTCTGGTACCTCTGACGTCTCTCTACTTCCCTCCACGCACTCTCCTACCTCTCACCTTCTTCACTCCACAGACTCTCCTGGCTTCCATCTCATCTCACTCTACTCCCCTCCATACACTCTCTACTCCAGCAACCAATGCTTTCTGTCAAACTCCCAGACAATCTTCGCTTAGTATAAGGAAACACTCTCTTCTGCTGCTGCCGTATTATGGGGCTCCATTCCCCCATCCATCAATACTTCCGACTCCATTACAGCAGTTACGGTGCACTGGTATCACAAAAGTGTACATGAAAGTCCCTTGAAAGTTTTTTATGCACAGTTAGACCCGCCCCGAACACTTGTGCTCTGCCGTCATCAAGAGGTGCTTGGTAAGAGTAGGTATGAATTGTGGCATTGCAGGACCGTGAGATATGGCTACGACATGAGGAGATCTTAATCCAGCTGTGGACAGACTATGGTTACTTGCGATTATAGAGTGTGTATGGGTAGCTGTGAGACACAGTGATTATAGTACATCACTATAAACCGGCAACCTGAGTTGGATCCCACCTCTTTTAGAGGGTCCTGCTACATTGGGATAGTTGACCACTTATATTTGAATGGAGGTTTGGCTCCATGTTGGAGGAAACGGAGAACCCATCAAAGTATACATGAGGGGTGACACTCAGCACTGCATTTCCTGGCCATACCTCGCAGCCCCGTGCCTATACCACTTGGTAAGTTCTGGTGGTGGTCACTCATCCAAGTAATAACCAAGCGCATTACTGCTTGGCTTCTGAGATCCGACAAGATTAGGCACATTCAGGGTGACTTGGTCATACTAAAAATGTGGTAGAGATGTTAGCTACTACGTTTCTATACCCCTACACCATACAGATTCACTGGACTCGTAATCGTAAAGAGGTCTCGGACGTTCTATTTCACTCTAATCTTACAGAACGCATATCTCATTGTTGCAGATCCACTTTGACCAATTAACCACTCACAACCAGTGCATTATTTCTGCATGATTTGAATGTAATTTTCTATAGACGTTCACAAATCTTTTCACATATCCGCCTACACCTCAGTCTCCAGTGAGTCGGATAAGCGACATATATAGATAACTAATACAATTAATATACTGCAGATGGGGTGCTATACATTTTTAGTCATCATTGTCAACAACAAATAAAAGACACACACGAAAATATTATTAATATTTTATTGATAGATATTTTTTTATATTTTATATATATTTTTTTATATTCTAATCTACTTTTATTATAATTGAAGAGTGTCCTGGAAGAATTTTGATAACCCACAACATTGTTATTGTTTCAAAAAGTGTCGGCTTTTGTTGAGATGATAAGCAGGTTAAGTGGAATAAAACAAAAGTGAATGTTTAAGTTCATCGTGAAAACCCATTTGTGTGAAGATACAAACTGCGTTTGGTTTCACGGTTGTGCTGAGCAGCGTTCCAATGTGTTTTACGGTTGCACCGCAGGTTGTGTTGTTTGGCATGATCTCTTAGTTTCTGAATCCCCCAGCACGTTGACTGAAACGTCGGACATCATTCCAAACAACACGCACATCGGAGAGCTGCGATCCAAATGATCAAAAGTGGATTTCAAAGTGCTAGTGTGGGTTATTTTTAAAAACTGTACTGTATATACCATATTCTCTGTATTATGATATGCTTTTTTCCTTGAAATCTAATGCAAAAGTTAGGGGTAAATTTTAGTATCTGGTAGGAGTGTGACAAGATTTGCAGAACTTTATTGACACCGGAGCACATGTGTTGGATATGTCTTACTTTCTAGATTATCTGATAGTCTGGAGAATATGGTATATTTTTAGGTGGGTTATCAACTTTTTTCAGGACATCTTTCAATTATATTTTGCTTGCAAGAATACGAGTTTAGCTAAAAGTGTAACAGTAACGCCAACCACCTGAGTTAGTTAAGAAATGAAACGATACATGAGTAGCATAAAAATGTAAACTAAATGGCCCAGCCATAAGGAAAAAAGCAAAAAATTCAAATAAAAACCCTAGCATCCCCCCCAAGCATATATGGCTCTCGAAATGTAAAGCATTACATGTAAATCCATGGACATTTGGATAATTGGCAATGAAATATATTCTAAAAATTCCCACAAAAGAAGCAAACATTCATTTCATAATACAACTTCGAAATCTAATAGTGAATGCTTAACAGAAATGGAATAACATACATTGTAACTTATACGGCTTGCATACATTTCTTAAAATATATATTTGAATTTTTACATCAACATACCACTTATATTGCGGAAAAAGGATAAAGGTTTCCACATTCTTTAACATAAACAGTTCATATATATATAAAAAAGATAGATTGTTTAAGTCTACCTACACATACACACTTAAGTTATTAAACGCCATATTTTTTATTCTTTTTTTAAGTAAAGTGCTACGTTTGTTCAAACTTCACGGAGCATACACTGCGACTCGTGCCATGTTCATTGCTCCCCAGATTTAGTGCGTTTTTCTCAAGTCCAGGTGTGGGTAGTAGGTTCCCCAGGGTCGCTGCATGGTCTGGTATTTTCCTGTGTGGTGCCGGCAGTACTTCACGCAAAGCTGTCAAAAGCAAAGAAACGTACAAGTGCAACATCATCAGAAACACACATGTGATGGAAGGCCCCATTGCCCCAATCAGAGTGTCCACGTTTCCCTGCACTGTAGAAGGCCTCCTGGCTTTAACATTCGTCCTCGAAGATACTGGTGGTGTAACCATCAACCTCGTCAGAACAACAACAGGGCGATGCGCGCATCTCTTTCACAGATGGAAAATTAAAGACAAGCCATAGCAGTCCAATTGTGGCCATTAAATCGAAATAATGGGCCATTTAGTAAACCCATCGAGTCATATAGGTACATAGAAGTCACAGAGATACATAGATACACATATAGAAATGCATAGAGACGCATACAGATTCATAGCTATCGAGACTCAGAAATAGATAAACACTCGTAGAGATGCCTAGAGATAGGTTAAAGACAAGCAACAGTGGATAAAATAGTACAATGATGATGACGAAAATGCATATTTTTCAATTGGTAAGGGGAATATATATTTTGACAATTTATTTTTTACATCACTCACCCTTTTACTACTTGATTTCTTGCATTGTTGTAAGTAGAATTGCAACATGCTTTAATATAAATTGGTTGTGCTAATAATGTGTAGTAGTACTACTTTATTCTCTGGATTATAAGTCACACTGTCCCCTGTATTTTAAAGCAAAAGTTTGGGGTTCGACGTATAATCTGGAGACTACATTGTTTTTTGGAAGATGTATTTTAATCTAATTGTTCAATTTAAGTTTAATGCGTAGCCTTGTTCAAAATAATTGTTTAAATCATCTTCTGGAAGATGGTCATCATAGCAATGCATGACTACTCGTATGACATACAATATCACCAGCCGTTTAGAATCATTCCAGAAGACATATCTCCCCAAATTTCAAAACAGCATGTTCAGAATCCTCTAATGGAAGATGGCTCTCCATCGAACTGTATTCTTCCAATGATGAAACACATGTTTTTTCAAAATACCCTAAATCTGGGGGTGTCTTATTCGTTGGGTCTTTCAGTAAAGCCACGTAGATAGAAAAATAACGACGTTTCGATCGCAACACAAGCAATCGTCATCAGGTGAAAAAGTATAGCCGGAGAGCTGCCGAGGCAGGAGAAAATACAGCGGGAGAGCTGCTGAAACATGAAGTTATATACTGTAGGCTTGAGATGGGCTCAGCCCAAGGGTAAGTGGGCGGGGCTAGAGGTGTAATTTGCATGTCAATGTAAGATCGGTGATGTACCTCCACGACGACGACGCAGCTGTGGAGGTGGCCATTGTATTGTGAGAGATTAGCATGTCAATGTAAACGAACCAACGCAACGGTGGCTGTGCTAGTGAGACATCCAACTCGTTAAAAAAAACGAGGGGCAACACCACATCGAGGAAAAGGAGCAACGGTGGCTGTGTTAGTGAGACATTTAGCGTTTATGTAACTCAGAGAGACGGAAATAACTGCTAACTCTTATTTCCTGTTTACATACTAGTCCTATTGTCACCCACATTCCATTATAATTTATCCTTAACTTGTATTCCCGAAAACTTTTTTCATTTGTTTGAACCGATTTTGCATGTATATATGTTGAACAACCGTGCGAATTGGAGGTGCGGCGGAAGGACAACAAACTAAACAATAAAATCAGTTCTAAAGAAGTAAATATAGATTTAGTTTTCATTACAGGAAATATATTTAATATAATCTTTACGTGCAGTATGTTTTAGTTTTATAGGCGGTTCAGGTGTTTCGCTCTGATTTCGATGTGCTTCATTGTTATAGTTTGTACATTTTTCCTCTTGTCATATTTGGTAACCCCGGTTACTCTTGCAAATGAGACTTACATCCTGGTCTCGTTGAGTTCTTACCTGGTTGAACCAAAATCAACTTTGGTCACCAAAATGGCAACAACAAATCAAATAAATTATAGCAATGAAGCAGATACAAATCGGCATTAAAGCAACTGGTGTCAGGTTAGAAATAAAAAAATATTACACAAACATAAATCCACATCAAATAATGAATTCCCTGGATCGTGAGTAGGGTCAGGCAGCTTATTTTTATATTACTCAAAGTAAAATTGGAATTCAGGTTTCAGAAACATTGGGTGACTTAATGTACCCATGTGTTTGGAGCGTAACGCGTGTCAGGCTGCTCTATTTACCATCAGTAGACAGAGTAAGAGCATCGCTCCGAACAGGAGGCAGCAGAGTGCGATGATGAATATGATCCAATATGGCAGCGGCTTCATTGCGGGGTAAATCGGCTTTGTCGTGGTAGGGGCTGCTGTGGAAACCAGAATGTTGTTTTCTGCACAAAAGAAAAATACAAACACGCGTGAAATTTGAGTAGGCGCATTAGACAGTGGTATAGTTTGCACGGCAATTGCGGTTCATCACAAGTCAACTCTTATCAAGTACGACTTTAATTATGGTGTTTGCTTCTGGCCGCTTGGTGTTTTAGGTCTTTGTGCCAGTGGACAGCAACCGTGATGAAATTGTGGCTCAAAGGGCCTAAATGGTCATTGAGCTGTTGGCCTGAAAATGCCGAATTTATACCAACCAGAGTGGCAAATACTAACAACGATTTTCTTCAAGTATTTTATATGCAGGTCACAAATATGTAGGAGAGCAAGGTGTTAATTGTAGAACTTTTTGTTAATTAAAGAAAGATACCATCAATAGTTTGATAAGGAATACCGTTTTGGAAATAAAAATTCTTGTGACATGAAGCAAGCGTCCATGGAATATGACAATAGGACGTGTTTATATAAGTAAGACAGCCCCTCATGGCATGCTACAGTGGGCCTCTAGGAACTTCTGCTGCCCTGCTGATGCTACGTACGGTAGACTTGGAGGCTGTTGGGAGAGAGTTGATAGTCTCCGAGATTTACGACTCCACCCGTGCCGTTAGCGAATGTGTTCTTGATGTCTGGCACACTCGTGGTGCTGTTTGAGAAGTAGCAGTGGCAGTCAACGATGATCGATCCGATCCTGTGAGAGAGAAAGAGACACACACGCAGTGTTAAACAGAACTATGGTTGTACAAGTGCATCCTACACAAATAACAAGCTGGCAGGACAATACATTACAGTTTCCAATACAAAGTGTATTTGTATATAGAGTCTAAATGTGGCCAGACCGCATCTTAAGGAGCCATACAGAAATAATGGACGAGCCTTTTTTTCCAGAGATAACGATGCAGTAGGGTATAGGTATTGACGGGAGTCTATGGGTCGCTGGGAGTCTATTGAACTCTATGTGAATCAATACAGTACAATGAGGATTTACATAGCGTCCAAATGCGACCGACCACATCTGAACATGCTATGCAGAAACAGTGGGTATATTTATTTTATCGTGGGAAAGATGCGGTCATAAGTCTCTGATAATCTATGGGTCACTTTGTGAGTATATTGGTCTCTGAGTAAGTATATTGGTCTGTGTGAGTATGGGTCTCTGTGAGCCTATGCGTCCCTATGTGAGACTGCCTGTCTGTGCAAGTATATGGGTCTCTGTGAGTCTTTGGTTCTCTGTGTAAATATATGGCTTTCTGTGTAAGTATGTCCCTAGACAAACAGACAATTGGGACGGATGTAATTATTTCCAGCGTGTAGCACCAAGCAGTATAGTGGCTCCATTTCTAGACAGCTCTTTTCTTTTGTAAACCGAGCTGAGCCAGTGAGGGGCCTTCACGGCACTACGGGTGGATATCAACTGCCTATTTTCCGTGCCAAGCCAGAACCTAACCATGCTTTGCTGGTATCACAAGGCGTCTGCATCTGGCATTCATTGTGTGCGATATCAGTCAGCACAATGTATGCACACAGGGTCGCTGCCGAGTCATCTACGTGCGCCTATACTGGTGTGACATCGCGGCACGGCTTGGCTTCTGTGGTGGAAAAACCACCTGGTGCCTGCTGAGCAGCGCTGCTATGCATGCGTACCGAGCTGCGTCCCGGCTTGCCCAACGCAAGTTCAAAGCTTCGTTAGAAAAAAAAGATTTTAATGTTATAGCCAAACTCGCATTTTGGCACCCCTGGCGAAATTGCTCTTGACTCGATAGCTCACCTGACCTGAGATAAAAAAAAGCTTCATACATGCTTCTCACAGGAAGGCCTAGGTGTATAAATACACATTAAGAGCTGCAGTACAAATATTTTATATGTAGGGGGCTACATAATCATTTAATACAATGCTGTCGTCACCAAACGTAATACTGAGAGATGGCTGGGTGGCTCAGAGGTTCATAGTGCTAAGTTGGCAATGCTGAGATGCTGAGGTTTGGAATCCAGGTATCGGCCAACTGTGATTAAACTGGGTTCTCGAGTATAGTGAGTTCATGGTCTCAGCCCAGCCAGAAATGACTGCACAAAACAAATCCATCATTAAATCTGTTTCTGCACTAATTTCTGGCTAAATTCCAGCTCAGATAATTAAAATATTGGTTTGAATGTCATGAGATGAATCGAACTCTGATATGCAGCGCATGTAGGCAACTGCTGCCCTCTCCTGTGTGGACTAGGGATTACTTGAAGAAGGGATCTCAGTGGCAACTCTGTGATATCCACTTCTGTGGGCCGTTCCCTAAAACTAAGAGAGATCCGAACTGATTCTTTGTCTCATAACACGATGCCGATCGCACAATCGGGATAACATTGGGAAAAATACCAAACCTTTATTTATAAAACGTATGTATATAGTTCTGCACAATTGACTCTCAATTACCTATGGGTGTGTTATTTAGCTTGCAGTTAAACCTTGCTTGCAAAAAAGAAAGAAAATATCTTTAGGCACGCTAGTTCTATTATCAGCTACTCGTCTCGGGTCAGGGACTCAGTGCTTCCCAAACATGTCGGCAAGTAAGCCGATTGCTTGGGGAACAGGTGAAGTATTCTACGTCTTTGCCCCATTCTACGTAAAAATCAATAATTGTTATTTTATCGCATAATTTGCAAATGTTTCATATTATCTGTTTTTGTTTTATCGGTGCCACCCCTCTCCTCACCATTACCCTGGATAAAAGAGAGTCGACTGTACTTTAATGTCATTAAATTGTTGCTCTTACCTTAAGCCGGTCACATTGCAGTATTTGAACGTGCCGTTGTACTTCGTCTTGTACAAGTTTTCCAACTGAAATGAAAAGTGTGCATTTTATGAGCGTGTTTCAAATTGTCAGGAACCCTATGAAGTTTGTAATCGAACTCAGTTTGTTGGGTTTATAACCATTGCGCCACGACTCCACTCCCGAATAAATACATAAATCATGTTATGACATTATTGTTAGAATTATGATTAAAATAGACATTTCGTAACTTGCAATTGTTTTGTATAACGCTCCTCGCACACTGTGGTTTGCGTGTGTAGGGCCTAATTTTACCCAATTAATATTTTTCGGGTCACTGGTGGACTGGACCAGTTTAGGCTGGCACCAAACAGGAATCCATAAAAATAAATTACAGCGACAGTGGAAGGAAATAGAGGTAGTGGACGACCAACAAAAAGATGGGATGGGTGGAGTGGAATAGGAGGCACTAAAATGGATAGGAAGGACATGGAAACATGAGCAGTGAATGGGATATGATGTTGTTACTGATGATGTTGATAATCATCAGCAGCGGAGGATGGCGGCTGTTGCTGTTACTATCAAAAGTTTATGAACCCAGCGGACTCCATAAAGGTGGTGCAGATGCCCTTCTGCGGCCGTCTGGAATGCTCTTCCTTCTGATATTAGGAAGCCACTGGAGCTTATGCACTTTTAAATCTAAATTGAAAACTCATTGCTTTAGAACTGCTTTTTGAGTTTAGTTTGTTGTCCTTTCCCTGCACAACCGATTATCACGGTTGGCTTTGTACAATGCGAATTAAGTTCAACATACATATATAGAGCTACAGTGAGAGGTACAGTGGATATTTTTTCCAACCCAGACAGACCCAGCTAAAATTCATGTCTGGGTGGGTGGTTAAGGGATTAGTTAAAGCAGAAAATTAGGATTCAAATGTTAATGATTCAAACTCACCCGATCAGTAATGTTTTTCACGTATTCCTTGTACAGTAATGAGTTTGGGTTGTACAGGTCTGGCGCAAAGCTGTGGTTCGATATGGTGAACTGGATGTTGAAGTCTTTGAAGACTTCAGGTTGGGAGGGTCTGTGTGCTGTTGAAATGTGACAAAATCATTCATTAATATCTGTCAATGACAAGAAAACCTATCACAACAGAAACATGAGTCTAGGCTGGAAAACAAACATTTTACAATGCAATAACGTGAATTGCATGTACAAAAACCCTCCGCCGTATCCAGACCACCAGCTCAAATGAACTGACAAAATAATTTGTATTCAGACGAGCAGGGGAAAACATCTGAAACTGTAATGTAAATATGCACAATGGGGGCTTATGGTACACTCCACACAGGTTACACACGATTTTATTTAAACAAGCTACGTTTTGTTTTAGGGTGTAGGTGTTTTAGTTTCTGCTGCGTAGCTTTCCGATGTGGTTTCAAGTTGCTCCGCGTATGGCACCAAAGTTTAGCTCCACATGCTGCGAGCTCCTATTTGGTTAATTTTTATTCAGCTTAAGTTGTGAACAAGTGCTTAAGTAATCTGAGTTTATCCTTAGTTGCAGCATTTTGATTTGTACACATGAGACAACAACTTTTTAAAACTTTTGCCATTATCAAGGTGTTGCCCTTCAATATCTTGCTCATGCCATTGCTGGCGAAAGGGCCTCGACTAGAGAGAGCTCTGTAGAGCTCCTCATAGGTCAGCAATACATACATTTTGGTAGTCTTCTTAGGATGTGTGTCTATAGGGCACTTGCTTAAATATCTCAGCAACTCAAAGCAACTTCAGCATCTCAATCTCAACCATTCCAATGCACTCCTCTAGTCTAGCCAAGAAGACACCCTCAGTGGCAGCTGTCCCTGTTTACCACAAGATGCATGCAGCACCAGCCTGCAAGTGGACATTAGTCTGCCAATAATGGGTGATGTTACTCTATGGTTTGTCCCAATTCAGTAATGGTCACGTCTATTGCATTGTCCATGTTGTTTGTTTTATTCGGGCGACCCCCTGATAATTGAGCGTGGACTCCGCTTGCACTTTTAGATCATACCATCGACGACAATGTCGTTGTACATCAAGTCGTATTCCCCGAGTTTGTAAGTTCCGTTGGTGCCCTTGTAGAATGCGTCCTTAACGACGGTCTCGTTCACTTCCGGCGTGTCTGTGAAGTTGCACTTGGCGACCACCACCAAATTCTTCGGTGTACCGTCGTTATCTGCCGGCCTGGAGAACAGAAACCTCCCGATTAATGACAACACTTTTCATTTATTTAACAGGAATGTCGTTTCAAAGTTTACTTATCCTTTTTAACAACAATCTAGACTGAAAACTTTGGAAAAGGGAGGTTGGTGAGAAAAGAAAACAATGTACTGTATTGTATTCTTTGGTCGTGATCTGCATTGTGTGGTTTTGTGTCAAACTGAGACTGTCTAATTGAGAGGGTCCTTGCCGCTAACATCTGGCAGTTAAGCATTGGTTCAAACAAGCATGACTGCTGATGAGACATCTAATGTTAAAAACAGTCCATAATCTGCTTACGTTGATCCAGTGCTGCTGACATTATGCACTCCCAGAAGGCCGTGCGGTTCATGATGTGTAAAATAATCAATCTTGACTTAAAGCTTTCGTGACTGCAGGAATTCATATTATTTGGGTCTTTCAGTAAAGTCACGTAGGTAGGTTCAAAGAAGATAACAAAAAAAGAATGATGTCAGGACAACAGAGGGCAAGCTCAGTAAGGGACTGGGAGACAGATGGAGGAGAAGATTCAACGACAGGAGAAGAATAATGACGGAGGGGAGAGCAGTTTATGGTTAGCTTCATATGGTGAAGAAGATGGAATTAATACGGTGGGGGGCAGGGTGGGGTGCTGTATCTACTTCTTATACACCATCAGTGATCCCTGCGACAGTGCCCTCTTAGGGGTGGAAGTTTCCCGCATGAGGTTTATTCAGTGGTCGAATGTGGAGAGTTTCTGTGATTTCCATTTCTCAAACCAGAGCAGTCTAGACAGCACTGTAGGCGATCTTCAGGTGTTCGTGTGTCCCGAGGGGGTCGAGACTGATGACGGCTCAATGCCCAGCAGGCATGTATGGATTGATAGTGTGATGGAGGTGCTCAAAATATGAATTAAGTAATTGTAGCAATAGCGGTTGATTAGCACAAGCCTAAAGGTCCAGAAACTCCTAGTGACCAGAAACAAACAGTACGATTGAAGGTGTAATAGATAAATGTTACCATATTATTATGAGATGCACTTGTCCCCTCTTTAGTTTAAATCAAAAGTTGGATGTGGGTCTTATATCCAGGAGGTATACACGTGTTAAGCAGTGTGTGTGTGATCAGGTTTGTATAAATGAATTGACATTGGTTACGAGTTTGGGGTGCATCTTACTTTTAGGAGCATCGTATAATGCAGAGAATGCGGTTCACGTATTTCTTGGAATGAGCAAGGTTATATGAACTTTGAGAAAAGAAAATTACGGGAGGGAATTCGAAGGTGGGAGCAGTGTGAGGAAAAAAGCAGAAAGAGAAGCGTTTTGACCTCAAGTGTAATGGTTGAACAGAAAGTGGATGCCATGAAACAGTCTGCTAGACCTCGTGCTCAACATGGGTGGGGGAGTCAAGGAGTGGAGTTGGTTCCCTTACCAGTAATCCACGATTGTGCATCCACGAGACTTGTTTACAATTTCTTTGTTGAACAACTTATCCAGCTGAAATTGGTAAGAGCATTGCAAGTTAATACGAAATTGTATTTTTCTGTGTTATACAATTGTTGTCATTCCCCCCAATCTTACCCTGCTATCGGTGTCATGTCACATGACAATATGTTCGGGACTCGCAGAGCAGTGCAACCCTTCGTGTTAGAGTCCGGCCCACAGAAATGGATATCACAGAGCTACCACTGATATCGTTTCAAGTGACCACTGGTCCACACATTGAAGGGAAGCATTTCCCCACCCTCTGTGCATATGAGAATAATGCTCGTGATAGTAAGACCAATTCTCAGAACTATAAATTATCTAAATTTCAGAACCTAATTTAACGTGATGGGGTTTTTTGTACTGATTGGTGACTTGGCTAAGACCATTACATCACTAAACAGAATATATGGGTCTCAATATAAGTCAATGCACTTCTGTGTAAGTCACTGTGAACAGACTGAGACCATCAACTATCTACAACTGAGAAACCCAGGTGAACCTCAGGTGGCTGAAACCTGGATTCAGACTCAGGATGTTAGCGGTGTCAGCTCAGTGCTCCATCTGATCTTCTGAGCCACCTGGGCACCTGCGGCAATTATTATATTTTATTTACAGTTAACATGAAATAAACGGAATAACTCTGGACATTGTGCTGACATGCTGTACCTCTGCAGAGATTCCCTTGGTGATGTCTGCGTAAGACTGAGAGGTGACGGTCTCCAGGTCGGTTTTGTACTTATGGTTGGTGACGGTGAATTTTAGGTAGTATGGCTTCAGCTTCTCTGCAGGCACGATTGGTTTGTCTGTAATAATAATAATAAATACATAATCAGCATTAATCATCTGTGGTCAATCCGGGTACTCCAGTTTCCTCTCCACATGTATCCAGACCACCAGCTCAAATGAACTGACAAAATAATTTGTATTCAGACGAGCAGGGGAAAACATCTGAAACTGTAATGTAAATATGCACAATGGGGGCTTATGGTACACTCCACACAGGTTACACACGATTTTATTTAAACAAGCTACGTTTTGTTTTAGGGTGTAGGTGTTTTAGTTTCTGCTACGTAGCTCTCTGATGTGGTTTCAAGTTGCACCGCGTGTGGTTGGGCACCAAAGTTTAGCTCCACATGCTGGGAGCTTCTATTTGGTTATTTTTTATTCAGCTTAAGTTGTGAACAAGTGCTTAAGTAATCTGAGTTTATCCTTAGTTGCAGCATTTTTATTTGTACACATGAGACGACAACTTTTTAAACTTTTGCCATTATCAGGGTGTTCCCCTTCAATATCTTGCTCATGCCATTGCTGGTGAAAGGGCCTCGACTAGAGAGAGCTCTGTAGAGCTCCCCATAGGTCAGCAATACATACATTTTGGTAGACTTCTCAGGGTGTGTGTGTATAGGGCACTTGCTTAAATATCTCAGAAACTCAAAGCAACTTCAGCATCTCAATCTCAACCATTCCAATGCACTCCTCTAGTCTAGCCAAGAAAAGACCCTCAGTGGCAGCTGTCCCTGTTTAGCACAAGATGCATGCAGCAGCAGCCTGCAAGTGGGCATTAGTCTGCCAATAATGGGTGATGTTACTCTATGGTTTGTCCCAATTCAGCAATGGTCACGTCTATTGCATTGTCCATGTTGTTTGTTTTATTCGGGCGACCCCCTGATAATTGAGCGTGGACTCCGTTTGCGCTTTCAGATCATACCATCGACGAAAATGTCGTTGTGCATCAAGTCGTATTCCCCGAGTTTGTAAGTTCCGTTGGTGCCCTTGTAAAATGCGTCCATAACGACGGTCCTGTTCACTTCCGGCGTGTCTGTGAAGTTGCACTTAGCAACCACCACCAAATTCTTCGGTGTACCGTCGTTATCTGCCGGCCTGGAGAACAGAAACCTCCCGATTAATGACAACACTTTTCATTCATTTAACAGGAATGTCGTTTCAAAGTTTACTTATCCTTTTTAACAACAATCTAGACTGAACATTTTGGAAAAAGGAGGTTGGTGAGAAAAGAAAACAATGTATTGTATTCTTTGGTCGTGATCTGTATTGTGTGGTTTTGTGTCAAACTGAGACTATGTCTAATTGAGAGGGTCCTTGCCTCTAACATCTGGCAGTTAAGCATTGGTTCAAACAAGCATGACTGCTGATGAGACACCTAATGTTAAAACACAGTCCATAATCTGCTTACGTTGATCCAGTGCTGCTGACATGCACTCCCAGAAGGCCATGCGGCTCATGATGTGTAAAATAATCAATCTTGACTTAAAGCTTTCCTGACTGCAGGAATTCATATTCTTTGGGTCTTTCGGTAAAGTCACGTAGATAGGTTCAAAGAAGATAACAAAAAAAGAATTATGTCAGGACAACAGAGGGCAAGCTCAGTAAGGGTCTGGGAGATAGATGGAGGAGAATATTAAACGACAGGAGAAGAATAATGACGGAGGGGAGAGCAGTTTATGGTTAGTTTCACATGGTTAAAAAGATGGAAATGGAATTAATACGGTGGAGGGGGGCAGGGTGGGGTGCTGTATCTACTTCTTATACACCATCAGCGATCCCTGCGATAAACACCTTTCGGGGTGGAAGCTTCCCGCATGAGGTTTATTCAGTGGTTGCATGTGGAGAGTTTGTGTGATTTCCATTGCCTAAACCGGAGCAGTCTTGACAACACTGTAGGCGATCTTCAGGCGTTCGTGTGTCCCGAGGGGGTCGAGACTGATGATGGCTCCATGCCCAGCAGGCATGTATTGATTGATAGTGTGATGGAGGTGCTCAAAATATGAATTAAGTAATTGTAGCAATAACGGTTGATCAGCACAAGCCTAAAGGTCCAGAAACTCCTAGTGACCAGCAACAAACAGTACGATTGAAGGTGTAATAGATAAATGTTAACGTATTATGAGACGCACCTTTCCCCTGTTTAGTTTAAATTACAAGTTGGATGTGGGTCTTATATCCAGGAGGTATACACGTGTTAAGCAGTGTGTGTGATCAGGTTTGTATAAATGAATTGACTGGGTACGAGTTTGGGGTGCATCTTACTTTTAGGAGCATCGTATAATGCAGAGAATGCAGTTCACGTGTTTCTTGGAATGAGCAAGGTTATATGAACTTTGAGAAAATAAAACGATGGGAGGGAATTCGAAGGTGGGGGCAGTGAGAAAAAAAGCAGAAAGAGAAGCGTTTTGACCTCAAGTGTAATGGTTGAACAGAAAGTGGATGCCAAAAACAGTCTGCTAGACCTCGTGCTCAACATAGGTGTGAGAGTCAAGGAGTGGAGTTGGTTCCCTTACCAGTAATCCACGATTGTGCATCCACGAGACTTGTTTACAATTTCTTTGTTGAACAACTTATCCAGCTGAAATTGGAAAGAGCATTGCAAGTTAATACGAAATTGTATTTTTCTGTGTTACACAATTGTTGTCATTCCCCCCAATCTTACCCTGCTATCGGTGTCATGTCACATGACAATATGTTCGGTACTTGCAGAGCAGTGCAACCCTTCGTGTTAGAGTCCGGCCCACAAAAATGGATATCACAGAGCTACCACTGATATCGTTTCAAGTGACCACTGGTCCACACATTGAAGGGAAGCATTTCCCCACCCTCTGTGCATATGAGAATAATGCTCATGGTAGTAAGACCAATTCTCAGAACTATAAATTATCTTAATTTCTGAACCTAATTTAACATGATGGGGTTTTTTTGTACTGATTGGTGACTTGGCTAAGACCATTACATCACTAAACAGAATATATGGGTCTCAATATAAGTCAATGCACTTCTGTGTAAGTCACTGTGAACAGACTGAGACCATCAACTATCTACAACTGAGAAACCCAGGTGAACCTCAGGTGGCTGAAACCTGGATTCAGACTCAGGATGTCAGCGGTGTCAGCTCAGTGCTCCATCTGATCTTCTGAGCCACCTGGGCACCTGCGGCAATTATTATATTTTCTTTACAGTTAACATGAAATAAACGGAATAACTCTGGACATTGTGCTGACATGCTGTACCTCTGCAGAGATTCCCTTGGTGATGTCTGCGTAAGACTGAGAGGTGACGGTCTCCAGGTCGGTTTTGTACTTATGGTTGGTGACGGTGAATTTTAGGTAGTATGGCTTCAGCTTCTCTGCAGGCACGATTGGTTTGTCTGTAATAATAATAAATACATAATCAGCATTAATCATCTGTGGTCAATCCGGGTACTCCAGTTTCCTCTCCACATGTATCATCTCTATCTCATGTTTATCTCGTTTTCATCTCACTAATCTAAATCTCTTGTCGACAGCTGGACATCTTGAAAGAGGTGGGAGTATCAACACTTTAATTCACTACACCGATCTACCAAATGTGGCGTATATATTTATATTGCTCGGTCAACAGAATCGGAGGCATTAAGAAACCTGCCCAATTGTCTCAATTGGTATGCCAGGAGATTGAATCGAACTGGCCACCTCTGGATTGTAAGTGTAGTGTGTGCCAACCATTACACCGTGGCAGAATACAATGCACTTGAAAGCTAAGCAAAACAATTATGAAAGATGAAAATGGCTTTACTTGAAACATTGAAGGTGCCATCGTTTTGGAGCTGGTAGTTGCCCAGCTTGGTGATGTTGTGTGTCCCTTTGATGAAGGCGTCGCTGATGACCGTTTCGTTGAGATCCGGAGAGTCCAGAAAGTCGCACTTCTCAGTGATTACATAATCATCAGTCCTGCAGGATGTGAAGTTCAAGGTTCGGTTTATTTTGTGTAACCAGAGACCAGAATAGTCTCACTTGCAAGAGACTACTCTCTCGTCCACTTATTCATGCGACATCTGAAAATAATGCTTTTCATTGCTGAGTTGTGGGCGCACTTATAACATTGCTGGATAAGCTGTTTCACATCTTTCGTGCCTAATCACCAAATTCCCATTCAGTAATTGAACCTTATGGTGGGACGCCGGGGTCCCAAATGAACGGAAGTCAAAATCGTAATTAATTCATTTATTTTTGGCGACTCCGTCCCACCGCGCACATAAACGCCGCGACCCACCAGATATCAATCCTCTCGTTCTTCACCAAGCACCCGTCGTTGCCAAAATTGCCATAGTCACAAACAAAACTTTGGAACTTTGATTAGTGCATCGTGTAGAGCTCGTCAAGAGGAATAGATTGTCCTATCGTTCGCCTTCAACAAAATGACGTTGCAACGCAGTTTACGCGAGAGCCGGGGGCTTATGGCACCCCGGGGTCCCGCCATAAGGTTCAATTATCAACTGAGATCCAAAGACTAAGACTATGACAAATATTACAGTAAATGCTGTCGAAATTAACCGTCAGGTGATACTGAACCAAAGTGGTGTCTTACCTGCCCACCCAGCTGCAGTTGCGCGTGATGTTCACAAGCTCCTGATTAAAGAGTTTCTCCAGCTGCAATACGAATACACACACATTTCCATCAAACTCGGCGGTGGAGCACGGTTGGTATGGGCCCTGGTTAGGGTTGCCAACGCTTGATATACAAAATAGTGGGACATATCATGGAAAGAAGAATATCTCACAATACCAGAACAGGACAGGACGTGATGTAAATGCATTGTCTTTAGTGATACATTATTAGCGGGTCTCCTAATGTCTATGGAATAAATTACAGATTTGCGAGGACAGCAGCTACCTCAATAAGGAGACAATTTTGGCAAAACAGAACAGGTGGCAACCCTGGGCTTGGTGTAAATAATTGATTGAGTCCCCCGCCCCATGTCCACATCTAAAATTTTGGGTGAGCTGTACAATGTGATACAACGTAGATTCATATTTGCATCTAAACGTGACCAAATCCCAAGAAGCTGTATAGAAAGTGAGTATGAAATATTTTACGTTGAGAAAGAAGCAGTCATTGGTAGGGGAGAAGAGGAAGCTCTTGGAGGTTGGGGCAGGGGGTCAGCAACACGGATGAAGGCAGGGAAGGGAGTTCCAGAATGATTGTGGGGACAGCAGAGATCGATTTTGACTGGGGGCTTCCGGGTAAGAGCTCATTGATGCTTTAAGTCTGGGTCAATATGAACACATTGTGCAACACTGGTAATACACTTTCCGTGTAATATATCGTATCGTATTGAAGCAACCCTGGTTAGTCTCATACCTCATCTGTAACATTCTTTTTGAAGACAGCATCTTCTAGACTTTCCTTTTTCAGGAATGGACGGAATTGTATGTAGAATGTTTTCAACTTCTCATGTTCGGGCTTTATTCCTAAAATGAGTCAGAGCGAGTCAGTCTGAAGCTCTGGCCATCAATGTGTTACGGCGAGATAATTACTTTCACAAAACAGTAAAATTGTAAAACAAGAAACCCCCCGCACCCTCATTACGTGCCAAAGTGGAGCGTTGTGGGTAATACCATCATCAATCATGCTTTATCCAACAGTAAATTAAGGTTTTCCAAAGCCCTTCTTTATATCTCACGGTCTCGTGGGTGCAACAATACATCCGCCGTTCGAGTCCCATCCATCGCAAACCTCATATCTACAACACTTTTCAGCCGCACTCCAACCTTCACATTGCTTTCCTTATTGTGCTAGGCACACAAAGACAAAGATCCGCCGTATAGGTGCCAAGTGCTGTTAGCGAGCACCTGTTGAGGCCGGCATGGCACACGACAGAGTGGGTGGCCAACACCACGCCCGGCCGCCTTTGTCTCCCCAGTGGTGATGTTTACACACCTCACCAGGTACTCATTTGATGCTGAGTCGACCTAGGGGAGGCCCATGACCAGTTCAGATAATCGTCATTAGTGTTGGCCGTGAGAGGGAACCGAACCCGGGCCGCCGGGTTCGTAGTGCAGCGTGCTAACCACTACACTACCGCTCCCCATAAAAACACAGACATACACACACACGCAATGTACCATTCACTGTGAGCTTGTTGGGCTGCAGCTTGTAAGCTCCGAGCAGGTCGATGCCGTCCGTTTTGTTGGAGAATGTTTCTAGGATGTCGGCTACTGTCACTGTGCTACTATTTGTGAAGTAGCATTTGCAATCCACTTTAATTGATCCTTCTCTGTAATGCCAAACAAAAAAACACAGAATGCTATCATCATCAGTAGTAGCAGCCATAGTTAATCCACTGCTGGATGAAGGCCTAACCAAGCCGCCACAATACTGCAATGTAAAAATCCACCCAGCACCTGCACAAGGGCTGATTTCATCGCTCCATTGCCCAAAACGTAACATTATATATGTTTACATCTTTAGGGGCAGTGGTACTGATAACTCTGTTGAGTTTGTGTTTCTTGTGTTTTTGTACCACTGCCAATGCAGTATCACAAACCTAAGTTTAATTTCGATATACGCAGTAGAAGGCAGCACTTTGCTACCCACCTTAGCCACAGAGAGTAATGTTCGTTGCATGGCGGACAAACCGATATATTTGTAATTCTCAGAGCTGGGATTTGACCAAATGAAATGCATGACCATATTTAATGTTACAGGTTGATTTGTGTGCAGTTATTGATGCTGCCAACCGCAAATATTTGAAACCCAAATTGGAACCCAGGATCTCAGTCATACATGCACTCCTTTGAAAGCACGTAAAATCTCAAACAACACAGCTTGTAGCTTTGACAAATCGAGTTAAAATGGTGCAAGTCAAATCACGTACGTGAAACCGGTTATCACGCAGTAGTGCAGTGTCTTGTTGTACTTTGTCCTGTAGAGGTTCTCCACCTGAAATGAAACATTGTGAGCATCATTACACGAAGCTGAAAACAGTCAATTTCAGTAAATTTGGGGTTGTTTGACCATACTTGGCCACACTAGTCAGTGCGGGTTGGTGAAGGCAGAGGAACCCAGGACCAGTTCAGATATAACTCGCCATTGATGTCAACAACCGTGCCTGGTAATCGAACTGGGGTTGCCGGGTTTATAGCACAGCGCACCGCCCCACACTGCCACCACTCTACCCGCTTACTGGGTCTCAAGACTTTTTTTCTTAGGAGGGTTCTGCTACATTTGGGTATTTGGAACAAGTGTCTTGCTTCGTGTAGGGGAAAACTTGAGGCAAAATAACCCTTACCAGTTCGGTGATGTTCTTAACATATTCTTTGTAGGTTGAAGAATTGTTATCCTTGAGTTCCTTTGTGAAGGTGTGGTTGTGGATCGTGAACTGAATGTCGAAATCCTTCAGGGCTTCGGTGGGAAGCACGGGTTGTACGGTGGGACTCACGGGTTGTACGGTGGGACGTACGGGTTGTACGGTGGGACGTACGGGTTGTTCCGCTGTGAAAAACAACGCGAGCAATGAAGGCTACGATTTTGTCATGGTGAATTTAATACACAGGATCTAATAATTAATAGTTAAAAATGATAATTATTTACAGCCCTTTTTCATTCATGGATTCTTGCATAACAAGATTGAGAGGTAGTGGTGACTTGGCGAGGCCTACAGCAAGGGTGACAGGAAATTCTCGACTCACTTGTCACTGTGACGTCCGCGTCTTTCTCAGTGAGGCTGTAATTCCCGAGTTTCTTCAGCGATTTCGTCCCATTCTTGAAGTTTTCAAATACGCTGTTGTTGTTGACATCACTGGCATTGACGAAGAAGCACTTTGCAACCACCGTCAGTGGTTGGTCCCTATGAAAGAGAAAAACATCAGTGCCTTAAACCGCAACTTGTAGCAACACTCAAAGGTGATCTGGGAAGAGAAGGAAGGCCACATTCTGACTCCAATTAGGATACAAAAATTATTAGGTATGAGTCCGGGAAATAATCGACAAAGAATTAAGGCAACAAAGTCAGATGAAGTACAGGAAGTTGCAATATTTCAGATATGTGACCAGGACGAATAAGGGCCAGCTGTAAAGGATGGTGAGGGAGGCAACATTGTAAGGTGCTAGGGGCAAAGAATACCATGAACTGACTGGACGTCAAACATCAACCACTGGACAGGATCGAAGCCGTCTTAGTTAAAGGACACAACGACATATGGAGAAAAGTGGTTAGGCACTACAAGGAGACAGCGGTGAAAGAAATAATCGTGCCCCAACGACGTCAAGGCACTGGCAGAAGGATGGGCCAAGTAACTGATTCTTATGCTCATGGCATGATGCGAACCACCGAGCCACCGCTCCGATTCCATGTATATGACAATCACAATAACACTGCAATGCAAAATATTGAGGAATTGAAATGGCGGAATTGAAATTATAGCATACCAGAAGTCTACAACGGTGCAGTTCTTCAAATTGATTCCCTTGACATTTTTGTACAGTTTCTCCAGCTGAAAGAAACACATAAAGCATCAGATTAACTGGACTATCACATGCGCGCCGCATAGTATTCATTTTCATGCTTATACAGCATGTGTGGGGTATCTTTATTCATTCGTAGTAGACTACACATGAACACACACCTTAGCGTTATCCAATAATAACACAAAATTTATTAGGGCTCATCTGTACAGGTGACTGAGCATGCAAACATTACAAAGACTGTTGTGGCCAGGTCGAAAACATTCCCTTCTTATACCCGCCCATTTGCGCAGCCAGGATGCATGCAGTGATGGATAAACATCATTGCTGCATAGGCTTTGGTGGTTGTGCCGTATTATTTCCTTATGCGTTTTTCAGGTTTGGACCGTGTGTTGTTCGGCATGATGCCTGACGTTTGACTCCGCGTTGTGGGTCAAGAAGCTCCCAGTATGTACAGCGAAACTTCGGACATGATGCCGAACAACACACGGTACAACCCGAAAACACGTCAGAGAGCCTTGAGGATAAAAATCCTTTACAGGCCATGACTAAGCGGTAGGCCTCATGCGGTCGCGGGCCCGCCTGAAGTGAAGTCATGGGCCATACGTTGCTCGCCCCCTGTTATCTTGTACAAGCGATCGCTCACCTCTTGAGAGATGTTCTTCGAGTGTTCCTGATACAATGGAGAGCTGCTGTTGCCCAGATCAACCGTGTAATTGTAGTTCACCACTGTGAACTTGATGAAGAATGCCACGAGTGTCTCTGGAGCTGCTATGGGTGCCTCTGTTGGAGGTAACGGCTCAGTTCCTGCAAAGTACAAACGCATTCATCACACGGTTTTCGCTACCGTCATGGTAAAAAAAAGAACTTAGAAAAATCAAATCGTGTACATATATGTATACAGTATATAACATTGTAAGAGTGATGAGGTGACTGAAGAGCAATGCCCTTAGGCAAGTGAGATAGTATGAGCAAAACTGTTTTTAATTTTAATCTTTAGAGTAATTACATAGCAACATATAAAGAGGAAAGTTTTCCATCAGTGCACAGTTCGATTTTTTAGGCATATGTTTCGTTAACCACGTGTATGTCGGTGCAGTGAGGGAGTCCACTTACTGGTCACACTGAGGGCTGTCGTGTTGAGCAGGTAGTCTCCCAGGCTGGTCAGTTGTTGTGTTCCGTTTTTGAAGGCCGCGTCAACCACCGTCTCGTTCACACTGCTGGTGTTTGTGAACTCACACTTGGCAACCACCACCACCAGTGTGCCAGGCCTGAAGAAGATCCCCGTTCGCGTTAACACCTTTGATCATTCTCCGATAATCACGATTACCGTCGTGAGATGGCGTCATTGAAAGCACGCGAGTGAAAATGAGGAGTAATATTAAACTCACCAGTAATTTGTGACGGTGCAGTTGTGCTGTGTATTGCTGACTTGCTTTCGGAAAAGGTCTTCCAGCTGAGGAAACGCACATGTGCATCATTTAGAAAAAGTGCAGAGCAATATCCTGTGACTGTTCTGTGAGTGGCTAACCAGTCTGTTTGCATGTATGTATGTGTGTACGTATCAATGTATTTGGTTAATGCCAGTGTCGTTTTTATTGCCATATGCTTTTCATTATAGATATTACACTTCTTACCCCACCTCTGTTTTACAGCCAACGTTTGGGGTGCATCTCGTAATAAATAAATCTGGTCGGTGTTTGCATGTGTGACCAGATTTGTAAGTCCTTATTGACACAGGGGAAGAGTTTGCGGTGCATCATACTTTACATTGTGTGTCTCATAATCCAGAGAATACAGTATCTTAGAATCTCACGATTTCCATGCAGCGATGCTTACCAGGCCGGAGATGTTTGCAGTGTATTCTTGTCGCAGGGTAGAGTTGTTCTGCGCCAGATCGCTGCTGTAGTTGCGGTTGACGATGGTGAGCTTGATGTAGAAATGCTGCAGGGGTTCCTGGGTCGGGCCGACTGCCACTGTTGGCTTCATTGTCGTCGCCGCGGGAACGATTGTTCCTTTAAGACATGAGAAAGTAAAGGATAAGGTGCAGCACTGAAATTGCTTGCTCACACCACTGTTGGTGGAAGGGGCTCTGCTTGCTAGACTGAGCACTAGGGAGCATATTTTTGGCCTAATTCTCCCACGCTGGCTAACATCTCCGGATTACAAGTCCAGTGTGCTAACCGTTACCTCCACGGCAACATCAGAATTGAAAATAAATAACTAGCATGAATACAAATTAGCATTGAAGCCCGTGTATATATGTATATACAGTAATTCCTCGTTTAACGTAGTAGATGCGTTCCTTAAAAGTGTCACGTTAAGCAAAACCGAGTTAACCTAGTAATTACTGTATATACATTACAGGGCATAAAGAAATAACAAACAATGTAAATTGGAATGACATTTGCACTATAAATCAGCCTGCAGTCATCCCATGGCAGGACAAAGAACTGAGATGAGGGTACGCGGCCTCTGTGTACTGCATCATTCCCCGCACTCTTATCACTGTAATGCGCAGCTCAAGAAAGTAGTTCGTCGTCGACTGCTCAGAAACTGCGCGGCAACGGTGCGTTCCGCATTGTGAAAAGTGTTCTCTCGTAAAAGAACCGTGTTTTAGCGAACACGCATTGCGTGAACCCGCATTTAGCGAGGACTCACTATGCATGCAAGCTGTGCATAAAATTTTGCATTAGATTTCATTGTTTTCTGCTTTTAAAAAAAGGTGGCATAAATCACCACCACCACCGAGGCAAATTCATGCAATCACCATGATTCCGGATGGCGATTCAATTCAGAGATCATTTATTTTGTTAACGCTGCGGAGAATGCAGTGGTCTCTAGTGGCTGTAAGGAGTGTGTCAGGAGGTGAACCTGTTATTTTACCTGTAGTGGTTGAAGCTTGTGTCGGAGGTAATGGCTCCGTTCCTGCTCGTACAGAAACACGTGTGGGTCAAGATTTCATGCGCTTGAATTGCGTGTATACTAGAGGTGGCACAATGCATAGAACTGTTGCTTCCCAAGAGGTTCATAACTGCGCCTAACATAAACTAAAACTCAGTGCTCGAAAAATATAAATTCCCACCTATTTGTTACACACCACAGTAAACGTGTTGGCAACCTATATAACAGGCCAGGTAGCTCAGCAGTAGAGTGAGCGGTTCGCAATTGGAAGTGTGTGAGTTCAACTCCTGGTTGGGTGCATTGACTCAGCCCATCATCCCCTCGGGTCGATAAAATGAACACTTTTTATGTGTTATGGAAGTCGGGCGCATTCCGCGTGCTGTGGTCATATGATGAAATGAAGGCGTCCACTTACTGGTCACTGTGAGGTCTGTCTTGTTGAGCAGGTAAGGTCCCAGGCTGCTCAGTTGGGTGGTTCCTGCTTTGAAGGCCGCGTCAACCACCGACTCGTTCACACTGCTGGTGTTTGTGAACTCGCACCTGGCAACCACCACCACCAGTGTGCCAGGCCTGAAGAAGATCCCCGTTCGCGTTAACACCTTTGATCATTCTCCGATAATCACGATTACCGTCGTGAGATGGCGTCATTTAAAGCACGCGAGTGAAAATGAGGAGTAATATTAAACTCACCAGTAATTTGTGACGGTGCAGTTGTGCTGTGTATTGCTGACTTGCTTTCGGAAAAGGTCTTCCAGCTGAGGGAACGCACATGTGCATAATTTAGAAAAAGTGCAGAGCAATATCCTGTGACTGTTCTGTGAGTGGCTAACCAGTCTGTTTGCATGTATGTATGTGTGTACGTATCAATGTATTTGGTTAATGCCAGTGTCGTTTTTATTGCCATATGCTTTTCATTATAGATATTATACTTCTTACCCCACCTCTGTTTTACAGCCAACGTTTGGGGTGCATCTCGTAATAAATAAATCTGGTCGGTGTTTGCATGTGTGACCAGATTTGTAAGTCCTTATTGACACCGGGGAAGAGTTTGCGGTGCATCATACTTTACATTGTGTGTCTCATAATCCAGAGAATACAGTATCTTAGAATCTCACGATTTCCATGCAGCGATGCTTACCAGGCCGGAGATGTTTGCAGTGTATTCTTGTCGCAGGGTAGAGTTGTTCTGCGCCAGATCGCTGCTGTAGTTGCGGTTGACGATGGTGAGCTTGATGTAGAAATGCTGCAGGGGTTCCTGGGTCGGGCCGACTGCCACTGTTGGCTTCATCGTCGTCGCCGCGGGAACGATTGTTCCTTTAAGACATGAGAAAGTAAAGGATAAGGTGCAGCACTGAAATTGCTTGCTCACACCACTGTTGGTGGAAGGGGCTCTGCTTGCTAGACTGAGCACTAGGGAGCGTATTTTTGGCCTAATTCTCCCACGCCGGCTAACATCTCCGGATTACAAGTCCAGTGTGCTAACCGTTACCTCCACGGCAACATCAGAATTGAAAATAAATAACTAGCATGAATACAAATTAGCATTGAAGCCCGTGTATATATGTATATACAGTAATTCCTCGTTTAACGTAGTAGATGCGTTCCTTAAAAGTGTCACGTTAAGCAAAATCGAGTTAACCTAGTAATTACTGTATATACATTACAGGGCATAAAGAAATAACAAACAATGTAAATTGGAATGACATTTGCACTATAAATCAGCCTGCAGTCATCCCATGGCAGGACAAAGAACTGAGATGAGGGTACGCGGCCTCTGTGTACTGCATCATTCCCCGCACTCTTATCACTGTAATGCGCAGCTCAAGAAAGTAGTTCGTCGTCGACTGCTCAGAAACTGCGCGGCAACGGTGCGTTCCGCATTGTGAAAAGTGTTCTCTTGTAAAAGAACCGCGTTTTAGCGAACACGCATTGCGTGAACCCGCATTTAGCGAGGACTCACTATGCATGCAAGCTGTGCATAAAATTTTGCATTAGATTTCATTGTTTTCTGCTTTTAAAAAAAGGTGGCATAAATCTCCACCACCACCGAGGCAAATTCATGCAATCACCATGATTCCGGATGGCGATTCGATTCAGGGATCATTTATTTTGTTAACGCTGCGGAGAATGCAGTGGTCTCTAGTGGCTGTAAGGAGTGTGTCAGGAGGTGAACCTGTTATTTTACCTGTAGTGGTTGAAGCTTGTGTCGGAGGTAATGGCTCCGTTCCTGCTCGTACAGAAACACGTGTGGGTCAAGATTTCATGCGCTTGAATTGCGTGTATACTAGAGCTGGCACAATGCATAGAACTGTTGCTTCCCAAGAGGTTCATAACTGCGCCTAACATAAACTAAAACTCAGTGCTCGAAAAAAATAAATTCCCACCTATTTGTTACACACCACAGTAAACGTGTTGGCAACCTATATAACAGGCCAGGTAGCTCAGCAGTAGAGTGAGCGGTTCGCAATTGGAAGTGTGTGAGTTCAACTCCTGGTTGGGTGCATTGACTCAGCCCATCATCCCCTCGGGTCGATAAAATGAACACTTTTTATGTGTTATGGAAGTCGGGCGCATTCCGCGTGCTGTGGTCATATGATGAAATGAAGGCGTCCACTTACTGGTCACTGTGAGGTCTGTCTTGTTGAGCAGGTAAGGTCCCAGGCTGCTCAGTTGGGTGGTTCCTGCTTTGAAGGCCGCGTCAACCACCGACTCGTTCACACTGCTGGTGTTTGTGAACTCGCACCTGGCAACCACCACCAGTGGGCCCTCCCTGCGGAATTCAATGATGCAAAGTTAGTTTTCAAAAAAATCTATTGTCAGCTTTCACACTTTCAGGGATGCTGCCGTGGTGGAATGGTTATCACACTGGACTTGCAATCCAGATTTAAATTCGTCGGTTCAATTTTATTTCTCCCCACGGCAGCATAGCAATGGTGGAAGCTTCTTCAATCCACCCCGCAAACTCTGTCCACCCAGCAGTATGAATGGGTGGAACCAATCGGTGTGTAGTGCATGGTGGGGTAAAGTGTGGGTAACTCCAAGCTCTTCCAAGAAGAGTAGGCAAATACCCCAAAGCAAGGGGCTCTCTTTGAGCTCCCTCTAGTAAAGGCCTTTCCGCCAGCAGTTGTGCGAGCAGGTACTTGCAGGGCTGCACCTTTACATTCACCATGCATTTCAAATTTGTTTAATTATAACGTCGAAGCCCATGCGGTGTCTCGAACTTGCGTTTGTTGTCTGAAGTGTGTGAAAGATTAAATTGACACGTACCAGTATTTCGCCACGTGGCATGTTTGGAATCCATGTCCTATTTCCTGGGCGAAGAGGTTGTCCAACTGAAAGAGAGAGCAAAAGTCAAGCATTTGCAAACAGCTTGCTTCAAACGTCAGTGTCATGACACATTTTATTTATTATATCCCAACTGTGCTATTGGTGTCACGTCATGAGACAAACTCTCACAGAGCAGTACAACCCTTCTTGATATAATGTACGGCTCACAGAAGCAGATATCATAGAACTACCTCTGAGATCCCTTCCAGTGACCTCTGGTCCACAGTGATACATATTCATATATTTCATGAATTTTCAGAGGTAAAATTTAACCAAAGTTGATATTTTTTGGGGCGGTCTTTAATGACTGAGCTGAGATCATGAACTCACCACACTGAAAAACCCAGTGTATTCACGGGCAGCTGAATCCTGGATATGAACCCAGTATCTCAGCTGTGCCGGCTTTGGTCTCTGACCGCTGAGCGACTCAGCCACCTCTGATGTAATTGCGTTTTGTGCAGTTATTGGTAGCTGAGCTGAGACCATCAACTCTCTACACTTGAGAACCCAGTTTAATCACAGACGGCTGAAGCCCGGATCCTAACCCAGTATCTCAGCTGTGACTGCTCCTACCTCTGATTCCAACAAGTAATTTTTAAGCAACAGACTGTGAATTGCCAGAGAACTTAGGAATAAGAAGCGAAGCTAAGTTTGCACGTGTAGAATTGGCACTTTATAGACGAAAACCTCCGTGACCCTGAAGCGACGCTCACCAGGTTGGAGATGTTTGTGGTGTACTCGGTTCGCAGGGGAGAGTAGCTCTGCGCCAGATCGCTGCTGTAGTTGCGGTTGACGATGGTGAACTTGATGTAGAAGTGCTGCACGGGTCCCTGGGTCAGGCCGACTGGCGCTGTTGTCGTCTTCCCGGCGTTGATCGGTTTGTTCGTCACAGGAACGATGGGTGCTTTGAAAAATTCAAAAGTAAAGGTTAAGGTGCAGCTCTGAAAAATCTTGCTCGAGTGACTGCTGGCGGAAGCGCCTCCGATCGCTCGAGGGAGCTCTACGGACCCCCTCCTGAGCGTATTTTTTGTTTTGTTACGTGGTTATAATACTTTGAAGGAGAAAGAAAATCGCCAACTTGTTTTTTAATGAAATACGGAGTGCCAATGGTGAGCATGACTCGTTGAGTCCCTAGGTTCTTTTTCAGGAGGGTACTGCTACAGTGAGATGTAATCTGTGGGTAACGCGCGGTTTACCTTCTGTGGTGGTTGTCTGTTTGGTCGTTAAAGCTGCTGTGGTGGAAACTAAAACACAGAAGTACAAGGAAGAAAAATCATGAATATACGTGGCTTCTATGCCGCTTTGCAACGTACATTTGTCCTCGGAAGTATTCATTAGACTTAATTGAGACAGAGTCGCTGCAAATTCAACATTAGCTGGAAACAGTTGTATTGGTTGTGGTTGTGATTGCGGATGCCCGCGTGGTTGTGGTATGGACGGAATGTTGCGTGTGGCGTACCTGAGGGTGGCAGCCCTGTGCCTGGTGGTGTCGTTGACGGAGGAGTTGCTGAGGACCAAACACACAGACTCATTAATGGCCATCATCGCTTCCTAAAAGGTAAAGGTGGAGCCCTGAATTTACTTGCTCACGCCATTGCCGAGGGACGGTGCCTCCACTACAGATAGTTCTATAAAGCCCATCTAAAGGGTATTTGGCCCACTCTTCCATGCTGGCCTGATGTTTTGGAAGAGGTGGGAGTAACCACATGTTACCTGGCACCTACGTCAATTTTGGTAAACATTTCACGGTGAGTGGGCCATGACTCTGGGGCTAGTGCACCATATTTGTTTTCAACATGCGCAGGTCACTGCCAGATGGCAGACGTCCACGTAATCGACCGCAAATTAGGAAGAGCAGTGAAATGTTTCATGTGGGCCACACTTGCAATGACGCGGTCATTTGTGCTGGTTCGTGAATGTGTTGCCTTACCTGGACTGGGAGGTGCTTGTGTTGCAGATGGAGGCATTGGTTCTGTTCCTGTTCATGCACAAAGACGTCATGTCAGCCTTAAAAACATTGTATACAATGCAATGTAAATTTATAAAACGTCTCAATGCGGCCGCATCTACAGACGTTTTACAAGAAGAGTAGGCATTCTTATTTTATAGACTCAGAGTCAATCATAGGCAGAGGAGCCTGTACTTGTGCATGAAGTTGACAGCATGGATGGATGCAGGAGGGGAGTTCGAGCCAATGGTAGCAGTAGAGGCGAATGAGCGACCTACCACTGGGCAAAGGTCAACTGGGGGCTTTGACAGAAAGTCCGAGTTGCTGGAGCAGAGAGTGCAAGGTGGGGAAGCGAGTGCGATGAGAGTGACAAGGTAAGCAAGGATGAGTCAGTGGAGGATCTTTAAAACTGTGAGTGTGATCTTGAGAGCCAGTGGAGGCATCCACGTATTGAGTACAAGTGGGCTCATTGACAGTTGTCGGTGAGATGTCTCGCAGCAGCTGAAATAATTCCATCTGAACGTGTCGCGTTGAAATGAAGGCGTCCACTTACTGGTCACTGTGAGGTCTGTTTTCTTGAGCAGGTAAGGTCCCAGGCTGCTCAGTTGGGTGGTTCCTGCTCTGAAGGCCGCGTCAACCACCGACTCGTTCACACTGCTGGTGTTTGTGAACTCGCACCTGGCAACCACCACCAGTGGGCCCTCCCTGCGGAATTCAATGATGCAAAGTTAGTTTTCAAAAAAATCTATTGTCAGCTTTCACACTTTCAGGGATGCTGCCGTGGTGGAATGGTTATCACACTGGACTTGCAATCCAGATTTAAATTCGTCGGTTCAATTTTATTTCTCCCCACGGCAGCATAACAATGGTGGAAGCTTCTTCAATCCACCCCGCAAACTCTGTCCACCCAGCAGTATGAATGGGTGGAACCAATCGGTGTGTAGTGCATGGTGGGGTAAAGTGTGGGTAACTCCAAGCTCTTCCAAGAAGAGTAGGCAAATACCCCAAAGCAAGGGGCTCTCTTTGAGCTCCCTCTAGTAAAGGCCTTTCCGCCAGCAGTTGTGCGAGCAGGTACTTGCAGGGCTGCACCTTTACATTCACCATGCATTTCAAATTTGTTTAATTATAACGTCGAAGCCCATGCGGTGTCTCGAACTTGCGTTTGTTGTCTGAAGTGTGTGAAAGATTAAATTGACACGTACCAGTATTTCGCCACGTGGCATGTTTGGAATCCATGTCCTATTTCCTGGGCGAAGAGGTTGTCCAACTGAAAGAGAGAGCAAAAGTCAAGCATTTGCAAACAGCTTGCTTCAAACGTCAGTGTCATGACACATTTTATTTATTATATCCCAACTGTGCTATTGGTGTCACGTCATGAGACAAACTCTCACAGAGCAGTACAACCCTTCTTGATATAATGTACAGCTCACAGAAGCAGATATCATAGAACTACCTCTGAGATCCCTTCCAGTGACCTCTGGTCCACAGTGATACATATTCATATATTTCTGAATTTTCAGAGGTAAAATTTAACCAAAGTTGATATTTTTTGGGGCGGTCTTTAATGACTGAGCTGAGATCATCAACTCACCACACTGAAAAACCCAGTGTATTCACGGGCAGCTGAATCCTGGATATGAACCCAGTATCTCAGCTGTGCCGGCTTTGGTCTCTGACCGCTGAGCGACTCAGCCACCTCTGATGTAATTGCGTTTTGTGCAGTTATTGGTAGCTGAGCTGAGACCATCAACTCTCTACACTTGAGAACCCAGTTTAATCACAGACGGCTGAAGCCCGGATCCTAACCCAGTATCTCAGCTGTGACTGCTCCTACCTCTGATTCCAACAAGTAATTTTTAAGCAACAGACCGTGAATTGCCAGAGAACTTAGGAATAAGAAGCGAAGCTAAGTTTGCACGTGTAGAATTGGCACTTTATAGACGAAAACCTCCGTGACCCTGAAGCGACGCTCACCAGGTTGGAGATGTTTGTGGTGTACTCGGTTCGCAGGGGAGAGTAGCTCTGCGCCAGATCGCTGCTGTAGTTGCGGTTGACGATGGTGAACTTGATGTAGAAGTGCTGCACGGGTCCCTGGGTCAGGCCGACTGGCGCTGTTGTCGTCTTCCCGGCGTTGATCGGTTTGTTCGTCACAGGAACGATGGGTGCTTTGAAAAATTCAAAAGTAAAGGTTAAGGTGCAGCTCTGAAAAATCTTGCTCAAGTGACTGCTGGCGGAAGCGCCTCCGATCGCTCGAGGGAGCTCTACGGACCCCCTCCTGAGCGTATTTTTTGTTTTGTTACGTGGTTATAATACTTTTAAGGAGAAAGAAAATCGCCAACTTGTTTTTTAATGAAATACGGAGTGCCAATGGTGAGCATGACTCGTTGAGTCCCTAGGTTCTTTTTCAGGAGGGTACTGCTACAGTGAGATGTAATCTGTGGGTAACGCGCGGTTTACCTTCTGTGGTGGTTGTCTGTTTGGTCGTTAAAGCCGCTGTGGTGGAAACAAAAACACAGAAGTACAAGGAAGAAAAATCATGAATATACGTGGCTTCTATGCCGCTTTGCAACGTACATTTGTCCTCGGAAGTATTCATTAGACTTAATTGAGACAGAGTCGCTGCAAATTCAACATTAGCTGGAAACAGTTGTATTGGTTGTGGTTGTGATTGCGGATGCCCGCGTGGTTGTGGTATGGACGGAATGTTGCGTGTGGCGTACCTGAGGGTGGCAGCCCTGTGCCTGGTGGTGTCGTTGACGGAGGAGTTGCTGAGGACCAAACACACAGACTCATTAATGGCCATCATCGCTTCCTAAAAGGTAAAGGTGGAGCCCTGAATTTACTTGCTCACGCCATTGCCGAGGGACGGTGCCTCCACTACGGATAGTTCTATAAAGCCCATCTAAAGGGTATTTGGCCCACTCTTCCATGCTGGCCTGATGTTTTGGAAGAGGTGGGAGTAACCACATGTTACCTGGCACCTACGTCAATTTTGGTAAACATTTCACGGTGAGTGGGCCATGACTCTGGGACTAGTGCACCATATTTGTTTTCAACATGCGCAGGTCACTGCCAGATGGCAGACGTCCACGTAATCGACCGCAAATTAGGAAGAGCAGTGAAATGTTTCATGTGGGCCACACTTGCAATGACGCGGTCATTTGTGTTGGTTCGTGAATGTGTTGCCTTACCTGGACTGGGAGGTGCTTGTGTTGCAGATGGAGGCATTGGTTCTGTTCCTGTTCGTGCACAAAGACGTCATGTCAGCCTTAAAAACATTGTATACAATGCAATGTAAATTTATAAAACGTCTCAATGCGGCCGCATCTACAGACGTTTTACAAGAAGAGTGGGCATTCTTATTTTATAGACTCAAAGAGTAATCATAGGCAGAGGAGCCTGTACTTGTGCATGGCGTTGACAGCATGGATGGCTGCGGGAGGGGAGTTCGAGCCAATGGCAGCAGTAGAGGCGAATGAGCGACCTACCACTGGGTAAAGGTCAACTGGGGGCTTTGACACAAAGTCCGAGTTGCTGGAGCAGAGAGTGCATGGTGGGGATGAGAGTGCGATGAGAGTGACAAGGTAAGCAAGGATGAGTCAGTGGAGGATCTTTAAAACTGTGAGTGTGATCTTGAGAGCCAGTGGAGGCATCCACGTATTGAGTACAAGTGGGCTCATTGACAGTTGTCGGTGAGATGTCTCGCAGCAGCTGAAATAATTACATCTGAACGTGTCGCGTTGAAATGAAGGTGTCCACTTACTGGTCACTGTGAGGTCTGTTTTCTTGAGCAGGTAAGGTCCCAGGCTGCTCAGTTGGGTGGTTCCTGCTCTGAAGGCCGCGTCAACCACCGACTCGTTCACGCTGCTTGTGTTTGTGAACTCGCACCTGGCAACCACCACCAGTGGTCCCTCCCTGTGGACATCAATGACACAAAGTTCACGTACATCATCGTTTAACACAAAGGTAAACTGGTTTCCTGCTCAAATGAGCGTTGAGGTGGTGCTCAGCTCCAGTTTACAGCTCAGCCAGTGCTGGAAATTCCACATTTCTATGATGGGAAAGCCTCTACATATGTGTAAGCTTCTTAAATCCACCCCGTGAACTCTGTTCACCTAGCAGTATGAACTGGTAGAACTAAAGTCGATTAGCGGGTTGCGCGTGGTGAAGTAAAATGTGGGTACTCCCACCTCTTTTGAGATGTCTGGTCAGTGTGGAAAAGATGGCAAATACCTCCAAGCATGGGGCTCTCGAGCTCTCTCTCGTGAAGGCCCTTCTACCAGCAGTGGCGTGAGCAGGTACTTGCAGGGCTGCACCTTTAGCTTTTTATTTCACCTGGCATTTTAAAGTTGATCTCTGATAATGTCTAACCTCACTTTAACAGTCAATACGATGTCTCTAAATTGCGTTTGTTCTCTGATCCGTGTGTGCACGAGAGAGATTAAAATGACAACTTATACTATCGATTATAGTTTTAGCACACGTACCAGTAATTCGTTACTGTGCATGCCTGCAGTGCATCCCCGATTTCCTGAAAGAACAGGTTCTCCAACTGAAAGAGAAAGAGAGAGCAAAAGCAAAGCATTTGCAAACATCTCGCTTCAAACTCCAGTGTCATTAAACACGTTTGTCTTTCCCCCATATTTATCCCAATTGTGCTATTGGTTTCACGTTATGAGATGAAGAATTTACTCGGAACTCTTACAAAGCAGGACAACCCTAAGTGATATGATATATGTTCCACAGAAGCAGGTATCATAGAACTACTGACAAGTTATACTGGCAAGTAATGTTTGTTGCATTATAAAAGTCAAAGTCACGTACGTTTGTTTTTTTAATTTTACGTGCTAGAATTTAGCCAAATTAAGCGCAGAACCACATTTTATCATTGTTGGATAGTAATTGGTGACTGAGCAGAGATCATTATCTCACAACACTTGAAACACCCATTATAGTGACAGGCGGCTGAAACCTGGATATGAACCCATGATCTCAGCTGGGCCAGCTCTGACCTCCGATTCCAGCCAGTACTATTTAAGCAACAAACTCTGAATTGGCAGAGAACATAGGAATGAGAAGCGAAGTTAAGTTTGCACGTGTAGAATTGTCACTTTGTAGATGAAAACTTCCGTAACCCTGAAGCGAGGCTCACCAGGTTGGAGATGTTTGTGGTGTACTCGGTTCGCAGGGGAGAGTAGCTCTGCGCCAGATCGCTGCTGTAGTTGCGGTTGACGATAGTGAACTTGATGTAGAAGTGCTGCACGGGTCCCTGGGTCAGGCCGACTGGCGCTGTTGTCGTCTTCCCGGCGTTGATCGGTTTGTTCGTCACAGGAACGATGGGTGCTTTGAAAAATTCAAAAGTAAAGGTTAAGGTGCAGCTCTGAAAAATCTTGCTCAAGTGACTGCTGGCGGAAGCGCCTCCGATCGCTCGAGGGAGCTCTACGGAGCCCCTCCTGAGCGTATTTTTTCGTTTTGTTACATGGTTATAATACTTTGAAGGGGGAAGAAAATCGGAAACTTGTTTTTTAATGAAACACGGAGTGCCAATGGTGAGCATGACTCGTTGAGTCCCTAGATTCTTTTTTCAGAAGGGTACTGCTACAGTGAGATGTAATCTGTGGGTAACGCGCGGTTTACCTTCTGTGGTGGTCGTCTGTTTGGTCGTTAAAGCCGCTGTGGTGGAAACTAAAACACAGAAGTACAAGGAAGAAAAATCATGAATATACGTGGCTTCTATGCCGCTTTGCAACGTACATTTGTCCTCGGAAGTATTCATTAGACTTAATTGAGACAGAGTCGCTGCAAATTCAACATTAGCTGGAAACAGTTGTATTGGTTGTGGTTGTGATTGCGGATGCCCGCGTGGTTGTGGTATGGACGGAATGTTGCGTGTGGCGTACCTGAGGGTGGCAGCCCTGTGCCTGGTGGTGTCGTTGACGGAGGAGTTGCTGAGGACCAAACACACAGACTCATTAATGGCCATCATCGCTTCCTAAAAGGTAAAGGTGGAGCCCTGAATTTACTTGCTCACGCCATTGCCGAGGGACGGTGCCTCCACTACAGATAGTTCTATAAAGCCCATCTAAAGGGTATTTGGCCCACTCTTCCATGCTGGCCTGATGTTTTGGAAGAGGTGGGAGTAACCACATGTTACCTGGCACCTACGTCAATTTTGGTAAACATTTCACGGTGAGTGGGCCATGACTCTGGGGCTAGTGCACCATATTTGTTTTCAACATGCGCAGGTCACTGCCAGATGGCAGACGTCCACGTAATCGACCGCAAATTAGGAAGAGCAGTGAAATGTTTCATGTGGGCCACACTTGCAATGACGCGGTCATTTGTGCTGGTTCGTGAATGTGTTGCCTTACCTGGACTGGGAGGTGCTTGTGTTGCAGATGGAGGCATTGGTTCTGTTCCTGTTCATGCACAAAGACGTCATGTCAGCCTTAAAAACATTGTATACAATGCAATGTAAATTTATAAAACGTCTCAATGCGGCCGCATCTACAGACGTTTTACAAGAAGAGTAGGCATTCTTATTTTATAGACTCAGAGTCAATCATAGGCAGAGGAGCCTGTACTTGTGCATGAAGTTGACAGCATGGATGGATGCAGGAGGGGAGTTCGAGCCAATGGTAGCAGTAGAGGCGAATGAGCGACCTACCACTGGGCAAAGGTCAACTGGGGGCTTTGACAGAAAGTCCGAGTTGCTGGAGCAGAGAGTGCAAGGTGGGGAAGCGAGTGCGATGAGAGTGACAAGGTAAGCAAGGATGAGTCAGTGGAGGATCTTTAAAACTGTGAGTGTGATCTTGAGAGCCAGTGGAGGCATCCACGTATTGAGTACAAGTGGGCTCATTGACAGTTGTCGGTGAGATGTCTCGCAGCAGCTGAAATAATTCCATCTGAACGTGTCGCGTTGAAATGAAGGCGTCCACTTACTGGTCACTGTGAGGTCTGTTTTCTTGAGCAGGTAAGGTCCCAGGCTGCTCAGTTGGGTGGTTCCTGCTCTGAAGGCCGCGTCAACCACCGACTCGTTCACACTGCTGGTGTTTGTGAACTCGCACCTGGCAACCACCACCAGTGGGCCCTCCCTGCGGAATTCAATGATGCAAAGTTAGTTTTCAAAAAAATCTATTGTCAGCTTTCACACTTTCAGGGATGCTGCCGTGGTGGAATGGTTATCACACTGGACTTGCAATCCAGATTTAAATTCGTCGGTTCAATTTTATTTCTCCCCACGGCAGCATAACAATGGTGGAAGCTTCTTCAATCCACCCCGCAAACTCTGTCCACCCAGCAGTATGAATGGGTGGAACCAATCGGTGTGTAGTGCATGGTGGGGTAAAGTGTGGGTAACTCCAAGCTCTTCCAAGAAGAGTAGGCAAATACCCCAAAGCAAGGGGCTCTCTTTGAGCTCCCTCTAGTAAAGGCCTTTCCGCCAGCAGTTGTGCGAGCAGGTACTTGCAGGGCTGCACCTTTACATTCACCATGCATTTCAAATTTGTTTAATTATAACGTCGAAGCCCATGCGGTGTCTCGAACTTGCGTTTGTTGTCTGAAGTGTGTGAAAGATTAAATTGACACGTACCAGTATTTCGCCACGTGGCATGTTTGGAATCCATGTCCTATTTCCTGGGCGAAGAGGTTGTCCAACTGAAAGAGAGAGCAAAAGTCAAGCATTTGCAAACAGCTTGCTTCAAACGTCAGTGTCATGACACATTTTATTTATTATATCCCAACTGTGCTATTGGTGTCACGTCATGAGACAAACTCTCACAGAGCAGTACAACCCTTCTTGATATAATGTACAGCTCACAGAAGCAGATATCATAGAACTACCTCTGAGATCCCTTCCAGTGACCTCTGGTCCACAGTGATACATATTCATATATTTCTGAATTTTCAGAGGTAAAATTTAACCAAAGTTGATATTTTTTGGGGCGGTCTTTAATGACTGAGCTGAGATCATCAACTCACCACACTGAAAAACCCAGTGTATTCACGGGCAGCTGAATCCTGGATATGAACCCAGTATCTCAGCTGTGCCGGCTTTGGTCTCTGACCGCTGAGCGACTCAGCCACCTCTGATGTAATTGCGTTTTGTGCAGTTATTGGTAGCTGAGCTGAGACCATCAACTCTCTACACTTGAGAACCCAGTTTAATCACAGACGGCTGAAGCCCGGATCCTAACCCAGTATCTCAGCTGTGACTGCTCCTACCTCTGATTCCAACAAGTAATTTTTAAGCAACAGACCGTGAATTGCCAGAGAACTTAGGAATAAGAAGCGAAGCTAAGTTTGCACGTGTAGAATTGGCACTTTATAGACGAAAACCTCCGTGACCCTGAAGCGACGCTCACCAGGTTGGAGATGTTTGTGGTGTACTCGGTTCGCAGGGGAGAGTAGCTCTGCGCCAGATCGCTGCTGTAGTTGCGGTTGACGATGGTGAACTTGATGTAGAAGTGCTGCACGGGTCCCTGGGTCAGGCCGACTGGCGCTGTTGTCGTCTTCCCGGCGTTGATCGGTTTGTTCGTCACAGGAACGATGGGTGCTTTGAAAAATTCAAAAGTAAAGGTTAAGGTGCAGCTCTGAAAAATCTTGCTCAAGTGACTGCTGGCGGAAGCGCCTCCGATCGCTCGAGGGAGCTCTACGGACCCCCTCCTGAGCGTATTTTTTGTTTTGTTACGTGGTTATAATACTTTTAAGGAGAAAGAAAATCGCCAACTTGTTTTTTAATGAAATACGGAGTGCCAATGGTGAGCATGACTCGTTGAGTCCCTAGGTTCTTTTTCAGGAGGGTACTGCTACAGTGAGATGTAATCTGTGGGTAACGCGCGGTTTACCTTCTGTGGTGGTTGTCTGTTTGGTCGTTAAAGCCGCTGTGGTGGAAACAAAAACACAGAAGTACAAGGAAGAAAAATCATGAATATACGTGGCTTCTATGCCGCTTTGCAACGTACATTTGTCCTCGGAAGTATTCATTAGACTTAATTGAGACAGAGTCGCTGCAAATTCAACATTAGCTGGAAACAGTTGTATTGGTTGTGGTTGTGATTGCGGATGCCCGCGTGGTTGTGGTATGGACGGAATGTTGCGTGTGGCGTACCTGAGGGTGGCAGCCCTGTGCCTGGTGGTGTCGTTGACGGAGGAGTTGCTGAGGACCAAACACACAGACTCATTAATGGCCATCATCGCTTCCTAAAAGGTAAAGGTGGAGCCCTGAATTTACTTGCTCACGCCATTGCCGAGGGACGGTGCCTCCACTACGGATAGTTCTATAAAGCCCATCTAAAGGGTATTTGGCCCACTCTTCCATGCTGGCCTGATGTTTTGGAAGAGGTGGGAGTAACCACATGTTACCTGGCACCTACGTCAATTTTGGTAAACATTTCACGGTGAGTGGGCCATGACTCTGGGACTAGTGCACCATATTTGTTTTCAACATGCGCAGGTCACTGCCAGATGGCAGACGTCCACGTAATCGACCGCAAATTAGGAAGAGCAGTGAAATGTTTCATGTGGGCCACACTTGCAATGACGCGGTCATTTGTGTTGGTTCGTGAATGTGTTGCCTTACCTGGACTGGGAGGTGCTTGTGTTGCAGATGGAGGCATTGGTTCTGTTCCTGTTCGTGCACAAAGACGTCATGTCAGCCTTAAAAACATTGTATACAATGCAATGTAAATTTATAAAACGTCTCAATGCGGCCGCATCTACAGACGTTTTACAAGAAGAGTGGGCATTCTTATTTTATAGACTCAAAGAGTAATCATAGGCAGAGGAGCCTGTACTTGTGCATGGCGTTGACAGCATGGATGGCTGCGGGAGGGGAGTTCGAGCCAATGGCAGCAGTAGAGGCGAATGAGCGACCTACCACTGGGTAAAGGTCAACTGGGGGCTTTGACACAAAGTCCGAGTTGCTGGAGCAGAGAGTGCATGGTGGGGATGAGAGTGCGATGAGAGTGACAAGGTAAGCAAGGATGAGTCAGTGGAGGATCTTTAAAACTGTGAGTGTGATCTTGAGAGCCAGTGGAGGCATCCACGTATTGAGTACAAGTGGGCTCATTGACAGTTGTCGGTGAGATGTCTCGCAGCAGCTGAAATAATTACATCTGAACGTGTCGCGTTGAAATGAAGGTGTCCACTTACTGGTCACTGTGAGGTCTGTTTTCTTGAGCAGGTAAGGTCCCAGGCTGCTCAGTTGGGTGGTTCCTGCTCTGAAGGCCGCGTCAACCACCGACTCGTTCACGCTGCTTGTGTTTGTGAACTCGCACCTGGCAACCACCACCAGTGGTCCCTCCCTGTGGACATCAATGACACAAAGTTCACGTACATCATCGTTTAACACAAAGGTAAACTGGTTTCCTGCTCAAATGAGCGTTGAGGTGGTGCTCAGCTCCAGTTTACAGCTCAGCCAGTGCTGGAAATTCCACATTTCTATGATGGGAAAGCCTCTACATATGTGTAAGCTTCTTAAATCCACCCCGTGAACTCTGTTCACCTAGCAGTATGAACTGGTAGAACTAAAGTCGATTAGCGGGTTGCGCGTGGTGAAGTAAAATGTGGGTACTCCCACCTCTTTTGAGATGTCTGGTCAGTGTGGAAAAGATGGCAAATACCTCCAAGCATGGGGCTCTCGAGCTCTCTCTCGTGAAGGCCCTTCTACCAGCAGTGGCGTGAGCAGGTACTTGCAGGGCTGCACCTTTAGCTTTTTATTTCACCTGGCATTTTAAAGTTGATCTCTGATAATGTCTAACCTCACTTTAACAGTCAATACGATGTCTCTAAATTGCGTTTGTTCTCTGATCCGTGTGTGCACGAGAGAGATTAAAATGACAACTTATACTATCGATTATAGTTTTAGCACACGTACCAGTAATTCGTTACTGTGCATGCCTGCAGTGCATCCCCGATTTCCTGAAAGAACAGGTTCTCCAACTGAAAGAGAAAGAGAGAGCAAAAGCAAAGCATTTGCAAACATCTCGCTTCAAACTCCAGTGTCATTAAACACGTTTGTCTTTCCCCCATATTTATCCCAATTGTGCTATTGGTTTCACGTTATGAGATGAAGAATTTACTCGGAACTCTTACAAAGCAGGACAACCCTAAGTGATATGATATATGTTCCACAGAAGCAGGTATCATAGAACTACTGACAAGTTATACTGGCAAGTAATGTTTGTTGCATTATAAAAGTCAAAGTCACGTACGTTTGTTTTTTTAATTTTACGTGCTAGAATTTAGCCAAATTAAGCGCAGAACCACATTTTATCATTGTTGGATAGTAATTGGTGACTGAGCAGAGATCATTATCTCACAACACTTGAAACACCCATTATAGTGACAGGCGGCTGAAACCTGGATATGAACCCATGATCTCAGCTGGGCCAGCTCTGACCTCCGATTCCAGCCAGTACTATTTAAGCAACAAACTCTGAATTGGCAGAGAACATAGGAATGAGAAGCGAAGTTAAGTTTGCACGTGTAGAATTGTCACTTTGTAGATGAAAACTTCCGTAACCCTGAAGCGAGGCTCACCAGGTTGGAGATGTTTGTGGTGTACTCGGTTCGCAGGGGAGAGTAGCTCTGCGCCAGATCGCTGCTGTAGTTGCGGTTGACGATAGTGAACTTGATGTAGAAGTGCTGCACGGGTCCCTGGGTCAGGCCGACTGGCGCTGTTGTCGTCTTCCCGGCGTTGATCGGTTTGTTCGTCACAGGAACGATGGGTGCTTTGAAAAATTCAAAAGTAAAGGTTAAGGTGCAGCTCTGAAAAATCTTGCTCAAGTGACTGCTGGCGGAAGCGCCTCCGATCGCTCGAGGGAGCTCTACGGAGCCCCTCCTGAGCGTATTTTTTCGTTTTGTTACATGGTTATAATACTTTGAAGGGGGAAGAAAATCGGAAACTTGTTTTTTAATGAAACACGGAGTGCCAATGGTGAGCATGACTCGTTGAGTCCCTAGATTCTTTTTTCAGAAGGGTACTGCTACAGTGAGATGTAATCTGTGGGTAACGCGCGGTTTACCTTCTGTGGTGGTCGTCTGTTTGGTCGTTAAAGCCGCTGTGGTGGAAACTAAAACACAGAAGTACAAGGAAGAAAAATCATGAATATACGTGGCTTCTATGCCGCTTTGCAACGTACATTTGTCCTCGGAAGTATTCATTAGACTTAATTGAGACAGAGTCGCTGCAAATTCAACATTAGCTGGAAACAGTTGTATTGGTTGTGGTTGTGATTGCGGATGCCCGCGTGGTTGTGGTATGGACGGAATGTTGCGTGTGGCGTACCTGAGGGTGGCAGCCCTGTGCCTGGTGGTGTCGTTGACGGAGGAGTTGCTGAGGACCAAACACACAGACTCATTAATGGCCATCATCGCTTCCTAAAAGGTAAAGGTAGAGCCCTGAATTTACTTGCTCACGCCATTGCCGAGGGACGGTGCCTCCACTACGGATAGTTCTATAAAGCCCATCTAAAGGGTATTTGGCCCACTCTTCCATGCTGGCCTGATGTTTTGGAAGAGGTGGGAGTAACCACATGTTACCTGGCACCTACGTCAATTTTGGTAAACATTTCACGGTGAGTGGGCCATGACTCTGGGACTAGTGCACCATGTTTGTTTTCAACATGCGCAGGTCACCGCCAGATGGCAGACGTCCATGTAATCGACCGCAAATTAGGAAGAGCAGTGAAATGTTTCATGTGGGGCACACTTGAAATGACGCGGTCATTCGTGTTGGTTCGTGAATGTGTTGCCTTACCTGGACTGGGAGGTGCTTGTGTTGCAGATGGAGGCATTGGTTCTGTTCCTGTTTGTGCACAAAGACGTCATGTCAGCCTTAAAAACATTGTATACAATGCAATATAAATTTATAAAACGTCTCAATGCGGCCGCATCTACAGACGTTTTACAAGAAGAGTAAGCATTCTTATTTTATAGACTCAAGGAGTCAATCATAAGCAGAGGAGCCTGTACTTGTGCATGGAGTTGACAGCATGGATGGCTGCGGGAGGGGAGTTCGAGCCAATGGCAGCAGTAGAGGCGAATGAGCGACCTACCACTGGGTAAAGGTCAACTGGGGCTTTGACAGAAAGTCCGAGTTGCTGGAGCAGAGAGTGCATGGTGGGGAAGAGAGTGCGATGAGAGTGACAAGGTAAGCAAGGATGAGTCAGTGGAGGATCTTTAAAACTGTGAGTGTGATCTTGAGAGCCAGTGGAGGCATCCGCGAATTGAGTACAAGTGGGCTCATTGACAGTTGTCGGTGAGATGTCTCGCAGCAGCTGAAATAATTCCATCTGAACGTCTAGCGTTAAAATGAAGGCGTCCACTTACTGGTCACTGTGAGGTCTGTGTTCTTTAGCAGGTAAGGTCCCAGGCTGCTCAGTTGGGTGGTTCCTGCTTTGAAGGCCGCGTCAACCACCGACTCGTTCACACTGCTGGTGTTTGTGAACTCGCACCTCGCAACCACCACTAGTGGGCCCTCCCTGCGGACATCAATGACACAAAGTTCACTTATATCATCGTTTAACACAAAGGTAAACTGGTTTCCTGCTCAAATGAGCGTTGAGGTGGTGCTCAGCTCCAGTTTACAGCTCAGCCGGTGCTGGAAATTCCACATTTCTATGATGGGAAAGCCTCTCCATATGTGTAAGCTTCTTAAATCTACCCCTTGAACTCTGTTCACCTAACAGTTTGAATTGGTAGAACTAAAGTCGATTAGCGGGTTGCGCGTGGTGGGGTAAAATGTGGGTACTCCAACCTTTTTGAGATGTCTGGTCAGTGTGGAAGAGGAGGCAAATACCTCCAAGCAAGGGGCTCTCTTGAGCTCTCTCTCGTGAAGGCCCTTCTACCAGCAGTGGCGTGAGCAGGTACTTGCAGGGCTGCACCTTTAGCTTTTTATTTCATCTGGCATATTAAGGTTGACCTCTGATAATGTCTAACCTCACTTTAACAGTCAATACGATGTCTATAACTTGCGTTTGTTCTCTGATCCGTGTGTGCACGTGAGAGATTAAAATGACAACTTATACTATCGATTAAAGTTTTAGCACACGTACCAGTAATTCGTCACTGTGCATGCCTGCAGTGCATCCCCGATTTCCTGATAGAACAGGTTCTCCAGCTGAAAGAGAGGGCAAAAGCGAAGCATTTGCAAACATCTCGCTTCAAACACCAGTGTCATTAAACATGTTTGTCTTTCCTCCATATTTTATCCCAATTGTGCTATTGGTGTCACGTTATGAGATGAAGAATTTACTCGGAACTCTTACAAAGCAGGACAACCCTAAGTGATATGATATATGTTCCACAGAAGCAGATATCATAGAACTATTGACAAGTTATACTGGCGAGTAATGTTTGTTGCATTATAAAAGTCAAAGTCACGTACGTTTGTTTTTTAATTCTACGTGCTAGAATTTAGCCAAATTAAGTGCAGAACCACATTTGATCATTGTTGGATAGTAATTGGTGACTGAGCTGAGATCATTATCTCACAACACTTGAAAAACCCATTATAATGACAGGCGGCTGAAACCTGGATATGAACCCATGATCTCAGCTGGGCCAGCTCTGACCTCCGATTCCAGCCAGTACTATTTAAGCAACAAACTCTGAATTGGCAGAGAACATAGGAATGAGAAGCGAAGTTAAGTTTGCACGTGTAGAATTGTCACTTTGTAGATGAAAACTTCCGTAACCCTGAAGCGACGCTCACCAGGTTGGAGATGTTTGTGGTGTACTCGGTTCGCAGGGGAGAGTAGCTCTGCGCCAGATCGCTGCTGTAGTTGCGGTTGACGATAGTGAACTTGATGTAGAAGTGCTGCACGGGTCCCTGGGTCAGGCCGACTGGCGCTGTTGTCGTCTTCCCGGCGTTGATCGGTTTGTTCGTCACAGGAACGATGGGTGCTTTGAAAAATTCAAAAGTAAAGGTTAAGGTGCAGCTCTGAAAAATCTTGCTCAAGTGACTGCTGGCGGAAGCGGCTCCGATCGCTCAAGGGAGCTCTACGGAGCCCCTCCTGAGCGTATTTTTTCGTTTTGTTACGTGGTTATAATACTTTGAAGGGGGAAGAAAATCGGAAACTTGTTTTTTAATGAAACACGGAGTGCCAATGGTGAGCATGACTCGTTGAGTCCCTAGATTATTTTTTCAGAAGGGTACTGCTACAGTGAGATGTAATCTGTGGGTAACGCGCGGTTTACCTTCTGTGGTGGTCGTCTGTTTGGTCGTTAAAGCCGCTGTGGTGGAAACTAAAACACAGAAGTACAAGGAAGAAAAATCATGAATATACGTGGCTTCTATGCCGCTTTGCAACGTACATTTGTCCTCGGAAGTATTCATTAGACTTAATTGAGACAGAGTAACTGCAAATTCAACATTAGTTGGAAACAGTTGTATTGGTTGTGGTTGTGATTGCGGATGCCCGCGTAGTTGTGGTATGGACGGAATGTTGCGTGTGGCGTACCTGAGGGTGGCAGCCCTGTGCCTGGTGGTGTCATTGACGGAGGAGTTGCTGAGGACCAAACACACAGACTCATTAATGGCCATCATCGCTTCCTAAAAGGTAAAGGTAGAGCCCTGAATTTACTTGCTCACGCCATTGCCGAGGGACGGTGCCTCCACTACGGATAGTTCTATAAAGCCCATCTAAAGGGTATTTGGCCCACTCTTCCATGCTGGCCTGATGTTTTGGAAGAGGTGGGAGTAACCACATGTTACCTGGCACCTACGTCAATTTTGGTAAACATTTCACGGTGAGTGGGCCATGACTCTGGGACTAGTGCACCATGTTTGTTTTCAACATGCGCAGGTCACCGCCAGATGGCAGACGTCCATGTAATCGACCGCAAATTAGGAAGAGCAGTGAAATGTTTCATGTGGGGCACACTTGAAATGACGCGGTCATTCGTGTTGGTTCGTGAATGTGTTGCCTTACCTGGACTGGGAGGTGCTTGTGTTGCAGATGGAGGCATTGGTTCTGTTCCTGTTTGTGCACAAAGACGTCATGTCAGCCTTAAAAACATTGTATACAATGCAATATAAATTTATAAAACGTCTCAATGCGGCCGCATCTACAGACGTTTTACAAGAAGAGTAAGCATTCTTATTTTATAGACTCAAGGAGTCAATCATAAGCAGAGGAGCCTGTACTTGTGCATGGAGTTGACAGCATGGATGGCTGCGGGAGGGGAGTTCGAGCCAATGGCAGCAGTAGAGGCGAATGAGCGACCTACCACTGGGTAAAGGTCAACTGGGGCTTTGACAGAAAGTCCGAGTTGCTGGAGCAGAGAGTGCATGGTGGGGAAGAGAGTGCGATGAGAGTGACAAGGTAAGCAAGGATGAGTCAGTGGAGGATCTTTAAAACTGTGAGTGTGATCTTGAGAGCCAGTGGAGGCATCCGCGAATTGAGTACAAGTGGGCTCATTGACAGTTGTCGGTGAGATGTCTCGCAGCAGCTGAAATAATTCCATCTGAACGTCTAGCGTTAAAATGAAGGCGTCCACTTACTGGTCACTGTGAGGTCTGTGTTCTTGAGCAGGTAAGGTCCCAGGCTGCTCAGTTGGGTGGTTCCTGCTTTGAAGGCCGCGTCAACCACCGACTCGTTCACACTGCTGGTGTTTGTGAACTCGCACCTCGCAACCACCACTAGTGGGCCCTCCCTGCGGACATCAATGACACAAAGTTCACTTATATCATCGTTTAACACAAAGGTAAACTGGTTTCCTGCTCAAATGAGCGTTGAGGTGGTGCTCAGCTCCAGTTTACAGCTCAGCCGGTGCTGGAAATTCCACATTTCTATGATGGGAAAGCCTCTCCATATGTGTAAGCTTCTTAAATCTACCCCTTGAACTCTGTTCACCTAACAGTTTGAATTGGTAGAACTAAAGTCGATTAGCGGGTTGCGCTTGGTGGGGTAAAATGTGGGTACTCCAACCTTTTTGAGATGTCTGGTCAGTGTGGAAGAGGAGGCAAATACCTCCAAGCAAGGGGCTCTCTTGAGCTCTCTCTCGTGAAGGCCCTTCTACCAGCAGTGGCGTGAGCAGGTACTTGCAGGGCTGCACCTTTAGCTTTTTATTTCATCTGGCATATTAAGGTTGACCTCTGATAATGTCTAACCTCACTTTAACAGTCAATACGATGTCTATAACTTGCGTTTGTTCTCTGATCCGTGTGTGCACGTGAGAGATTAAAATGACAACTTATACTATCGATTAAAGTTTTAGCACACGTACCAGTAATTCGTCACTGTGCATGCCTGCAGTGCATCCCCGATTTCCTGATAGAACAGGTTCTCCAGCTGAAAGAGAGGGCAAAAGCGAAGCATTTGCAAACATCTCGCTTCAAACACCAGTGTCATTAAACATGTTTGTCTTTCCCCCATATTTTATCCCAATTGTGCTATTGGTGTCACGTTATGAGATGAAGAATTTACTCGGAACTCTTACAAAGCAGGACAACCCTAAGTGATATGATATATGTTCCACAGAAGCAGATATCATAGAACTATTGACAAGTTATACTGGCGAGTAATGTTTGTTGCATTATAAAAGTCAAAGTCACGTACGTTTGTTTTTTAATTCTACGTGCTAGAATTTAGCCAAATTAAGTGCAGAACCACATTTGATCATTGTTGGATAGTAATTGGTGACTGAGCTGAGATCATTATCTCACAACACTTGAAAAACCCATTATAATGACAGGCGGCTGAAACCTGGATATGAACCCATGATCTCAGCTGGGCCAGCTCTGACCTCCGATTCCAGCCAGTACTATTTAAGCAACAAACTCTGAATTGGCAGAGAACATAGGAATGAGAAGCGACATTAAGTTTGCACGTGAAGAATTGTCACTTTGTAGATGAAAACCTCTGTGACCCTGAAGCGATGCTCACCAGGTTGGAGATGTTTGTGGTGTACTCGGTTCGCAGGGGAGAGTAGCTCTGCGCCAGATCGCTGCTGTAGTTGCGGTTGACGATGGTGAACTTGATGTAGAAGTGCTGCTGGTCTCCAACGGTCGGGGCGAACGGTGGCGACGTCGTGGGGATCAGTTGGCTTGGCTCAGGCACAGTTGGAGCTTTGATTAGTGGGGTGGGGGGGAAGGGATAAAAAGAGTTCGAAAAATCACGTGAATGGCATTGCTTTCAAATGCACTTTTCTTCGGGAGTGTGGAATGAGCGATAATGATATTAGGTTTCCGGTAGCACAGCGAGACGATGTCGCATGGCGCAACAACACGCGATGTCAGATGGTGACGTTGAACGCTGTCATGTCACATGCGCATTAGCCCCCGGCACTGTTTCTTTTAACGGTGGTTTGTGTCTCTAAGTTTAACCCTCTTTTGTGTCTCCAAGCTTTGAGCAATGATCCTTTGATTATTGTGTCTGGTTTTCTCCAGGGTGAGTTCCGAAGAGCAAACACAACTTCGTATTTAAGTTTTTTTTCACGTTGACTTATCTTCACGAGAGTTACCGTTACCCCGCTTTAGGAGGACGGACAGAGTTAATGCATTCTCGCTTTCAATCTGAGTTGGAAAGTGCTAAAATTATAATTAATGCTTGAGCTATGATTAGGGCTTCTGAGTTTTGCTTTTAAGCAATTATCCCTGATAAAACTTTTCTGATATAATTAATGAAATTGGTATTTTCCCAAGATCTTCCAAAAAAACATCAGAAATGGTTCCTCCATTAATGTGGACCTCACCAGAAAGCGAATAATTAATCATCCTGGTCATTAGCCGTGATCAATACAACACAGGAATTTAACACAGAAATTCCACACAGAATGTGATCACAAGCAGGTACTGTAACAATGGTTATTCAGCGTCAGGTCAATTCAAGTGTTGATTACATTCTGAATGTTACGTATGTTCTACCTTGGGTGATCGACTGACTTGTGGTGACGTTGGATGCACTTGCAGAAGTAGTTGTTGCAACTTAGAGAAAACCAAAAGAACATGTAATTGTCATTATTACGTTAAAACGTTGCCACAACATTTACTTGGGTCTTTAACACTCTCCGTGACCTGCCAATGATGATAAAGACATGTTATAAACGTGAACATTTTAGAATAATGGTGACAACCCCTAAATTCCAGTGGGTTTCTGTGACAGGCAGTGTGTCCTGCCTGTTACAACATGGTTCATAAACATGATTATTCACAAAAATATGGAACAGAAACTGAGACGTTTGCAAAGAAGCATGGGGAGATGCACGCTTGAAATTACACAGAGGGACAAAAAAAGGACCACGTGGATCATAGAACATATGCAGGTTAAAGACATCTTTCAAACTGTTAAGAAAAGTGAATGAGCTTGTGCAGGACACGTCCTGGCTAGGAGATGGACGATGGTCAGGAATAATAACAGAGTAGTAGCTAAAGAATAGTACGTGTCCGTGAGCACATCTACTGAGTAGATGGAGCCATGAAATAAACTCGTGAGCAGGTGCTGGATGGATTGTAATAATTCAGAACTGTGAGAAGTGGCAAATGCTGGAGAGGCCTTTATCCAGTAGTGGATTTAATAATAATAGGGTTTTTCCCTTTTTTTCTGGCAACAAAACTGAAACCTTTTTACGAGGATTCATGTCTGCATTAACCACAATACCTGCAGTCAAAATGCAAACAAAAAACATACTATGATAATATATGCATTGTCCTTGAAACTGATTGGTCCACACCAAGGGACGGCTTGGTGTGGACCAGAAAGCCGTCCCTTGGTGTGGACCAATCAGTTTCAAGGACAATGCATATATTATCATAGTATGTTTTTTGTTTGCATTTTGACTGCAGGTATTGTGGTTAATGCAGACATGAATCCTTGTAAAAAGGTTTCAGTTTTGTTGTCAGAAAAAAGGGGAAAAGCCCTATTATTATATTTTGGTACTGGCAAAAGAGGTCTAATGACAGTAGTGGATTGACCATCGCTGATGATGATATTCCAGATTGATAACTGTGCTGGTAGACTGACCTGGAGCTGTGACGGCACTGGTAGTTGCTGGCGTTCCTGTTGGAGGCAGTGGCTCCGTCCCTGCTCACACGCAAACATCCACGACCCAACATCTCAACCGCCTGCACTGCGCGTCCATGCAACTGACAGCGTTGTGCATAACGTGCACATGTACAGCGCTTCCGTCAATCCACTGCGCTAGACCTGGGAGCACACAAGTACAGTACAGCGATGGATTTAGCCGCACTTGCTCTCTGCTGCCCACAACGTAGCCCTCGCGGCAGCCTGTAGCACCTGTCATGCATGGTGGTCGCACATCCAATAACTATGTAGGCTCAACCCTGCGTGGCTTCTGACATCTGATGAGATGGGGCGCATTCCGCGTGCTGTGGTCATAGACAAAACTCGTTATGTTGAAATGAAGGCGTCCACTTACTGGTCACTGTGAGGTCTGTGTTCTTGAGCAGGTAAGGTCCCAGGCTGCTCAGTTGGGTGGTTCCTGCTCTGAAGGCCGCGTCAACCACCGACTCGTTCACACTGCTGGTGTTTGTGAACTCGCACCTCGCAACCACCACTAGTGGGCCCTCCCTGCGGACATCAATGACACAAAGTTCACTTACATCATCGTTTAACACAAAGGTAAACTGGTTTCCTGCTCAAATGAGCGTTGAGGTGGTGCTCAGCTCCAGTTTACAGCTCAGCCAGTGCTGGAAATTCCACATTTCTATGATGGGAAAGCCTCTCCATATGTGTAAGCTTCTTAAATCTACCCCGTGAACTCTGTTCACCTAACAGTATGAATTGGTAGAACTAAAGTCGATTAGCGGGTTGCGCGTGGTGGGGTAAAATGTGGGTACTCCCACCTCTTTTAAGATGTCTGGTCAGTGTGGAAGAGGAGGCAAATACCTCCAAGCAAGGGGCTCTCTTGAGCTCTCTCTCGTGAAGGCCCTTCTGCCAGCAGTGGCGTGAGCAGGTACTTGCGGGGCTGCACCTTTAGCTTTTAATTCACCTGGCATTTTAAGGTTGATCTCTGATAATGTCTTACCTCACTTTAACAGTCAATACGATGTCTATAACTTGCGTTTGTTCTCTGATCCGTGTGTGCACGTGAGAGATTAAAATGACAACTTATACTATCGATTAAAGTTTTAGCACACGTACCAGTAATTCGTCACTGTGCATGCCTGCATTGCATCCCCGATTTCCTGATAGAACAGGTTCTCCAACTGAAAGAGAGAGAGCAAAAGCGAAGCATTTGCAAACATCTCGCTTCAAACACCAGTGTCATTAAACATGTTTGTCTTTCCCCCATATTTTATCCTATTTGCGCTATTGGTGTCACGTTATGAGATGAAGAATTTACTCGGAACTCATACAAAGCAGGACAACCCTAAGTGATATGATATATGTTCCACAGAAGCAGATATCATAGAACTACTGACACGTTTCCCACCCGATCTCCCACTTAGAGTAACGTTCGTTGCATTTTTTAAGTCAAAGTTAAACATATATTTTTTTCATATAGAGCTATAATTTTTCCCAATTAAGTGGAGATCCAAATTTTTATAATTTTGGGACAGTAATTGAAAAACTCAGTATAGTGACAGGCGGCTGAAACCTAGATATTGACACATGATATCAGCTGTGCCAGCTCTGGCCTCTTGATTCCAGCCAGTACAGAGAACTTAGGAATGAGAAGCAAAGCTAAGTTTGGACGTGTAGAATTGGCACTCCGTAGATGAAAACCTGCGTGACCGTGAAGCGACACTCACCAGGTTGGAGATGTTTGTGGTGTACTCGGTTCGCAGGGGAGAGTAGCTCTGCGCCAGATCGCTGCTGTAGTTGCGGTTGACGATGGTGAACTTGATGTAGAAGTGCTGGAAGGTTGCTGTTGTCGTTGTCACGGGGACAATCGGAGCTTCAATAGAAAAGCAATGAAAGGAGAAGTTTTGCCAGCCATGCTTTAAAAAAAGAATGTAAATGTGACGATGGATTTTTTTCAGTCATTGGCCTCTGGGCTGAGACTAACAGTCCGTGACATGTGAGAACCCAGTTTAATCACACCTCTGTTTATGTGAGTTAATGGGTCTCTGTGTAAGTTTACAGACCTCTATAAAACCATTAGTGAACAGGCTGAGACCACAAACTCACCACATTTGACCAAGGGGTTAATCAAGTTTGAGTGATTCATAATAAAGGGTTTTGGGTTAGATCGCGTTTATTTATAAATGTGTCGTAACCCTCCACCACCCGACACGGCCAATCAGCAAAAAAAGTGTCACGTTGACAAAAGACAAACAATTCACTACTTCAGCCCACCGGTGTGTTGAAGAGTTAATCCACATTTACAGTTTGAGTACGACGTTTCGCTGGTAAATACTTCCAGCATCATCGGGCAATTCGCCAGAATGGTAAAGCCCTCGCTTGCTCCCGGTTTTATATAGAGCAGCAGGGTGACGTCATCACTTAACTCATCAGGTGCAGTGATTAGAGGCGGAGGGGGGGGGTAATGTAATTATATAATCGATTAGTAATCAGTCATTGGTTATGATTAGTAATGAGTTGTAGATTAGTAATTCTTTAAATAAAAAATGTAATGTGTATTATTTAATAATACGCTTCCAGGCCGCACTAAGCCGGTAGCTGTCAGAGCGATTAAAGTTATTCTTGTTCCTCTCAATTTCAATGGATTCTCTAATTAGTCTTTGCCAGTAATAATTAGTTTTACACACCACTGCAACATTGTCAAAATCAATTGAGTGTCCTTGTTGACAAGCATGTTCTGCCACTGCCGACAGTTGTGTTTGAGATAATTTAATATTTCTCTGATGTTCTTTTAGTCTTACGCTGATGTTACGTCCCGTCTGCCCAATGTAGCAGCTGCCACATGAACAATTAATCCGATATACACCTTCTGTTGATAGTTTAGGTAATGCGTCTTTAGTGCAAGATACTAGTTTTTGAATTTTGTGTACTGTACCAAATCTTACTGTAATGTTTTGCTTTTGCAAAACGCGGGCTAATTTGTCAGTTACTCCTGAGATATATGGAATTTTTATTGTTTTAACAATCTGGTCGCTTTCAGTAGTATTGCTTTGCGATCGTGATTTGGCATTCAGTGCTCTGTTAATTTGAGCATTATTGTAGCCATTCTGTCGTAGTGCGTCTTTAACGTGTTTAATCTCTCTCACTAGACTCTCACCATCTGACACTGTTTTCGCCCGATGTACGAGCGTCTTGATAAGAGAGGATTTTTGAGCTGGATGATGATGTGATTCTGCATTCAGATAGGCATCAGTGTGCGTTTGCTTTCTGTAAACGCTGTGTGTTATTTTACCGTTTAGGCCATGTCCAAGCAAAATATCTAGGAATGGGAGTGTGTTATTCACCTCCATTTCCATGGTGAACTGGATGGCCGGGTTTTGGGCATTGAGATGATTTAGAAAATCATTAAGTGTATCTTTACCATGTGGCCAGACAACCAAAGTGTCATCCACATACCTAAACCAAAAGGATGGTTTTAATGTGCTCGAGGCAAGTGCTCTTATTTCAAAGTTTTCCATGTACAAATGTTGCAGTGGTGTGTAAAACTAATTATTACTGGCAAAGACTAATTAGAGAATCCATTGAAATTGAGAGGAACAAGAATAACTTTAATCGCTCTGACAGCTACCGGCTTAGTGCGGCCTGGAAGCGTATTATTAAATAATACACATTACATTTTTATTTAAAGAATTACTAATCTACAACTCATTACTAATCATAACCAATGACTGATTACTAATCGATTATATAATTACATTACCCCCCCCCTCCGCCTCTAATCACTGCACCTGATGAGTTAAGTGATGACGTCACCCTGCTGCTCTATATAAAACCGGGAGCAAGCGAGGGCTTTACCATTCTGGCGAATTGCCCGATGATGCTGGAAGTATTTACCAGCGAAACGTCGTACTCAAACTGTAAATGTGGATTAACTCTTCAACACACCGGTGGGCTGAAGTAGTGAATTGTTTGTCTTTTGTCAACGTGACACTTTTTTTGCTGATTGGCCGTGTCGGGTGGTGGAGGGTTACGACACATTTATAAATAAACGCGATCTAACCCAAAACCCTTTATTATGAATAATATTGGTCGCGAAAGCCTACGTGTTAAACCAAGTTTGAGTGGCTAAAACGGAGATTTAAATCCAGAATCACATCCAATTCCTGCTGGGTGTTTCCCACCCACAAAGCCACCGGACCATCTCATCAGACTCACGAAGGGCAACTCACCAGTTGGGGCCACGGTGATGGCTGTCGTCGCCGTGGGAGAAGTTGTTGGTGGCGCTGTGGGTGGCACACCGGTGGTTGTGGTCGTTGTTGGTGTGGTTGTTGTCGGTGTAGTCGTTGTTGGCGTGGTTGTGGTCATCCACCCGGGTGTGTTGATTGAGATCGGCGTGTTCGACACGACCGAGGGAGGCAAGCTCGTGCTCGACAGCGTCGTCACAGAGGACGTGAACCCAGGGACGATGCTTGTGGTCACGTGGACCGGCACTGGAGGATTGGAGAAGTAAAAATGGCACTGTTAGACAACCCCACAAATGAGGGACACGCATGGCCGGTTGCAGGTAGTGGACGCAAAGTGCAACGCCGCACAAACACGTCGGCGGTGAATGACGCTGTTGTTAAGAAGGAGGCGTTCGTTGATCGCACCAGTGCAATCCAATCCTGAGGATTAATACCAATTTCAGTGCGCAACATCGTTATTAACGGTACGATCTGAACGCTCAACTATCCGGGGTGATGGTGGAGAGGGGTGCGTGGCTCGAATAAAACAACACGGGCCATGCAAATTGTGTGTAAATTACCTAATTTGAAAGAAAAAAAACAGGGCACAACATCGCTAACTAGTGGCAAGCTAGTGCCCACATGCAGACCAGTGCTGCATACACCTTATTTAAACTAAAACTACACTTTTTTCAGAAGCGGCCTGGCCACAATTAATTAATCAATGAAGTGGCTTATGTGGAAGTGTATCGCAGCCAAATACTCTAAACGCAACCACGGGGAAAACATGCAAACTCCAAATTTTCAGGCGTCAGGGTCAGGTTTGAACCCACGACTACCTGCAAACCAAGCAAGGGAGTTAACATCTCGCCACGGCGGCACCCCAAAAATGCTGCAGAGGGATAACTGCCAATGGGGATCTCCTGGGCTTGTCTGCATCAGTATATTGTAATGGGTTAGATGAGATATAAGGCACTTTGAGCTTCTGTGGTATTTAAGAAAGTGACACTATACACACCTCCGATGCTGGAGCTGTTTGTGTTATGAGGGTTGCGTTGTTTTTAAATTGAATAAAGGAAACCCATTTACCTGTAGTTGTTGACTTTGCTGCATTAATTGGTGGCTGCGTCACGGGCACAATTAGACCTTCAGTTCAGCAAAAAAAGAAAGTACAGTTAGGAGGCCAACTCACACATAAACATGAATTACGTAACATTTACCAACACACGTTTGTCCTCAGGAGTATTTAATTTGCCAATATACAAATGTGCTAAACACATTTGTATATTGGCAAATCGTCCCTGTTGCTCTGGTTTATGTCTCCACGTTTTGAGCATTAATCCTCGGATCAGTGTTGGGTTTTCTATAGGCGTCCCAAGAGCAAGATAACTTTATAATCCCCATTGGATCATCGTTACGAGAGTTTATTATGCTACCCCCCCCCCCCCCCCCCCCCCCCCGTAACAGACTGATGGACACAGCTAACGCATCTAACGAAATCTTGACTGCGAGTTTCATCATTTGTGGATGGGCTACATTGTTAATGTTTTGTCCAGAAAGTTCTGCATTTACATTGCTCCTGTTTACGTTTTTTTTCTCACTTTAACATCGCCAACGATGGAGGGGGAAGCATTTCGATTTAAAATGCATTGATTAGCTGGAATGTTTTAAATTAATAACGCAGAGGTTTGGGCAGTGTATGCGATGACGGCCCCAAGCAGGCGCTCAAGCCATCGATTATCTGGGGGGAAGGGGGCGCCGGATTTGCAAAAACGCCGGATAATTACTAAATTATTATTTAAAATAGCTTATTTTTTATATTATTGTTTGACATTATGTTTTTAGGTGTAGTATGTTTTTCTTTGCAGTGTTTTAAATTAGTTTACTACGTGAAATTGCCATAAATAAACGTACTTACCACTCCAATCTCAAAGACTCTGCATGGGGTGATGTATATACGTGCAGCATTTTCATTGTTTAAGTTGTGTGTAGTGTATAATGTACTGCATATAATATTTGACACTGAAAATCAATCATAGCGACTTTTTTTGGTCACGCCGGACTGGTTACAGCCTTTGGAGCAGGTTTGCCGGTGTCGCCGGATTGATTCGGGATCGCCGGATAATGTTGGGAGCAGCCGGATAATCGCGCGGTGCCGGATAATCGATGATCAACTGTACTACCCTGTCTAAATGCAATCTCGGCCATCATCTCTGGTGAGTACTCTGTATTAACTTACATTATATATTTAGACTTGTGATATACGATGTTTCGGTTACCTTTGTTTTCTTTCTTTTGGCGCTTATTTATTATTATTTATGCAAATTTTGACCAAGAAATTACCCCCCGCAACGTATCCTAAGATGATATAATTTTCCATTTACGTTTCACCACCTATCGTCGCGTTGTCCAGGGACGCATCCCCGACGTAAATAGAGAGCTTACCGTACTTGTTTTAATGGTGCTTTGCATGAGTGTGAATGTAATGGCATTCAGAGCACTCACCTTCCGTGGCATTTGGTGTTACCGCCGTTGTCTGTGACGTCAGTAGTCCTGAAAACGAGGAGACAGTGATTTATCGTACACGGCACCGCACTGCACCATCAACGTGCGGGGTGGAGCGGTGGAGCGGTTAACGCACTGTATTATGAATCCAGTTACCCAGGTTTGATCCCTGACCACGCCTGGGTTACCCCCGCTCACCAAACCCGCACTGACCAGCGTGATGAAGCATGGTCAAATAATGCCCATGACCGACACGGCAGATAGGGATGCCTTTATTGGATCCCGGTCCGCCGTCAATAATTTTTCCCGGAAGAGACATATTCGGCAGTTTTTTCCGGCGATCTCCCTTCGACAGTGGTAATGCACTACTGAAACGTCTCTGCTACGTTATGGCGCAGCACTTTATCGCAGAAAATTGGAGTGGCATGCTTTACCAGCTGTTGCTCTTGTTGAAGCAGTTGATGCTGCTGGTGGAACAGTCGTCGTCCCGTTGACACTTGCTGTTGTGGTGGCTGTTAGGAAAGAAATAGACCGCCTCATTGCAAAAGAGCTCTTTCGTTGCATTGGAATTAAATGATTGGCAAAGTAACTCTTTGCAAAGTCATGCTGTAATGTCGAAAACTGTTTCATGGATCACGTGTGATTTAACGTCGATTATCGTCAATACAAAGTTTATTTTGTTGATGTGTGTAGAGTCTAGACTTTTACAAGTGTGTTGTTCTTTTTGATTTACATGTGCAGGTTAACATTTTTCGTTCAGATTTTATTAATGTAACAATTATACAATTTAGCAGTGTAATTAAATTAGCTTCTCACAGGAAGTAGATTGAAGAAGCTCCCAGCATGGCGAGAAAAATGTAGGGCACCACGTTAAAACAACATGCAGTGCAACCCAAGCACACAGTAGAGAGCTTCTATTTGATGTATTGATTATTACGCTTGTTTACCCAAGGCAAAGTCACTGAGTCCTAAGGTACTCATCAGGAGGATCCTGCCAAGCTTTCACAGTAGGGGGTGATGAGTTTATTGTGCTATATATTATTGCGTGTGAAGGGCAAGGGTTTTTGTACAGCATTCAAATTACCTTTGGCTGCTGTTGTCGATATTCTCATTGTTTGAGAAGTTGAGGTGACTGCTGCTGATGCAATTGGTGTGGATGGGGTTAGTGGTGAGGTTGTTGAGCCTGGCGCTGCTGTTGAAACTGTTGAGCCTGGCGCTGCTGTTGAAACTGTTGAGCCTGGCGCTGCTGTTGAGACTGTTGAGCCTGGAGCTGCAGTTGAGGCGGTTGAGCCTGGAGCTGCTGTTGAGACTGTTGAGCCTAGAGCTGCTGTGGAGACTGTTGAGCCTAGAGCTGCAGTTGAGGCTGTTGAGCCTTGAGCTGCAGTTGAGGCGGTTGAGCCTGGAGCTGCTGTTGAGACTGTTGAGCCTGGAGCAGCTGTTGAGATCGTTGAGCCTGGCGCTGCTGTTGAGACTGTTGAGCCTGGAGCAGCTGTTGAAACGGTTGAGCCTGAAGCAGCTGTTGAGACCGTTGAGCCTGGTGCTGCTGTTGAGACTGTTGAGCCTGGAGCTGCTGTTGAGGCGGTTGAGCCTGGAGCTGCTGTTGAGATTGTTGAGCCTGAAGCAGCTGTTGAGACTGTTGAGCCTGGAGCAGCTGTTGAGACCGTTGAGCCTGGTGCTGCTGTTGAGACTGTTGAGCCTGGAGCTGCTGTTGAGACTGTTGAGCCTGGAGCTGCTGTTGAGACTGTTGAGCCTGGTTTTGCTGTTGAGACTGTTGAGCCCGGAGCTGCTGTTGAGATTGTTGAGCCTGATGCTGCAGTTGAGACTGTTGTGCCTAGAGCTGCTGTTGAGACTGTTGAGCCTGGAGCTGCAGTTGAGACTGTTGAGCCTGGAGCTGCTGTTGAGACTGTTGAGCCTGGAGCTGCTGTTGAGACTGTTGAGCCTGGTGCTGCTGTTGAGACTGTTGAGCCTGGAGCTGCTGTTGAGATTGTTGAGCCTGGAGCTGCAGTTGAGACTGTTGAGCCTGGTGCTGCTTTTGAGACCGTTGAGCCTGGACCTGCTGTTGAGACTGTTGAGCCTGGAGCTGCTGTTGAGACTGTTGAGCCTGGAGCTGCTGTTGAGACTGTTGAGCCTGGAGCTGCTGTTGAGGCTGTTGAGCCTGGAGCTGCTGTTGAGGCTGTTGAGCCTGGAGCTGCTGCTGAGACTGTTGAGCCTGGAGCTGCTGTTGAGACAGTTGAGCCTGGCGCTGCAGTTGAGACTGTTGAGCCTGGCGCTGCAGTTGAGACCGTTGAGCCTGGAGCTGCTGTTGAGACTGTTGAGCCTGGAGCTGCTTTTGAGATTGTTGAGCCTGGAGCTGCTGTTGAGACAGTCGAGCCTGACGCTGCAGTTGAGACTGTTGAGCCTGGAGCTGCAGTTGAGACTGTTGAGCCTGGAGCTGCTGTTGAGACTGTTGAGCCTGGAGCTGCTGTTGAGACTGTTGAGCCTGGAGCTGCTGTTGAGACTGTTGAGCCTGGAGCTGCTGTTGAGGCTGTTGAGCCAGGAGCTGCTGTTGAGGCTGTTGAGCCTGGAGCTGCTGTTGAGACTGTTGAGCCTGGAGCTGCTGTTGAGACTGTTGAGCCTGGGGCTGCTGTTGAGACTGTTGAGCCTGGAGCTGCTGTTGAGACTGTAATGGATTAGATGAGATATAAGGCACTTTGAGTTTCTCTGGTATTTAAGAAAGTCACACTATACACACATCCGATGCTGGAGCTGTTTGTGTTATGAGGGTTGCGTTGTTTTTAAATTACATAAAGGAAACCCATTTACCTGTAGTTGTTGACTTTGCTGCGTTAATTGGTGGCTGCGTCACGGGCACAATTAGACCTTCAGTTCAGCAAAAAAAAAAACAGTTAGGAGGCAAACTCACACATAATGCTAAACACATTTGTATATTGGCAAAACGTCCCTGTTGCTCTGGTTTGTCTCCACGTTTTGAGCATTAATCCTCGGATCAGTGTTGGGTTTTCTCTAGGCGTCCCAAGAGCAAGATAACTTTATACTAAGGATTAATCCCCATTGGATCATCGTTACGAGAGTTTATTATGCTACCCCACCCCCCACCCTGTAACAGACTGATGGACGCAGCTAACGCATCTAACGAAATCTTAACTGCGAGTTTCATCATTTGTGGATTGGCTACATTGTTAATGCTTTGTCCCGAAAGTTCTGAATTTACGTTGCTCCTGTTTACGTTTTTTTCTCACTTTAACATCGCCAACGATGGAGGGGAAAGCATTTCGATTTAAAATGCATTGATTAGCTGGAATGTTTGAAATAAAATAACGCAGAGGTTTGGGCAGTGTATGCGATGACGGCCCCAAGCATTCGCTCAAGCCATCGATTATCTGGGGGGAATGGGGCGCCGGATTTTCCACAACGCCGGATAATTACTAAATTATTATTTAAAATAGCTTATTTTTTGTATATTATTGTTTGACATTATGTTCTTAGGTGTAGTATGTTTTTCTTTGCAGTGTTTTTAATTAGTTTACTACGTGAAATTGCCATAAACGTACTTACCACTCCAATCTCAAAGACTCTGCATGGGGTGATGTATATACGTGCAGCATTTTCATTGTTTAAGTTGTGTGTAGTGTATAATGTACTGCATATAATATTTGACACTGATAATCAATCATAGCGACTTTTTTTGGTCACGCCGGACTGGTTACATCCTTTGGAGCGGGTTTGCCGGTGTCGCCGGATTGATTCGGGACCGCCGGATAATGTTGGGAGCGGCCGGATAATCGCGCGGTGCCGGATAATCGATGATCAACTGTACTACCCTGTCTAAATGCAATCTCGGCCATCATCTCTGGTGAGTACTCTGTATTAACTTACATTATATACTTAGACTTGTGATTTGCAATGTTTCGGTTACCTTTGTTTTCTTTCTTTTGGCACTTATTTAATATTATTTATGCAAATTTTGACCAAGAAATTACCCCCCGGAACGTATCCTAAGATGATATAATTTTCCATTTACGTTGTTTCACCACCCATCGTCGCGTTTTCCAGGGAAGCATCCCCGACATAAATAGATAACTTACCGTACTTGTTTTAATGGTGCTTTGTATGAGTGGGAATGTCATGGCATTCAGAGCACTCACCTTCCGTGGCATTTGGTGTGACCGCCGTTGTCTGTGATGTCAGTAGTCCTGAAAACGAGAAGGAGACAGTGATTTATCGTATACGGCACCGCAATGCACCATCAACGTGCGCGGTGGAGCGGTGGAGCGGTTAACGCACTGTATTATGAACCCAGTTACCCAGGTTTGATCCCTGACCACTCCTGGGTTACCCCCGCTCACCAAACCCGCACTTACCAGCGTGATGAAGCATGGTCAAACAATGCCCATGACCGACATGGCAGATAGGGATGCCTTTATTGGATCCCGGTCCGCCGTCAATAATTTTTCCCGGAAAAGACATATTCAGCAGTTTTTTTCCGGCGATCTCCCTTCAACAATTGTAATGCACTACTGAAACGTCTCTGCTACGTTATGGCGCAGCACTTTATCGCAGAAAATTAGAGTGGCATGCTTTACCAGCTGTTGCTCTTGTTGAAGCAGTTGATGCTGCTGGTGGAACAGTCGTCGTCCCGTTGACACTTGCTGTTGTGGTGGCTGTTGGGAAAGAAATAGACCGCCTCATTTCAAAAGAGCTCTTGTGTTGCAGTGGAATGAAATGATTGGCAAAGTAACTCTTTGTAAGGAAATGCTGTAACGTCGAAAACTGTTTCATGGATCGCGTGTGACTTAACGTCGATCATCCGCAATACAAAGTTTATTTTGTTGATGTGTGTAGAGTCTAGTTTTTTACAAGTGTGTTGTTGTTTTTGCTTTACATGTGCAGGTTAACATTTATCGTTCAGATTTTATTAATGTAACAATTATACAATTTAGCAGTGTAATTAAATTAGCTTCCAACAGGAAGTAGATTGAAGAAGCTCCCAGCACGGCGAGAAAAATGTAGTGCACCACGTTAAAACACCATGCAGTGCAACCAGGCACACAGTAGAGAGCTTCTATTTGATGTATTGATTATTACGCTTGTTTACCCAAGGCAACGTCACTGAGTCCTAAGGTACTCATCAGGAGGATCCTGCCAAGCTTTCACAGTAGGGGGTGACTAGTTTATTGTGCTGTATATTATTGCGTGTTAAGGGCAAGGGTTTTTGTACAGCATTCAAATTACCTTTGGCTGCTGTTGTCGATATTCTCACTGTTTGAGAAGTTGAGGTGACTGCTGCTGATGCAATTGGTGTGGATGAGGTTAGTGGTGAGGTTGTTGAGCCTGGCGCTGCTGTTGAAACTGTTGAGCCTGGCGCTGCTGTTGAGACTGTTGAGCCTAGAGCTGCTGTTGAGCCTGGAGCAGCTGTTGAGAGTGTTGAGCCTGGAGCTGCTGTTGAGGCGGTTGAGCCTGGAGCTGCTGTTGAGATTGTTGAACCTGGACCTGCTGTGGAGACTGTTGAGCCTGGAGCAGCTGTTGAGACCGTTGAGCCTTGTGCTGCTGTTGAGACTGTTGAGCCTGGAGCTGCTGTTGAGGCGGTTGAGCCTGGAGCTGCTGTTGAGATTGTTGAGCCTGGAGCAGCTGTTGAGACTGTTGATCCTGGAGCTGCTGTTGAGACCGTTGAGCCTGGAGCTGCTGTTGAGACTGTTGAGCCTAGAACTGCTGCTGAGACGATTGCGCCTGGTGCTGTTGTTGAGACTGTTGAGCCTGGAGCTGCTGTTGAGACTGTTGAGCCTGGAGCTGCTGTTGAGACTGTTGAGCCTGAAGCTGCTGTTGAGACTGTTGAGCCTGGAGCTGCAGTTGAGACTGTTGAGCCTGGAGCTGCTGTGGAGACTGTTGAGCCTGGAGCTGCTGTGGAGACTGTTGAGCCTGGAGCTGCTGTTGAGACTGTTGAGCCTGGTGCTGCTGTTGAGACTGTTGAGCCTGGAGCTGCTGTTGAGATTGTTGAGCCTGGAGCTGTTGTTGAGACAGTTGAGCCTGACGCTGCAGTTGAGACTGTTGAGCCTGGCGCTGCTGTTGAGACTGTTGAACCTGGCGCTGCAGTTGAGACTGTTGAGCCTGGAGCTGCTGTGGAGACTGTTGAGCCTGGAGCTGCTGTGGAGACTGTTGAGCCTGGAGCTGCTGTTGAGACTGTTGAGCCTGGTGCTGCTGTTGAGACTGTTGAGCCTGGAGCTGCTGTTGAGACTGTTGAGCCTGGAGCTGCTGTTGAGATTGTTGAGCCTGGAGCTGCTGTTGAGACAGTTGAGCCTGGAGCTGTAGTTGAGACTGTTGAGCCTGGAGCTGCTGTTGAGACTGTTGAGCCTGGAGCTGCTGTGGAGACTGTTGAGCCTGGAGCTGCTGTTGAGACTGTTGAGCCTGGTGCTGCTGTTGAGACTGTTGAGCCTGGAGCTGCTGTGGAGACTGTTGAGCCTGGAGCTGCTGTGGAGACTGTTGAGCCTGGGGCTGCTGTTGAGACTGTTGAGCCTGGTGCTGCTGTTGAGATTGTTGACCCTGGAGCTGCTGTTGAGATTGTTGAGCGTGGAGCTGCTGTTGAGACAGTTGAGCCTGACGCTGCAGTTGAGACTGTTGAGCCTGTAGCTGCTGTTGAGACTGTTGAGCCTGGAGCTGCAGTTGAGACTGTTGAGCCTGGAGCTGCTGTTGAGACTGTTGAGCCTGGAGCTGCTGTGGAGACTGTTGAGCCTGGAGCTGCTATGGAGACTGTTGAGCCTGGAGCTGCTGTTGAGACTGTTGAGCCTGGTGCTGCTGTTGAGACTGTTGAGCCTGGAGCTGCTGTTGAGATTGTTGAGCCTGGAGCTGCTGTGGAGACTGTTGAGCCTGGAGCTGCTGTTGAGACTGTTGAGCCTGGTGCTGCTGTTGAGACTGTTGAGCCTGGAGCTGCTGTTGAGATTGTTGAGCCTGGAGCTGCTGTTGAGACAGTTGAGCCTGACGCTGCAGTTGAGACTGTTGAGCCTGGAGCTGCTGTTGAGACTGTTGAGCCTGGAGCTGCAGTTGAGACTGTTGAGCCTGGAGCTGCTGTGGAGACTGTTGAGCCTGCAGCTGCTGTTGAGACTGTTGAGCCTGGAGCTGCTGTTGAGATTGTTGAGCCTGGAGCTGCTGTGGAGACTGTTGAGCCTGGAGCTGCTGTTAAGACTGTTGAGCCTGGTGCTGCTGTTGAGACTGTTGAGCCTGGAGCTGCTGTTGAGACAGTTGAGCCTGGAGCTGCTGTTGAGACAGTTGAGCCTGACGCTGCTGTTGAGACTGTTGAGCCTGGAGCTGCTGTTGAGATTGTTGAACCTGGAGCTGCTGTTGAGACAGTTGAGCCTGGAGCTGTAGTTGAGACTGTTGAGCCTGGAGCTGCTGTTGAGACTGTTGAGCCTGGAGCTGCTGTGGAGACTGTTGAGCCTGGAGCTGCTGTGGAGACTGTTGAGCCTGGGGCTGCTGTTGAGACTGTTGAGCCTGGGGCTGCTGTTGAGATTGTTGAGCCTGGAGCTGCTGTTGAGACAGTTGAGCCTGACACTGCAGTTGAGACTGTTGAGCCTGTAGCTGCTGTTGAGACTGTTGAGCCTGGAGCTGCAGTTGAGACTGTTGAGCCTGGAGCTGCTGTTGAGACTGTTGAGCCTGGAGCTGCTGTTGAGATTGTTGAGCCTGGAGCTGCTGTTGAGACTGTTGAGCCTGGAGCTGCTGTTGAGACTGTTGAGCCTGATGCTGCAGTTGAGACTGTTGAGCCTGGAGCTGCTGTTGAGACTGTTGAGCCTGGTGCCGCTGTTGAGATTGTTGACCCTGGAGCTGCTGTTGAGATTGTTGAGCCTGGAGCTGCTGTTGAGACAGTTGAACCTGACGCTGCAGTTGAGACTGTTGATCCTGGAGCTGCTGTTGAGACTGTTGAGCCTGGAGCTGCAGTTGAGACTGTTGAGCCTGGAGCTGCTGTTGAGACTGTTGAGCCTGGAGCTGCAGTTGAGACTGTTGAGCCTGGAGCTGCTGTTGAGACTGTTGAGCCTGGAGATGCTGTTGAGATTGTTGTACCTGGAGCTGCTGTTGAGACAGTTGAGCCTGACGCTGCAGTTGAGACTGTTGAGACTGGAGCTGCTGTTGAGACAGTTGAGCCTGGCGCTGCGGTTGAGACTGTTGAGCCTGGCGCTGCAGTTGAGACCGTTGAGCCTGGAGCTGCTGTTGAGACTGTTGAGCCTGGAGCTGCTGTTGAGACTGTTGAGCCTGGAGCTGCTGTTGAGACTGTAATGGATTAGATGAGATATAAGGCACTTTGAGTTTCTCTGGTATTTAAGAAAGTGACACTATACACACATCCGATGCTGGAGCTGTTTGTGTTATGAGGGTTGCGTTGTTTTTAAATTACATAAAGGAAACCCATTTACCTGTAGTTGTCGACTTTGCTGCGTTAATTTGTGGCTGCGTCACGGGCACAATTAGACCTTCAGTTCAGCAAAAAAAAATACAGTTAGGAGGCAAACTCACACATAATGCTAAACACATTTGTATATTGGCAAAACGTCCCTGTTGCTCTGGTTTATGTCTCCACGTTTTGAGCATTAATCCTCGGATCAGTGTTGGGTTTTCTCTAGGCGTCCCAAGAGCAAGATAACTTTATACTAAGGATTAATCCCCATTGGATCATCGTTACGAGAGTTTATTATGCTACCCCACCCCCCACCCTGTAACAGACTGATGGACGCAGCTAACGCATCTAACGAAATCTTGACTGCGAGTTTCATCATTTGTGGATTGACTACATTGTTAATGCTTTGTCCAGAAAGTTCTGAATTTACATTGCTCCTGTTTACGTTTTTTTCTCACCTTAACATCGCCAACGATGGAGGGGAAAGCATTTCTATTTAAAATGCATTGATTAGCTGGAATGTTTGAAATAAAATAACGCAGAGGTTTGGGCAGTGTATGTGATGACGGCCCCAAGCAGGCGCTCAAGCCATCGATTATCTGGGGGGAAGGGGGCTCCGGATTTTCAAAAACGCCGGATAATTACTAAATTATTATTTAAAATAGCTTATTTTTGTATATTATTGTTTGACATTATGTTCTTAGGTGTAGTATGTTTTTCTTTGCAGTGTTTTAAATTAGTTTACTACGTGAAATTGCCATAAATAAACGTACTTACCACTCCAATCTCAAAGACTCTGCATGGGGTGATGTATATACGTGCAGCATTTTCATTGTTTAAGTTGTGTGTAGTGTATAATGTACTGCATATAATATTTGACACTGATAATCAATCATAGCGACTTTTTTTGGTCACGCCGGACTGGTTACAGCCTTTGGAGCGGGTTTGCCGGTGTCGCCGGATTGATTCGGGACCGCCGGATAATGTTGGGAGCAGCCGGATAATCGCGCGGTGCCGGATAATCGATGATCAACTGTACTACCCTGTCTAAATGCAATCTCGGCCATCATCTCTGGTGAGTACTCTGTATTAACTTACATTATATATTTAGACTTGTGATATACGATGTTTCGGTTACCTTTGTTTTCTTTTATTTGGCGCTTATTTAATATTATTTATGCAAATTTTGACCAAGAAATTACCCCCCGGAACGTATCCTAAGATGATATAATTTTCCACTTACGTTATTTCACCACCCATCGTCGCGTTTTCCAGGGAAGCATCCCCGACATAAATAGATAACTTACCGTACGTGTTTTAATGGTGCTTTGCATTAGTGTGAATGTAATGGCATTCAGAGCACTCACCTTCCGTGGCATTTGGTGTGACCGCCGTTGTCTGTGACGTCAGTAGTCCTGAAAACGAGAAGGAGACAGTGATTTATCGTACACGGCACCGCACTGCACCATCAACGTGCAGGGTGGAGCGGTGGAGCGGTTAACGCACTGTATTATGAACCCAGTTACCCAGGTTTGATCCCCGACCACTCCTGGGTTACCCCCGCTCACCAAACCCGCACTTACCAGCGTGATGAAGCATGGTCAAACAATGCCCATGACCGACACGGCAGATAGGGATGCCTTTATTGGATCCCGGTCCGCCGTCAATAATTTTTCCCGAAAAAGATATTCGGAAGTTTTTTTCCGGCGATCTCCCTTCGACAGTGGTAATGCACTACTGAAACATCTCTGCTACGTTATGGCGCAGCACTTTATCGCAGAAAATTAGAGTGGCATGCTTTACCAGCTGTTGCTCTTGTTGAAGCAGTTGATGCTGCTGGTGGAACAGTCGTCGTCCCGTTGACACTTGCTGTTGTGGTGGCTGTTGGGAAAGAAATAGACCGCCTCATTGCACAAGAGCTCTTGTGTTGCAGTGGAATGAAATGATTGGCAAAGTAACTCTTTGTAAGGTCATGCTGTAACGTCGAAAACTGTTTCATGGATCACGTGTGATTTAACGTCGATCATCGGCAATACAAAGTTTATTTTGTTGATGTGTGTAGAGTCTAGTTTTTTACAAGTGTGTTGTTCTTTTTGATGTACATGTGCAGGTTAACATTTATCGTTCAGATTTTATTAATGTAACAATTATACAATTTAGCAGTGTAATTAAGTTAGCTTCCAACAGGAAGTAGATTGAAGAAGCTCCCAGCACGGCGAAAAAAATGTAGGGCACCACGTTAAAACAACATGCAGTGCAACCCAGGCACACAGTAGAGAGCTTCTATTTGATGTATTGATTATTACGCTTGTTTACCCAAGGCAAAGTCACTGAGTCCTAAGGTACTCATCAGGAGGATCCTGCCAAGCTTTCACAGTAGGGGGTGACTAGTTTATTGTGCTGTATATTATTGCGTGTTAAGGGCAAGGGTTTTTGTACAGCATTCAAATTACCTTTGGCTGCTGTTGTCGATATTCTCACTATTTGAGAAGTTGAGGTGACTGCTGCTGATGCAATTGGTGTGGATGAGGTTAGTGGTGAGGTTGTTGAGCCTGGCGCTGCTGTTGAAACTGTTGAGCCTGGCGCTGCTGTTGAGACTGTTGAGCCTAGAGCTGCTGTTGAGACTGTTGAGCCTGGAGCTGCTGTTGAGACTGTTGAGCCTGGAGCTGCTGTTGAGACCGTTAAGCCTGGAGCTGCTGTTGAGACTGTTGAGCCTAGAACTGCTGCTGAGACGATTGCGCCTGGTGCTGTTGTTGAGACTGTTGAGCCTGGAGCTGCTGTTGAGACTGTTGAAACTGGAGCTGCTGTTGAGACTGTTGAGCCTGGAGCTGCTGTTGAGACTGTTGAGCCTGGCGCTGCTGTTGAGACTGTTGAGCCTGGCGCTGCAGTTGAGACTGTTGAGCCTGGAGCTGCTGTGGAGACTGTTGAGCCTGGAGCTGCTGTGGAGACTGTTGAGCCTGGAGCTGCTGTTGAGACTGTTGAGCCTGGTGCTGCTGTTGAGACTGTTGAGCCTGGAGCTGCTGTTGAGATTGTTGAGCCTGGAGCTGCTGTTGAGACAGTTGAGCCTGACGCTGCAGTTGAGACTGTTGAGCCTGGAGCTGCTGTTGAGATTGTTGAGCCTGGAGCTGCAGTTGAGACTGTTGAGCCTGGAGCTGCGGTGGAGACTGTTGAGCCTGGAGCTGCTGTTGAGACTGTTGAGCCTGGTGCTGCTGTTGAGACTCTTGAGCCTGGAGCTGCTGTTGAGATTGTTGAGCCTGGAGCTGCTGTTGAGACAGTTGAGCCTGACGCTGCAGTTGAGACTGTTGAGCCTGGCGCTGCTTTTGAGACTGTTGAGCCTGGCGCTGCAGTTGAGACTGTTGAGCCTGGAGCTGCTGTGGAGACTGTTGAGCCTGGGGCTGCTGTGGAGACTGTTGAGCCTGGAGCTGCTGTTGAGACTGTTGAGCCTGGTGCTGCTGTTGAGACTGTTGAGCCTGGAGCTGCTGTTGAGACAGTTGAGCCTGGAGCTGTTGTTGAGACAGTTAAGCCTGACGCTGCTGTTGAGACTGTTGAGCCTGGAGCTGCTGTTGAGATTGTTGAGCCTGGAGCTGCTGTTGAGAGAGTTGAGCCTGGAGCTGCAGTTGAGACTGTTGAGCCTGGAGCTGCTGTGGAGACTGTTGAGCCTGGAGCTGCTGTTGAGACTGTTGAGCCTGGTGCTGCTGTTGAGACTGTTGAGCCTGGCGCTGCAGTTGAGACTATTGAGCCTGGAGCTGCAGTTGAGACTGTTGAGCCTGGAGCTGCTGTTGAGACCGTTGAGCCTGGAGCTGCAGTTGAGACTGTTGAGCCTGGAGCTGCTGTTGAGATTGTTGAGCCTGGCGCTGCTGTTGCGACAGTTGAGCCTGATGGTGCAGTTGAGACTGTTGAGCCTGGAGCTGCTGTTGAGACTGTTGAGCCTGGAGCTGCAGTTGAGACTGTTGAGCCTGGAGCTGCTGTGGAGACAGTTGAGCCTGACGCCGCAGTTGAGACTGTTGAGCCTGGCGCTGCTGTTGAGACCGTTGAGCCTGGCGCTGCAGTTGAGACTGTTGAGCCTGGAGCTCCTGTGGAGACTGTTGTGCCTGGAGCTGCTGTGGTGACTGTTGAGCCTGGAGCTGCTGTTGAGACTGTTGAGCCTGGTGCTGCTTTTGAGATTGTTGAGCCTGGAGCTGCTGTTGAGACAGTTGAGCCTGGAGCTGCTGTTGAGACAGTTGAGCCTGACGCTGCTGTTGAGACTGTTGAGCCTGGAGCTGCTGTTGAGATTGTTGAGCCTGGAGCTGCTGTGGAGACTGTTGAGCCTGGAGCTGCTGTTGAGACTGTTGAGCCTGGAGCTGCTGTGGAGACTGTTGAGCCTGGAGCTGCTGTTGAGACTGTTGAGCCTGGTGCTGCTGTTGAGACTGTTGAGCCTGGAGCTGCTGTTGAGACAGTTGAGCCTGGAGCTGCAGTTGAGACTGTTGAGCCGGGAGCTGCTGTGGAGACTGTTGAGCCTGGAGCTGCTGTTGAGACTGTTGAGCCTGGTGCTGCTGTTGAGACTGTTGAGCCTGGCGCTGCAGTTGAGACTGTTGAGCCTGGAGCTGCTGTGGAGACTGTTGAGCCTGGGGCTGCTGTTGAGACTGTTGAGCCTGGTGCTGCTGTTACGATTGTTGAGCCTGGAGCTGCTGTTGAGATTGTTGAGCCTGGAGCTGCTGTTGAGACAGTTGAGCCTGATGCTGCAATTGAGACTGTTGAGCCTGGAGCTGCTGTTGAGACTGTTGAGCCTGGAGCTGCAGTTGAGACTGTTGAGCCTGGAGCTGCTGTTGAGACTGTTGAGCCTGGAGCTGCAGTTGAGACTGTTGAGCCTGAAGCTGCTGTTGAGATTGTTGAGCCTGGAGCTGCTGTTGAGACAGTTGAGCCTGATGGTGCAGTTGAGATTGTTGAGCCTGGAGCTGCTGTTGAGACTGTTGAGCCTGGCGCTGCAGTTGAGACTGTTGAGCCTGGAGCTGCTGTTGAGACAGTTGAGCCTGGAGCTGCTGTTGAGACAGTTGAGCCTGACGCTGCTGTTGAGACTGTTGAGCCTGGAGCTGCTGTTGAGATTGTTGAGCCTGGAGCTGCTGTTGAGACAGTTGAGCCTGGAGCTGCAGTTGAGACTGTTGAGCCTGGAGCTGCTGTTGAGACTGTTGAGCCTGGAGCTGCTGTGGAGACTGTTGAGCCTGGCGCTGCAGTTGAGACTGTTGAGCCTGGAGCTGCTGTTGAGACTGTTGAGCCGTTAGCTGCTGTTGAGACTGTTGAGCCTGGAGCTGCTGTTGAGACTGTTGAGCCTGGAGCTGCTGTGGAGACTGTTGACCATGGAGCTGCTGTGGAGACCGTTGAGCCTGGGGCTGCTGTTGAGACTGTTGAGCCTGGTGCTGCTGTTGCGATTGTTGAGCCTGGAGCTGCTGTTGAGATTGTTGAGCCTGAAGCTGCTGTTGAGACTGTTGAGCCTGATGCTGCAGTTGAGACTGTTGAGCCTGGAGCTGCTGTTGAGACTGTTGAGCCTGGAGCTGCAGTTGAGACTGTTGAGCCTGGAGCTGCTGTTGAGACTGTTGAGCCTGGAGCTGCAGTTGAGACTGTTGAGCCTGGAGCTGCTGTTGAGATTGTTGAGCCTGGAGCTGCTGTTGAGACAGTTGAGCCTGATGGTGCAGTTGAGATTGTTGAGCCTGGAGCTGTAGTTGAGACTGTTGAGCCTGGAGCTGCAGTTGAGACTGTTGAGCCTGGAGCTGCTGTGGAGACAGTTGAGCCTGACGCTGCAGTTGAGATTGTTGAGCCTGGCGCTGCTGTTGAGACTGTTGAGCCTGGCGCTGCAGTTGAGACTGTTGAGCCTGGAGCTGCTGTGGAGACTGTTGAGCCTGGAGCTGCTGTGGTGACTGTTGAGCCTGGAGCTGCTGTTGAGACTGTTGAGCCTGGTGCTGCTGTTGAGACTGTTGAGCCTGGAGCTGCTGTTGAGACAGTTGAGCCTGGAGCTGCTGTTGAGACAGTTGAGCCTGACGCTGCTGTTGAGACTGTTGAGCCTGGAGCTGCTGTTGAGATTGTTGAGCCTGGAGCTGCTGTTGAGACAGTTGAGCCTGGAGCTGCAGTTGAGACTGTTGAGCCTGGAGCTGCTGTTGAGACTGTTGAGCCTGGAGCTGCTGTTGAGACTGTTGAGCCTGGAGCTGCTGTTGAGACTGTTGAGCCTGGTGCTGCTGTTGAGACTGTTGAGCCTGGCGCTGCAGTTGAGACTGTTGAGCCTGGAGCTGCTGTGGAGACTGTTGAGCCTGGAGCTGCTGTTGAGACTGTTGAGCCTGGTGCTGCTGTTGAGCCTGGCGCTGCAGTTGAGATTGTTGAGCCTGGAGCTGCTGTGGAGACTGTTGAGCCTGGGGCTGCTGTTGAGACTGTTGAGCCTGGAGCTGCTGTTGAGATTGTTGAGCCTGGAGCTGCTGTTGAGACAGTTGAGCCTGATGGTGCAGTTGAGATTGTTGAGCCTAGAGCTGCTGTTGAGACTGTTGAGCCTGGGGCTGCAGTTGAGACTGTTGAGCCTGGAGCTGCTGTGGAGACAGTTGAGCCTGATGCTGCAGTTGAGACTGTTGAGCCTGGTGCTGCTGTTGAGACTATTGAGCCTGGCGCTGCAGTTGAGACTGTTGAGCCTGGAGCTGCTGTTGAGACTGTTGAGCCTGGTGCTGCTGTTGAGACTGTTGAGCCTGGAGATGCTGTTGGGATTGTTGAGCCTGGAGCTGCTGTTGAGACAGTTGAGCCTGGAGGTGCTGTTGAGACTGTTGAGCCTAGAGCTGCTGTGGAGACTGTTGAGCCTGGAGCTGCTGTTGAGACTGTTGAGCCTGGTGCTGCTGTTGAGACTGTTGAGCCTGGCGCTGCCGTTGAGACTGTTGAGCCTGGAGCTGCTGTTGAGATTGTTGAGCCTGGAGCTGCTGTCGAGATTGTTGAGCCTGGAACTGCTGTTGAGACAGTTGTGCCTAACGCTGCAGTTGAGACTGTTGAGCTTGGAGCTGCTGTTGAGACTGTTGAGCCTGGTGCTGCTGTTGAGACTGTTGAGCCTGGCGCTGCAGTTGAGATTGTTGAGCCTGGAGCTGCTGTGGAGACTGTTGAGCCTGGGGCTGCTGTTGAGACTGTTGAGCCTGGAGCTGCTGTTGAGATTGTTGAGCCTGGAGCTGCTGTTGAGACAGTTGAGCCTGATGGTGCAGTTGAGATTGTTGAGCCTAGAGCTGCTGTTGAGACTGTTGAGCCTGGAGCTGCAGTTGAGACTGTTGAGCCTGGAGCTGCTGTGGAGACAGTTGAGCCTGATGCTGCAGTTGAGACTGTTGAGCCTGGTGCTGCTGTTGAGACTGTTGAGCCTGGCGCTGCAGTTGAGACTGTTGAGCCTGGAGCTGCTGTTGAGACTGTTGAGCCTGGTGCTGCTGTTGAGACTGTTGAGCCTGGAGATGCTGTTGGGATTGTTGAGCCTGGAGCTGCTGTTGAGACAGTTGAGCCTGGAGGTGCTGTTGAGACTGTTGAGCCTAGAGCTGCTGTGGAGACTGTTGAGCCTGGAGCTGCTGTTGAGACTGTTGAGCCTGGTGCTGCTGTTGAGACTGTTGAGCCTGGCGCTGCCGTTGAGACTGTTGAGCCTGGAGCTGCTGTTGAGATTGTTGAGCCTGGAGCTGCTGTCGAGATTGTTGAGCCTGGAACTGCTGTTGAGACAGTTGTGCCTAACGCTGCAGTTGAGACTGTTGAGCTTGGAGCTGCTGTTGAGACTGTTGAGCCTGGAGCTGCAGTTGAGACTGTTGAGCCTGGAGCTGCTGTTGAGACTGTTGAGCCTGGAGCTGCTGTTGAGACTGTTGAGCCTGGAGCTGCTGTTGAGATTGTTGAGCCTGGAGCTGCTGTTGAGACAGTTGAACCTGATGCTGCAGTTGAGACTGTTGTGCCTGGAGCTGCTGTTGAGACTGTTGAGCCTGGCGCTGCAGTTGAGACTGTTGAGCCTGGAGCTGCTGTTGAGACTGTTGAGCCTGGTGCTGCTGTTGAGACTGTTGAGCCTGGAGATGCTGTTGGGATTGTTGAGCCTGGAGCTGCTGTTGAGACAGTTGAGCCTGGAGGTGCTGTTGAGACTGTTGAGCCTGGAGCTGCTGTGGAGACTGTTGAGCCTGGAGCTGCTGTTGAGACTGTTGAGCCTGGTGCTGCTGTTGAGACTGTTGAGCCTGGCGCTGCCGTTGAGACTGTTGAGCCTGGAGCTGCTGTTGAGATTGTTGAGCCTGGAGCTGCTGTCGAGATTGTTGAGCCTGGAACTGCTGTTGAGACAGTTGTGCCTAACGCTGCAGTTGAGACTGTTGAGCTTGGAGCTGCTGTTGAGACTGTTGAGCCTGGAGCTGCAGTTGAGACTGTTGAGCCTGGAGCTGCTGTTGAGACTGTTGAGCCTGGAGCTGCAGTTGAGACTGTTGAACCTGGAGCTGCTGTTGAGACTGTTGAGCCTGGAGCTGCTGTTGAGATTGTTGAGCCTGGAGCTGCTGTTGAGACAGTTGAACCTGATGCTGCAGTTGAGACTGTTGAGCCTGGAGCTGCTGTTGAGATTGTTGAGCCTGGAGCTGCTATTGAGACAGTTGAGCCTGACGCTGCAGTTGAGACTGTTGAGCCTGGAGCTGCTGTGGAGACTGTTGAGCCTGGAGCTGCTGTTGAGACTGTTGAGCCTGGCGCTGCAGTTGAGACTGTTGAGCCTGGAGCTGCTGTGGAGGCTGTTGAGCCTGGAGCTGCTGTTGAAACAGTTGAGCCTGACGCTGCTGTTGAGGCTGTTGAGCCTGGAGCTGCTGTTGAGACTGTTGAGCCTGGAGCTGCTGTTGAGGCTGTTGAGCCTGGAGCTACTGTTGAGACTGTTGAGCCCTGCGCTGCTGTTGAGACTGTTGAGCCTGGACCTGCTGTTGAGACTGTTGAGCCTGGAGCTGCTGTTGAGATTGTTGAGCCTGGAGCTGCAGTTGAGACTGTTGAGCCTGGAGCTGCTGTTGAGAGTGTTGAGCCTGGAGCTGCTGTTGAGGCTGTTGAGCCTGGAGCTGCTGTTGAGACTGTTGAGCCTGGAGCTACTGTTGAGCCTGGGGCTGTTGTTGAGGCAGATTCTGTCGTTATTGTTGTGGTTCGTGTGACTGTTGTTGGCGTTTTGGCTACTGTTGCTGTGGAAGACTGGCTTGTTAATATTATTGCTGCTGTTGTTGTTGTAGTTAATATGCTTGTTGTGGTTATTGGTGTTGAGTTTGTGAGGTTAGGAACTGTTGATGTCTTTGAAGTTGTGCCTGAAAAGTTTTCATATTTGCAGTGTTAGGTATATGCATAGAAATACAATATTACGCATTCGTCATACTCCGCTTAAAACATTATTTTGTAGTAACATTTAATCAGTTAATTATTGGTTAATCAATGGGTTTTACAACACACAGAGGCACACCTTGAAAACATATCGGAGAGCTATGAAGCACAACCGCGAAAACCTAAGTTTTATTCAAATATCCATTCTCTGTTTTTCAACATTGTTAATGGTAGTGCCTCTCCCTAGGCAACAGAGTTCACGTGAACCTATTGCATGAAATCTACATAGCATTGCCTCGTAACATGTGATTTGATGAATGGACTGGGAGATTAGGGATGGTTACTCATTGATGCGTAAGTTTGGGTAAGTTATTGGTGACTGGGTTAAAACCATCAACTCATTATGCTTTAGAACCCACTTTGATCATGATTGTCTGCGACACGTTATTCGCCACCCGGCTACCTCAAACATCATCGACCTTGAAGGATGCACGTTTTTACCTGTGCTTGTAGTTGAGGTTGTTGTCTTCTCTGCGTTGATTGGTGCATTTGTCACAGACACGAATGCACCTTTGGTAAAAAGAGAAAAGCGCAAGTTTAAACTGGTTTTCAGTAGGGTAAGGGTGATAGAAACAGAATATGTATTTTTACTGGAGGAAATCCGATGAGCTATGAAGCTTTTTTTCACAGATGTTCACTCGGGGGCAGGTCAGAACGTTACAACAATAAACAATACAAAACACGATAGGAGTGCAAAGTATAGGAAAGGTAATCAAATCACTTCCCCTGCACCTCCGATTAGCGCTGTTGGCTACGTGCAGTGCGGAAGAATTCAACTTACATAAAAAAAATGCAAATTAAAAATTACATGTTCATAGGGAGGGAAGTGGGCATGGGGTACAAGCTGCAATGTCCTGAATTGAGTCCACAGACCATAGGATACTTTTTGTGACATTGGTGACCCGAGGAAATAGGGCAGCTGAGAAATGGTTATGAATGTATCCATAATCTTTAAGATCCTCGCCTGACTCTAACCTGAATACCTCTCCGCTCTCATCTCATGTTACTCTCATCCTTCCACTCTCACACCTCTCCTCCCTCATCTCATTTATAATCCCCTCTCATCGCACTCTACATATATTATGTATGGAATATTGTTTTCAATATGTTTCACTGCCAACCGAAGGCTAAATTATTGGGATAAATGTTGAATGCCGGCCTGTCTTGTTCAGCATCGGTAACAAAGCATTCAAAGGCACGTTCACGTCCAGAAATGTTTTTACCTTCGGAAATAGTCTGAGGACTTGAAGAGGTAAGGATCGTCGTTTTTATCGCTGTTGCGGATCCTGGGAGAAGTAAAATGTAGAACATCAATAAATGCAACATTAGCAGTTGCTAATTATCTTTAAATAATTCAGTAAATGTTATTATTGTAATGTTGGACATGATGAAGTTTGCATTTTATGATTGTTTTGTTATTGTTGTTTAGACCGTTGTTGTTTGGTGCAGGATTTGTGTGAACGTGGCTAGTATGTAAAACATTTTGGAAGCGATTTTGTCGTGAGATGGTGGGCTGCTGTTGACTGCAAACATTTTAATACCTGGTGCAGATGAAAGCGTAATTTTCACAGCTGTGGATGGAGCCGTTACTGAGCTTGGCCCAGCTGTAGAGTAGGAAGACACTGCTACCGAATGTGATGTTGGTGTCGATGGTGTGGGAGAGGCAGCCGCACTGACTGCTGAGGATACTAATGGAGATGTTGAAGTTTGTGAGTTTGCTGGAGACACAGAGCCTGCTGTTGAAGTGGCTGTAGCAACTGTGGCTGTGATTGCTTGTGACATTGGTGATGTTGATGACGCTGGAGTTCCTACTACAGTTGAGGCAGAAGAGACTGGGGCTATTGATGAAGGTGCAGTTCCGAGTGGTGTTGAGGCTGTTGAGCCTGGAGCAGCAGTTGAGACTGTTGAGCCTGGCGCTGCAGTTGAGACTGTTGAGCCTGGAGCTGCTGTTGAGACTGTTGAGCCTGGCGCTGCAGTTGAGACTGTTGAGCCTGGAGCTGCTGTTGAGACTGTTGAGCCTGGCACTGCAGTTGAGACTGTTGACCCTGGAGCTGCCGTTGAGATTGTTGAGCCTGGAGCTGCTGTTGAGACTGTTGAGCCTGGAGCTGGTGTTGAGACTGTTGAGCCTGGAGCTGCTGTTGAGACTGTTGAGCCTGGCGTTGCAGTTGAGACTGTTGAGCCTGGAGCTGCTGTTGAGACTGTTGAGCCTGGCGCTGCAGTTGAGACTGTTGAGCCTGGAGCTGCCGTTGAGATTGTTGAGCCTAGAGCTGCTGTTGAGACTGTTGAGCCTGGCGCTGCTGTTGAGACTGTTGACCCTGGAGCTGCCGTTGAGATTGTTGAGCCTGGAGCTGCTGTTGAGACTGTTGAGCCTTGCTCTACTGTTGAGACTGTTGAGCCTGGAGCTGGTGTTGAGACTGTTGAGCCTGGAGCTGCTGTTGAGCCTGTTGAGCCTGGCGCTGCAGTTGAGACTGTTGAGCCTGGAGCTGCTGTTGAGACTGTTGAGCCTGGAGCTGCAGTTGAGACTGTTGAGGCTGACACTGCAGTTGACACTGTTGAGCCTGGCGCTGCTGTTGAGACTGTTGAGCCTGGCGCTGCAGTTGAGACTGTTGAGGCTGGAGCAGCTGTTGAAACTGTTGAGCCTGGCACTGCTGTTGAGACTGTTGAGGCTGGCGCTGCAGTTGACACTGTTGAGCCTGGCGCTGATGTTGAGACTGTTGAGCCTGGAGCTGCTGTTGAGACTGTTGAGCTTGGAGCTGCTGTTGAGGCTGTTGAGCCTTGAGCTGCTGTTGAGACTGTTGAGCCGAGAGCTGCTATTGAGACTGATGAGCCTGGCGCTGCTGTTGAGACAGTTGAGGCGAGAGCAGCTGTTGAGACTGTTGAGCCTGGAGCTGCTGTTGAGCCTGTTGAGCCTGGAGTTGCTGTTGAGACTGTTGAGCCTGAAGCTGCTGTTGAGACTGTTGAGCCTGGAGCTGCTGTTGAGACTGTTGAGCCTGGCGCTGTTGAGACAGTTGAGCCTGGAGCTGTTGTTGACAATGTTGAGCCTGGAGCTGCTGTTGAGACTGTTGAGCTCGGAGCAGCTGTTGAGACCGTTGAGCCTGGAGCTGCTGTTGAGACTGTTGAGCCTGGCACTGCAGTTGAGACTGTTGAGCCTGCAGCTGGTGTTGAGACTGTTGAGCCTGGAGCTGCTGTTGAGACTGTTGATCCTGGAGCTGCCGTTGAGATTGTTGAGCCTGGAGCTGCTGTTGAGACTGTTGAGCCTGGTGCTGCTGTTGAGACTGTTGAGCCTGGCGCTGCAGTTGAGACTGTTGAGCCTGGAGCTGCAGTTGAGACTGTTGAGCCTGGTGCTGCAGTTGAGACTGTTGAGCCTGGAGCTGCTGTTGAGACTGTTGAGCCTGGAGCTGCTGTTGAGACTGTTGAGCCTGAAGCTGCTGCTGAGACTGTTGAGCCTGGAGCTGCTGTTGAGACTGTTGAGCCTGGAGCTGCTGCTGAGACTGTTGAGCCTGGCGCTGCTGTTGAGACTGTTGAGCCAGGAGCTGCTGTTGAGACTGTTGAGCCTGGCGCTGCTGTTGAGACTGTTGAGCCTGGCGCTGCTGTTGAGACTGTTGAGCCTGGAGCTGCTGCTGAGACTGTTGAGCCTTGCCCTGCAGTTGAGACTGTTGAGCCTGGAGCTGCTGTTGAGACTGTTGAGCCTGGCGCTGCTGTTGAAACTGTTGAGCCTGGCGCTGCTGTTGAGACTGTTGAGCCTGGCGCTGCTGTTGAGACTGTTAAGCCTGGAGCTTCTGTTGAGACTGTTGAGCCTGGCGCTGCTGTTGAAACTGTTGAGCCTGGTGCTGCTGTTGAGACTGTTGATCCTGGAGGTACTGTTGAGACTGTTGAGCCTGGAGCTGCTGTTGAGACTGTTGAGCCTGGAGCTGCTGTTGAGACTGTTGAGCCTGGCTCAGCTGTTGAGACTGTTGATCCTGGAGGTACTGTTGAGACTGTTGAGCCTGGGGCTGCTGTTGAAACTGTTGAGCCTGGCGCTGCTGTTGGAACTGTTGAGCCTGGCGCTGCTGTTGAAAATGTTGAGCCTGGAGCTGTAGTTGAGACTGTTGAGGCTGGCGCTGCAGTTGACACTGTTGAGCCTGGTGCTGCAGTTGAGACTGTTGAGCCTGGAGCTGCTGTTGAGACTGTTGAGCTTGGAGCCGCTGTTGAGGCTGTTGAGCCTGCAGTTGCTGTTGAGACTGTTGAGCCTGAAGCAGCTGTTGAGACTGTTGAGCCTGGAGCTGCTGTTGAGACAGTTGAGCCTGGAGCTGCTGTTGAGACTGTTGAGCCTGGAGCTGCTGTTGAGACTGTTGAGCCTGGAGCTGCTGTTGAGACTGTTGAGCCTGGAGCTGCTGTTGACAATGTTGAGCCTGGTGCTGCTGTAGAGACTGTTGAGCTCGGAGCAGCTGTTGAGACCATTGAGCCTGGAGCTGCTGTTGAGACTGTTGAGCCTGGCTCTGCAGTTGAGACTGTTGAGCCTGCAGCTGGCGTTGAGATTGTTGAGCCTGGAGCTGCTGTTGAAACTGTTGAGCCTGGAGCTGCTGTTGAGACTGTTGATCCTGGAGCTGCAGTTGAGATTGTTGAGCCTGGAGCTGCTGTTGAGACTGTTGAGCCTGGAGCTGCTGTTGAGACTGTTGAGCCTGGAGCTGCTGCTGAGACTGTTGAGCCTTGCCCTGCAGTTGAGATTGTTGAGCCTGGAGCTGCTGTTGAGACTGTTGAGCCTGGCGCTGCTGTTGAAACTGTTGTGCCTGTAGCTGCCGTTGAGATTGTTGAGCCTGGGGCTGCTGTTGAGAATGTTGAGCCTGCCGCTGCTGTTGAGACTGTTGACCCTGGAGCTGCCGTTGAGATTGTTGAGCCTGGAGCTGCTGTTGAGACTGTTGAGCCTGGAGTTTGTGTTGAGACTGTTGAGCTTGGAGCTGCTGTTGAGACAGTTGAGCCTGGAGCTGCTGTTGAGACTGTTGAGCCTGGAGCTGGTGTTGAGACTGTTGAGCCTGGCACTGCAGTTGAGACTGTTGAGCCTGGCGCTGCTGTTGAGACTGTTGTGCCTGGAGCTGCCGTTGAGATTGTTGAGCCTGGAGCTACTGTTGAGACTGTTGAGCCTGGCGCTGCTGTTGAGACTGTTGACCCTGGAGCTGCCGTTGAAATTGTTGAGCCTGGAGCTGCTGTTGAGACTGTTGAGCCTGGAGCTGGTGTTGAGACTGTTGAGCCTGGAGCTGCTGTTGAGACTGTTGAGCCTGGCGCTGCAGTTGAGACTGTTGAGCCTGGAGCTGCTGTTGAGACTGTTGAGCCTGGAGCTGGTGTTGAGACTGTTGAGCCTGAAGCTGCTGCTGAGACTGTTGAGCCTGGAGCTGCTGTTGAGACTGTTGAGCCTGGAGCTGCTGTTGAGATTGTTGAGCCTGGAGCTGCTGTTGAGACTGTTGAGCCTGGCGCTGCTGTTGAGACTGTTGACCCTGGAGCTGCCGTTGAGACTGTTGAGCCTGGAGCTGCTGTTGAGACTGTTGAGCCTGGAGCTGCTGTTGAGACTGTTGAGCCTGGCGCTGCTGTTGAGATTGTTGAGCCTGGAGCTGCTGTTGAGACTGTTGAGCTTGGCACTGCAGTGGAGACTGTTGAGCCTGGAGCTGCCATTGAGATTGTTGAGCCTGGAGCTGCTGTTGAGACTGTTGAGCCTGGCTCTACTGTTGAGACTGTTGAGCCTGGAGCTGGTGTTGAGACTGTTGAGCCTTGAGCTGTTGTTGAGACTGTTGAGCCTGGCGCTGCAGTTGAGACTGTTGAGCCTGGAGCAGCTGTTGAAACTGTTGAGCCTGGCGCTGCTGTTGAGACTGTTGAGGCAGACGCTGCTGTTGAGACTGTTGAGCCGAGAGCTGCTGTTGAGACTGTTGAGCCTGGAGCTGCTGTTGAGACTGTTGAGCCTGGAGCTGCTGTTGAGGCTGTTGAGCCTGGAGCTGCTGTTTGGACTGTTGAGCCTGGAGCTGCAGTTGAGACTGTTGAGCCTGGAGCTGCTGTTGAGCCTGTTGAGCCTGAAGCTGCTGTTGAGACTGTTGAGCCTGGAGCTGCTGTTGAGACTGTTGAGCCTGGTGCTGCAGTTGAGACAGTTGAGGCTAGAGCTGCTGTTGACAATGTTGAGCCTGGAGCTGCTGTTGAGACTGTTGAGCTCGGAGCAGCTGTTGAGACCGTTGAGCCTGGAGCTGCTGTTGAGACTGTTGAGCCTGAAGCTGCTGTTGAGACTGTTGAGCCTGGCGTTGCTGTTGAGACGGTTGAGCCTGGCGCTGCTGTTGAGGCTGGAGCTGTTACTGTGGCTCTTGAGGATAGTGCTGCTGATGAGGCTGATATACCTGGAGCTGCTGTTGAGGCTGATGACGCTGCAGTTGCCGTTATTGTTGTGATTAGTGCGACTGTTGGTGGCGTTGTTTCTGATGATATGGGTCCTACTATTGCCATGGAAGATGGGCTTGTTAATATTTTTGCTGTTGTTGTAGTTGATGTGCCTATTGTGGTTATTGGTGTTGAGTTTGTTAGGCTAGGAGCTGTTGTTGTTTTTGCAGTTGTGCCTGAAAAGTTGTAATATTTGCATAGCGTTAGGAGTATGAATAAAAATGGAATATTATGCATTTGCCACATTCACTGAGAACATTACTTTTGCGGAACATCTAACCAGTTAATTATTGGTTGATCAATGGATAGTACAAAACACAGAAGCAGACTTTGAATACATATCGGAGAGCTGTGCAGTGCAGCAAAAAACCAAGTTCTCTTGAATTCTATTCAAGAATCCATTCTCTGTTTTTCAACATTGTGGTCAATGGTAGCGCTTCTCTAGTGACTACAGCGTTCATGTGAACCCATTTCATGTAATCTATATAGCATAGCCAAGTAACACGTGATTTGATGAATGCACTGGGAGATTAAGGATGGTTTCTGGTCGATGCGTAAGTCTGCATAAGTAATTGGTGACTGATAGACGCATTTCGCTTCAGAACCCACTTTGGTTGTGTGGCTGAAACCCAGATTAGAACCCAGGATCTCGGCAGTGCCGACTCAGCGTCTGCGACACATTATTAGCCACCTGCCCACCTCAAACATCATCAACTTTGATGGATGCACGTTTACCTGTGCTTGGAGATGAGGTTGTTGTCTTCACTGTGTTGATTGGTGCATTTGTCACAGAGACGAATGGAGCTTTGGTAAAAAGGGAAACGCACAAGTTAAAATTGGTTCTCAGTAGGATAAGGGTGATATAAACAGAATATGTATTCATATTGGAAGAAATCTGATGAGCTGTGAAGCTCTTTTTCGCAGATGTTCAGTCAGGGCTTGTAAATATTGTGGATTTGTTCTCCCAACATGCCATTCGTTACTCGTACAGCACACCAGTGGGTGTGCTGTACGAGTAACGAATGGCATGTTCTATTTAAGTGACAAACCTTACATATTGGCTGTGTCAGATGGTGGTGGGTGTAACGACACATTTCTATTTACGCGATCTAACCCAACAAAAACCCCTATATTATGGATGAAATTGGCCGCGACAGCCTTCGTGTTAACCGGTCAGAACGTTACAACAACAAACATTACAAAACATGATAGGAGTGTGAAGTATAGGAAAGGTAACCAAATCACTTCCCCTGCACCTCCAATTAGCACGGTTGGCTATATACAAAACATTCAAACAAAACAAAGTAATTTTTTTCATAAGGAGGGAAGTGGACATGGGATACACGCTGCAATGTCATGCACTGATTCCACAGACCATAGGATACTCTTTGTGACATTGGTGACTTGAGGAAATAGCGGAGCTGAGAAATGGTTATGAATTTATCAACAATATTTAAGAGCCTCGCTTGACTCTCCCCTCACTACTTCTCCGCTCTCATCTCACACTACTTTCATCCTTGCACTCCCAAACCTCCCCCCCTCATCTCATTATAATCCCCTCTCATCGCACTCTACACATATATATATTACGTATCGAATATTGTTTTCAATTTGTTTCAATGACAACCAAAGGCTAAATTATTGGGAGAAATGTTGAATGGCAGGCTCTCCCAGTTGTCTTGTTCAGCACCGGCGACAAAGCGTTCAGAGGCACGTTCACATCCAGAAATGTTTTTACCTTCGGAAATAGTCTGAGGACTTGAAGAGGTAAGGATCGTCGTTTTTATCGCTGTTGTGGATCCTGCAAGAAGTAAAATGTAAAACATCAACAAATGCAACAGCAGTTACTAATTCGTTTTGAATCATTCCGTAAATGTTATTATTGTAATGTTGGACATGATGACGTTTGCATTCCATGATTGATTTATTATTGTTGTTTCAGGTGTTCTTGTCTGGGGCAGGATTTCTATGAATGTGGCTTGTATGTAAAACATGTTTCGTATTAATATTGTAATGAGATGGTCCGCTGATGTTGCCTGCAAACATTTTTATACCTGGTGCAGATGAAACCGTAGTAATTGCATTTTATGTTTGTTTTGTTTTTGTTGTTTAGATTGTTGTTGTTTAGTGCAGGATTTGTGTGAACGTGGCCAGTATGTAAAACATTTTGGAAGCGATATTGTCGTGAGATGGTGGGCTGCTGTTGCCTGCAAACATTTTAATACCTGGTGCAGATGAAAGCGTAATTTTCACAGCTGTTGAAGGAGCCGTTACTGAGCTTGGCCCAGCTGTAGAGTAGTAGGATACTGCTACCGAATATGATGTTGGTGCCGATGGTGCAGAAGAGACTGGGGCAGTTGATGAAGTTGCAGTTCCTTGTGCAGTTGAAGCAGAAGAGACTGGGGCTGTTGATGAAGATGCAGTTCCTGCTGCAGCTGAAGCAGAAGAGACTGGGGCTGTTGATGAAGGTGCAGTTCCTGGTGCAGTTGAGGCAGAAGAGACTGGGGCTGTTGATGAAGGTGCAGTTCCTGGTGCTGTTGAAGCAGAAGAGACTGGAGCTGTTGATGAAGGTGCAGTTCCTGGTGCAGTTGAAGCAGAAGAGACTGGGCCTGTTGATGAAGGTGCAGTTCCTGGTGCAGTTGAGGCAGAAGAGACTGCGACCGTTGATGAAAGGGCAGTTCCTGGTGCAGTTGAGGCAGAAGAAACTGGGGTTGTTGATGAAAGTGCAGTTCCTGGTGCAGTTGACGCAGACGAGACTGGGGCTGTTGATGAAGGTGCAGTTCCTGCTGCAGTTGAAGCAGAAGAGACTGGGGCTGTTGATGAAGGTGCAGTTCCTGGCACAGTTGAGGCAGAAGAGACTGGGGCTGTTGGTGAAGGTGCAGTTCCTGGTGCAGTTGACGCAGAAGAAACGTGGGCTGTTGATGAAGGTGCAGTTCCTGCTATAGTTGAAGCAGAAGAGACTGGGGCTGTTGATGAAGGTGCAGTTCCTCCTGCAGTTGAGGCAGAAGAGACTGGGGCTGTTGATGAAGATGCAGTTCCTGGTGCAGTTGAGGCAGAAGAGACTGGGACTGTTGATGAAGGTGCAGTTCCTGGTGCAGTTGACGCAGAAGAGACTGGGGCTGTTGATGAAGGTGCAGTTCCTGGCGCAGTTGAGGCAGAAGAGACTGGGGCTGTTGATGAAGGTGCAGTTCCTGGTGCAGTTGACGCAGAAGAGACTTGGGCTGTTGATGAAGGTGCAGTTCCTGGTGCAGTTGAGGCAGAAGAGACTGGGGATGTTGATGATGGTGCAGTTCCTGCTGCAGTTGAGGCAGAAGAGACTGGGGCTGTTGATGAAGGTGCAGTTCCTGGTGCAGTTGAGGCAGAAGAGACTGGGGCTGTTGATGAAGGTGCAGTTCCTGGTGCAGTTGACGCAGAAGAGACTGGGGCTGTTGATGAAGGTGCAGTTCCTGGTGCAGTTGAGGCAGAAGAGACTGGGGCTGTTGATAAAGGTGCAGTTCCTGCTACAGTTGAAGCAGAAGAGACTCGGGCTGTTGATGATGGTGCAGTTCCTGGTGCAGTTGAGGCAGAAGAGACTGGGACTGTTGATGAAAGGGCAGTTCCTTGTGCAGTTGAGGCAGAAGAAACTGGGGTTGTTGATGAAGTTCCTTGTGCAGTTGAGGCAGAAGAGACTGGGGCTGTTGATGAAGGTGCAGTTCCTTGTGCAGTTGAAGCAGAAGAGACTGGGGCTGTTGATGAAGGTGCAGTTCCTGGTGCAGTTGAGGCAGAAGAGACTGGGATTGTTGATGAAGGTGCAGTTCCTGGTGCAGTTGAAGCAGAAGAGACTGGGGCTGTTGATGAAGGTGCAGTTCCTGGTGCAGTTGACACAGAAGAGACTAGGGCTGTTGATGAAGGTGCAGTTCCTGCTGCAGTTGAAACAGAAGAGACTGGGGCTGTTGATGAAGGTGCAGTTCCTGGTGCAGTTGAAGCAGAGGAGACTGGGGCTGTTGATGAAGGTGCAGTTCCTGGTGCAGTTGAGGCAGAAGAGACTGGGGCTGTTGATGAAGGTCCAGTTCCTTGTGCAGTTGACGCAGAAGAGACTGGGGCTGTTGATGAAGGTGCAGGTCCTGGTGCAGTTGAGGCAGAAGAGACTGGGGCTGTTGATGAAGGTGCAGTTCCTGGAGCAGTTGAAGCAGAAGAGACTGGGGCTGTTGATGAAGGTGCAGTTCCTGCTGGAGTTGAGGCAGAAGAGACAGGGACTGTTGATGAAATGGCAGTTCCTGGTGCAGTTGAGGCAGAAGAAACTGGGGTTGTTGATGAAGGTGCAGTTCCTGGTGCAGTTGGCACAGAGGAGACTGGGGCTGTTGATGAAGATGCAGTTCCTGCTGCAGTTGAAGCAGAAGAGACTGGGGCTGTTGATGAAGGTGCCGTTCCTGGTGCAGTTGAGGCAGAAGAGACTGGGGCTGTTGATGAAGGTGCAGTTCCTGGTGCAGTTGAGGCAGAAGAGACTGGGGCTGTTGATGAAGGTGCAGTTCCTGGTGCAGTTGAGGCAGAAGAGACTGGGGCTGTTGATGAAGGTGCAGTTCCTGGTGCAGTTGAAGCAGAAGAGACTGGGGCTGTTGATGAAGTTGCAATTCCTGATGCGGTTGACGCAGAAGAGACTGGGGCTGTTGATGAAGGTGCAGTTCCTGGTGCAGTTGAGGCAGAAGAGACTGGGGCTGTTGATGAAGGTGCAGTTCCTTGTGCAGTTGAAGCAGAAGAGACTGGGGCTGTTGATGAAGGTGCAGTTCCTGGTGCAGTTGAGGCAGAAGAGACTAGGCCTGTTGATGAAGGTGCAGTTCCTGGAGCAGTTGAAGCAGAAGAGACTGGGGCTGTTGATGAAGGTGCAGTTCCTGCTGCAGTTGATGCAGAAGAGACTGGGGCTGTTGATGAAGGTGCAGTTCCTGGTGTAGTTGAGACAGAAGAGACTGGGGCTGTTGATGAAGGTGCAGTTCCTGGTGCAGTTGACGCAGAAGAGACTGGGACTGTTGATGAAAGGGCAGTTCCTGGTGCAGTTGAGGCAGAAGAAACTGGGGTTGTTGATGAAGGTGCAGTTCCTGGTGCAGTTGGCACAGAAGAGACTGGGGCTGTTGATGAAGCTGCAGTTCCTGCTGCAGTTGAAGCAGAAGAGACTGGGGCTGTTGATGAAGGCGCAGTTCCTGGTGCAGTTGAGGCCAAAAAGACTGGGGCTGTTGATGAAGGTGCAGTTCCTGGTGCAGTTGAGGCAGAAGAGACTGGGGCTGTTGATGAAGGTGCAGTTCCTGGTGCAGTTGAGGCAGAAGAGACTGTGGCTGTTGATGAAGGTGCAGTTCCTGGTGCAGTTGAGGCAGAAGAAACTGGGACTGTTGATGAAGGTGCAGTTCCTGGTGCAGTTGAGGCAGAAGAGACTGGGGCTGTTGATGAAGGTGCAGTTCCTGGTGCAGTTGAGGCAGAAGAAACTGGGACTGTTGATGAAAGGGCAGTTCCTGGTGCAGTTGAGGCAGAAGAAACTGGGGCTGTTGATGAAGGTGCAGTTCCTGCTGCAGTTGAGGCAGAAGAGACGGGAGCTGTTGATGAAGGTGCAGTTCCTGGTGCAGTTGAGGCAAAAGAGACTGGGACTGTTGATGAAAGGGCAGTTCCTGGTGCAGTTGAGGCAGAAGAGACTTGGGCTGTTGATGAAGGTGCAGTTCCTTGTGCAGTTGAAGCAGAAGAGACTGGGGCTGTTGATGAAGGTGCAGTTCCTGGTGCAGTTGAGGCAGAAGAGACTGGGGCTGTTGATGAAGGTGCAGTTCCTGGAGCAGTTGAAGCAGAAGAGACTGGGGCTGTTGATGAAGGTGCAGTTCCTGCTGCAGTTGAGGCAGAATAGACTGGGGCTGTTGATGAAGGTGCAGTTCCTGGTGCAGATGAGGCTGAAGAGACTGGGACTGTTGATGAAGGTGCAGTTCCTGGTGCAATTGATGCAGAAGAGACTGGGGCTGTTGATGAAGGTGCAGTTCCTTGTGCAGTTGAAGCAGAATAGACTGGGGCTGTTGATGAAGGTGCAGTTCCTGGTGCAGTTGAGGCAGAAGAAACTGGGGTTGTTGATGAAGGTGCAGTTCCTGGAGCAGTTGAAGCAGAAGAGACTGGGGCTGTTGATGAAGGTGCAGTTCCTGGTGCAGAAAAGGCAGAAGAGACTGGGACTGTTGATGAAGGTGCAGTTCCTGGTGCAGTTGAGGCAGAAGAGACTGGGGCTGTTGATGAAGGTGCAGTTCCTGGAACAGTTGAAGTAGAAGAGACTGGCGCTGTTGATGAAGGTGCAGTTCCTGCTGCAGTTGAGGCAGAAGAGACTGGGGCTGTTGATGAAGATGCAGTTCCTGGTGCAGTTGAGGCAGAAGAGACTGGGGCTGTTGATGAAGGTGCAGTTCCTGGTGCAGTTGAGGCAGAAGAGACTGGGGCTGTTGATGAAGGTGCAGTTCCTGGAACAGTTGAAGCAGAAGAGACTGGCGCTGTTGATGAAGGTGCAGTTCCTGCTGCAGTTGAGGCAGAAGAGACTGGGGCTGTTGATGAAGGTGCAGTTCCTGGTGCAGTTGAGGCAGAAGAGACTGGGACTGTTGATGAAAGGGCAGTTCCTGGTGCAGTTGAGGCAGAAGAGACTGGGGCTGTTGATGAAGGTGCAGTTCCTTGTGCAGTTGAAGCAGAATAGACTGGGGCTGTTGATGAAGGTGCAGTTCCTGGTGCAGTTGAGGCAGAAGAAACTGGGGTTGTTGATGAAGGTGCAGTTCCTGGAGCAGTTGAAGCAGAAGAGACTGGGGCTGTTGATGAAGGTGCAGTTCCTGGTGCAGAAGAGGCAGAAGAGACTGGGACTGTTGATGATGGTGCAGTTCCTGGTGCAGTTGAGGCAGAAGAGACTGGGGCTGTTGATGAAGGTGCAGTTCCTGGTGCAGTTGAGGCAGAAGAGACTGGGGCTGTTGATGAAGGTGCAGTTCCTGGAACAGTTGAAGCAGAAGAGACTGGCGCTGTTGATGAAGGTGCAGTTCCTGCTGCAGTTGAGGCAGAAGAGACTGGGACTGTTGATGAAGGTGCAGTTCCTGCTGCAGTTGAAGCAGAAGAGACTGGGGCTGTTGATGAAGGTGCAGTTTCTGGTGCAGATGAGGCAGAAGAGACTGGGGCTGTTGATGAAGGTGCAGTTCCTGGTGCAGTTGAGGCAGAAGAGACTGGGGCTGTTGATGAAGGTGCAGTTCCTGGTGCAGTTGAGGCAGAAGAGATGGGGACTGTTGATGAAAGGGCAGTTCCTGGTGCAGTTGAGGCAGAAGAGACTGGGGCTGTTGATGAAGGTGCAGTTCCTTGTGCAGTTGAAGCAGAAGAGACTGGGGCTGTTGATGAAGGTGCAGTTCCTGGTGCAGTTGAGGCAGAAGAAACTGGGGTTGTTGATGAAGGTGCAGTTCCTGGTGCAGTTGGCACAGAAGAGACTGGGGCTGTTGATGAAGGTGTAGTTCCTGGTGCAGTTGAGGCAGAAGAGACTGGGGCTGTTGATGAAGGTGCAGTTCCTGGTGCAGTTGAGGCAGAAGAGACTGGGGCTGTTGTTGAAGGTGCAGTTTCTGGTGCAGTTGAGGCAGAAGAGACCGGGACTGTTGATGAAGGTGCAGTTCCTGGTGCAGTTGAAGCAGAAGAGACTGGGGCTGTTGATGAGGGTGCAGTTCCTGGTGCAGTTCCTGGTGCAGTTGACGCAGAAAAGACTGGGGCTGTTGATGAAGGTGCAGTTCCTGGTGCAGTTGACGCAGAAGAGACTGGGCCTGTTGATGAAGGTGAAGTTCCTGCTATAGATGAGGTGGAAGAAACTTGGGCTGTTGATGAAGCCAGAGAACCTGTGGTAGTTGACAGTGCAGCAGTTGAAATTGTCTTCGCAGATGTAGTCGCCACAACTATGGATCCGGGCGATGTCCCCATGGTTGTTCCTACGCGTGAAGTAGTTTTCACCGTCGACTCCGATGATGTTTGTGCCATCGCTGTGGTTATGGATGTCGTGCTCTGCGAGGTTGCCCCTGTCGTCGACATTGACACAGCTGTTGTGGGTGGTGTAGCAGTAAAACTTACTGGGGGATTTGGAGCCACTGTTGTTGAAATGGTTAAAGGTGCCGATATTACTTGTGAAGAGGTCTGCGCGAGGCTAGCAGTGGATAGAGCTGCCGTTACTGTTGCCCTACTTGGCGAGGTGCTTGTTGAGGTTGATGAAGATACACCAGTTTGTGCGGTTGCTGTTGTGGTTATCATTCCTGCCGTGGAGGCTGCGGTTGTGCTAATGGCGGAGGTAATCGTACCTCCTGTTATTGCTGTGGACGATTGCGTTATTATTTCTGTTGTTGGTGCTGTGGTGGTTGGGATAGTTGTGGTGCTTGTTGATGCTGCTGATGTGGTTGTGGTAATGGCTGAGGTCATCCTTCCTGCTGTTGTTATTGGTAGTGTTGATTGAGATGTGCCCACAGTTGCTGTGGACGATTGCATTGTTATTGCTGTTGGTGCTGTGGTTAGAATAGTTGTGGCACTTGATGTTTCAGTTTTTGTTGGGTTCTTTGTGGTGTCAGGAATGGTTGTTGGTAATTGGGTTGTGCCTGAAAATATCCACACATTGAAATGAGCTTAGTGCAGGAATTTAATTAACTTTATAAAATCAATGTAATCATTTTATGAATTGAAATATGAATCACATAATCTCTTTTTTCATAATGTCCCATTATAGTTAACAATATATTTAATGTAAGCACATTTTGAAAATAAATTTAAAAGGAGCAAGTTCATGTGACATGAAATAATACGTTTGACTGAGTACATCGTGAGAGTTTCTCCCTAATTGAGGAAAGTCGACAAATAATTTATTTCTGCATAACAGGACGAATTGGTTGAAGTCCTATGCTCAAGTAAAAAGCTACTGCATGATTCCGAAATCCTGGGGTTTTCTTTCATCAACAAACATTGAAACTTGTGCGGGACACCCTATGTGTAAAGCTACAAAAGTAGAGCTCTATTTTTGGCCTAAGACCTGTCTTATGCTGATTCGTTTAATCTAAAACTGACAGGTGATCTACTAATTGTGACAATGTTATTGACGATTTTAATTTGTATTTGGTGTGTGCAGTGTGATTTTTAGTGCGCTTGTACCAGAATAACAAATGCTCCTGCGAAAAAGCAAACAGTGAAACGCAACACAATCTGTGCAGCGTTTGTCTTCCGCGTCTCTCAGTTCATGCCTCGTTGTTAGTGGTCTGCTGTGGACAGTGGTGGATCATGACTCCATATTGAGGAGGCTACAAACATAGCCTGTGCTTGCAAACCCTTACGAAGCCTGACATGGTGAGATGGACAGCGCAAGGTGGCTGCTGGCAGAGCACACGATAGACTTACACAATCAGTGAACTGGTGAAATTGAATCAATGCAGACAATCAATGTCCAAAAACAATAGAGCACGCGGTTGACACAATGATTGCACCTGTGTGTCCTTGGGTGAGTGAGTGTGCAATGTTCTTTCTTGTTTTTGGACATTAATAAAAAAAAATGTTTTTACATGACTTAAATAATATATATATTACTTATAGACACATAAAAATAAGGTTATGTTGTCTTGAACAATAATTTCGTTGATTGCATGTACTAAAATCGTTTTTCACCCCTCCCGTTCACCATGAATCTATTTCTCTCGCCATGCTCTGTACCATTCTGTACCAGCAAACTTACTACCAAGTCGACGCAGTTACATTCTTCATGCACACCGACAACACAACCATAGAGATTTAAGAAAACGTGTTTACCTGTGCTGGTCGAGAAGACAGTGGTTGACTTTTGTGCGTTGACTTGTGGTTGTGTCACAGGAACGATTGGCGCTTTGGTAAAGAGAAAGAGAACACAAATCGATCGTCGGAATGGGTGAGCATTGTGTAACATAAATCAGTCTATCAAGTAGTTTTCATTTGCCTATGGTAAAATACCACTAGCAGATAACTTAATGTCACGTACCCAGGTACCCAAGTTAAACGCCTAACCACGGCTCCCGCAAGTATGAAGTGATATCTGAACCAATCCAAGGCCTCCCAACCTGCACTGATCAGCAGTGGAATGACAAAAGGGCTGTGCATGTATATTATGCCATGCAGTGAAATAATGGCAATTATCTCCCTACAATCTTGATTTCAAGCTTTCGTGACTGCAGGAACCCACACTCTTTGGTTCTTTCGGTAAAGTCACGTAGTTAGAAATAAAATAAAAAATATAAAACTAAAACAAATCACGACGTTTCGATCGCAACACAAGCGGTCGTCATCAGTGAAATAACAGTAGCAGACCACTTGAAGGCTACTAAAATACAGCACTGCGCCGACGCCAGTGATATACAGTAAAAACATCTCGCAAAGCCAGACTCGAGTAAGCCAGAATTTGAGGTAATCCAGAAAGGCTTCCAAAATACATCAATAAATAACATTAACAAAATACATTTAAAAGAATGCTTACCATGTGTGGTTGGCTGAGTAGTTGTCACAATAATTGCAGCTGTTGGTGCTGGTGATGATTCTGTAACTAAGAGATCAAAGACGTTAATGTCACAGAGGGTATGTTCATGTATTTCTCTAAACATTTTTCCCACATCACCAATAGTTCTCGTGATGTGTCCTGCCTAAGTCCCCTTACGTTTCTTGTCATTAAATATCAAATGTCCCTTAATGTCCACCACTCTCCTTGCTTAAAATTAAACATTAAGCCATTGTTGGAAAGTAGATGTTAACTTTTAGAAGGAAGCACCTCTCCCTCTCTGTCTCCTTCTCTGTGCCAGTTATTGCCTAGAGACAGTTGTGGCCAACAGCCCAAAACCATCATAAGTTACAGCTGAAAAAGGTAGTAGCTGCTGCGGGCATTATTCCAAAGTCTATAAATGATATCACGTGATGCAATAGCGGCATTGGCTACATAGAGACCCACACGTGTTGGAATGCGCCTGTGAAAAAACTCTACATTGGGCTCAATGTTGGATATAGTTTAGTGACAACACCATTGATAATCGATATTACAAAACTCTACGTATTGCTAAATATATATTCTTTACAATTTTTGAGGAATTTGTGCGTGAGTGGATTTCAATACTGTATACACGATATGCAGTACAATTCATGTTCATTTGAAATATTGTGCAAGGGATCATATTAGGTTTTCTTCAGAAGACAAAATGTGTTCGGTTATTGAAGACAGTAAAGTATATTGAGTGTTTTGAAGAATCTTAAGTAAATTCACCATTTGAAGAAGTGGCAGTGTTTTTTTTTTTTTTATCCGAAGACACCAAAGTATTTGAAGACAGCAAATAATTTTTCCGGATTTAAAGACATCCATATAAAAAGAAAAACATGTTAAAGAATTTTATTCACGTGTACTGTGGTGGTTGTAAAAGCTGAAACGGCAGACTTGTAGGTGATTGCAATGCCGTAATTTCTGTAATACCTGCTGTAGTTATTGTTGAGGATAGCGCTGCTGCAGGTGAGGTTTGTGCTGTAGCGATTGCTGTTGTCGCTGCTGATTTCACTGTCATTGCAGGAACTATGCTTGGGGTTGTTCCTGCTGTTGTGGCCGATGTAACTGTTGGTGCTGGTGATGTGGTCGTTGGGAATTGTGGTGCTAATGAAGATGATGCTGCTGATGGAAGAGGTATTGATGTTGTTGAGGTAACAATTGTTACACCTGCTGCTGTTGATAATGTTGCAGGGGAAGATATTGATATTGTTGTTGGTGCTATGGGTGATGATGCTGTTGTTGAGGTTACTATTGCTGATGGAGATGAGACAGCTGTTGCTGCTGTAGTCGTTAATGAAATGCCTGCTGTTGTCGGAGGTGATGTGGTTGTTGAGAGTGCTGTTGTTGATGAGACAGCTGTCACAGAGGCAGTTGCTGATATTGCAGCTGAAGATATTTTTGCAGTTGATGTGGATATGGGCGGTGATGCTGCTGTTGTTGTTGAGGTTACGAGTGTTGTTGTTGAGGCAGGAGATGCTACTGTTGAGGTGAGAAGTGTTGCTATTGTTGTGGAAGCAGTTTTCGCGCCTGCTGTTGTTGCTGTTGTCACAGATAAAGAGCCAGGTGTTGTTGGTGAAGCTATGGGTGGCGATGCTACTGTTGTTGATGCTACTGTTGTTGAGATAGGAGACGCTACTGTTGATGTGATAAGTGCTGCTGTTGTAGAGGCAACTGCCACACTTGCCGTTGTTGCTGATGTTCCAGCTGAAGAGGCTGTTGGTGAAGTTATGGGAGAGAATGCTGCTGTTCCTGAGGTTACTGGTGTTGCTGTTGTTGAGACAGCTGCTACTGGTGTTGTTAAGGCAGTTGTCGCACCTGAAGTTGTTACTGTTGCTACAGCTGAAGAGGACGTTCCTGTTGGTGAAGTTATGGGAGAGGATGCTGCTGTTACTGAGGTTAATGGTGTTGTTGTTGTTGAGACAGCTGCTACTGGTGTTGGTGAAGAAGCTAGGGCAATTGTAGTTGTTGCTACGGTTACCGCTGAAGATTGTGTTGCTGTTGGTGAAGTTACGGGAGAGGATGCTGCTGTTCCTGAGGTTACTGGTGCTGCTGTTGTAGAGACAGCTGCTACTGGTGTTGGTGAGGAAGCTAGGGCAATTGTAGTTGTTGCTACGGTTGCCGCTGAAGATTGTGTTGCTGTTGGTGAAGTTACGGGAGAGGATGCTGCTGTTCCTGAGGTTACTGGTGCTGCTGTTGTAGAGACAGCTGCTACTGGTGTTGTCGAGGAAGCTAGGGCAATTGTTGCTGTTGTTGCAGCTGAAGAAGCTGTTGCTGTTGGTGAAGTTATGGGAGAGGATGCTGCTGTTGCCGAGGTTACTGGTGTTGCTGTTGTCGAAACAGCTGCTACTGGTGTTGTTGACGAAGCTAGGGCACTTGTTGCTGTTGTTACAGCTGAAGAGGCTGTTGCTGTTGGTGAAGTTATGGGAGAGGATGCTGCTGTTCCTGAGGTTAATGGTGTTGCTGTTGTTGAGACAGCTGCTACTGGTGTTGTTAAGACAGTTGTTGCACCTGAAGTTGTTGCTGTTGCTACAGCTAAAGAGGCTGTTGGTGTTGGTGAAGTTATGGGAGAGGATGCTGCTGTCGCTGAGGTTACTGGTGTTGCTGTTGTTGAGACAGCTGCTACTGGTGTTGTTGAGGAGACTAGGGCAATTGTTGCTGTTGTTACAGCTGAAGAGGCTGTTGCTGTTGGTGAAGTTATGGGAGAGGATGCTGCTATTCCTGAGGTTACTGGTGCTGTTGTTGTTGCGACAGCTGACACTGGTGTTGTCGAGGCAGCTGGGGCAAGTGTTGCTGTTGTTACAGCTGAAGAGGCTGTTGCTGTTGGTGAAGTTATGGGAGAGGATGCTGCTGCTCCTGAGGTTAATGGTGTTGCTGTTGTTGAGACAGCTGCTATTGGTGTTGTTAAGGCAGTTGTCGCACCTGAAGTTGTTGCTGTTGCGACAGCTGAAGAGGGCGTTGCTGTTGGTGAAGTTACGGGAGAGGATGCTGCTGTTCCTGAGGTTAACGGTGTTGCTGTTGTTGAGACAGCTGCTACTGGTGTTGTTGACGAAGCTAGGGCAATTGTTGCTGTTGTTACAGCTGAAGAGCCTGTTGGTGTTGGTGAAGTTACGGGAGAGGATGCTGCTGTTGCTGAGGTTACTGGTGCTGATGTTGTTGAGACAGCTGCTACTGGTGTTGTTAAGGCAGTTGTCGCACCTGTAGTTGTTGCTGTTGTTAGAGCTGAAGAGCCGGTTGCTGTTGGTGAAGTTATGGGAGAGGATGCTGCTGTTGTTGAGGTTAATGGTGTTGCTGTTGTTGAGACAGCTGCTACTGGTGTTGTTAAGACAGTTGTTGCACCTGAAGTTGTTGCTGTTGCTACAGCTAAAGAGGCTGTTGGTGTTGGTGAAGTTATGGGAGAGGATGCTGCTGTCGCTGAGGTTACTGGTGTTGCTGTTGTTGAGACAGCTGCTACTGGTGTTGTTGAGGAGACTAGGGCAATTGTTGCTGTTGTTACAGCTGAAGAAGCTGTTGCTGTTGGTGAAGTTATGGGAGAGGATGCTGCTATTCCTGAGGTTACTGGTGCTGTTGTTGTTGCGACAGCTGACACTGGTGTTGTCGAGGCAGCTGGGGCAAGTGTTGCTGTTGTTACAGCTGAAGAGGCTGTTGCTGTTGGTGAAGTTATGGGAGAGGATGCTGCTGCTCCTGAGGTTAATGGTGTTGCTGTTGTTGAGACAGCTGCTACTGGTGTTGTTAAGGCAGTTGTCGCACCTGAAGTTGTTGCTGTTGCGACAGCTGAAGAGGGCGTTGCTGTTGGTGAAGTTACGGGAGAGGATGCTGCTGTTCCTGAGGTTAACGGTGTTGCTGTTGTTGAGACAGCTGCTACTGGTGTTGTTGACGAAGCTAGGGCAATTGTTGCTGTTGTTACAGCTGAAGAGCCTGTTGGTGTTGGTGAAGTTACGGGAGAGGATGCTGCTGTTGCTGAGGTTACTGGTGCTGATGTTGTTGAGACAGCTGCTACTGGTGTTGTTAAGGCAGTTGTCGCACCTGTAGTTGTTGCTGTTGTTAGAGCTGAAGAGCCGGTTGCTGTTGGTGAAGTTATGGGAGAGGATGCTGCTGTTGTTGAGGTTACTGGTGCTGCTGTTGTTGAGACAGCTGCTACTGTTGTTGTTGTTGATGAAACTAGGGCAATTGTTGCTGTTGTTACAGCTGAAGAGCCTGGTGAAGTTATGGGAGAGGATGCTGCTGTTGCTGAGGTTACTGGTGCTGCTGTTGTTGAGACAGCTGCTACTGGTGTTGTTAAGGCAGTTGTCGCACCTGAAGTTGTTGCTGTTGTTAGAGCTGAAGAGCCGGTTGCTGTTGGTGAAGTTATGGGAGAGGATGCTGCTATTCCTGAGGTTACTGGTGTTGCTGTTGTTGAGACAGCTGCTACTGTTGTTGTTGTTGAGGAAGCTAGGGCACTTGTAGTAGTTGCTACGGTTACCACTGAAGATTGTGTTGCTGTTGGTGAAGTTATGGGAGAGGATGCTGCTGTTCCTGAGGTTACTGGTGCTGCTGTTGTCGAAACAGCTACTACTGGTGTTGTTGACGAAGCTAGGGCAATTGTTGCTGTTGTTACAGCTGAAGAGCCTGTTGCTGTTGGTGAAGTTATGGCAGAGGATGCTGCTGTTCCTGAGGTTACTGGTGTTGCTGTTGTAGAGACAGCTGCTACTGGTGTTGTCGAGGAAGCTAGGGTATTTGTTGCTGTTGTTATAGCTGAAGAGCCTGTTGCTGTTGGTGAAGTTACGAGAGAGGATGTTGCTGTTCCTGAGGTTAATGGTGTTGCTGTTGTTGAGACAGCTGCTACTGGTGTTGTTAAGGCAGTTATCGCACCTGAAGTTGTTGCTGTTGTTAGAGCTGAAGAGCCTGTTGCTGTTGGTGAAGTTATGGGAGAGGATGCTGCTGTTGTTGAGGTTACTGGTGCTGCTGTTGTTGAAACAGCTGCTACTGGTGTTGTTAAGGCAGTTGTCGCACCTGAAGTTGTTGCTGTTGTTAGAGCTGAAGAGCCGGTTGCTGTTGGTGAAGTTATGGGAGAGGATGCTGCTATTCCTGAGGTTACTGGTGTTGCTGTTGTTGAGACAGCTGCTAGTGTTGTTGTTGTTGAGGAAGCTAGGGCACTTGTAGTAGTTGCTACGGTTACCACTGAAGATTGTGTTGCTGTTGGTGAAGTTATGGGAGAGGATGCTGCTGTTCCTGAGGTTACTGGTGCTGCTGTTGTCGAAACAGCTACTACTGGTGTTGTTGACGAAGCTAGGGCAATTGTTGCTGTTGTTACAGCTGAAGAGCCTGTTGCTGTTGGTGAAGTTATGGCAGAGGATGCTGCTGTTCCTGAGGTTACTGGTGTTGCTGTTGTAGAGACAGCTGCTACTGGTGTTGTCGAGGAAGCTAGGGTATTTGTTGCTGTTGTTATAGCTGAAGAGCCTGTTGCTGTTGGTGAAGTTACGAGAGAGGATGTTGCTGTTCCTGAGGTTAGTGGTGTTGCTGTTGTTGAGACAGCTGCTACTGGTGTTGTTAAGGCAGTTGTCGCACCTGAAGTTGTTGCTGTTGTTAGAGCTGAAGAGCCTGTTGCTGTTGGTGAAGTTATGGAGAGGATGCTCCTGTTGTTGAGGTTACTGGTGCTGCTGTTGTTGAAACAGCTGCTACTGGTGTTGTTGATGAGACTAGGGCAATTGCTGCTGTTGTTACAGCTGAAGACGCTGTTGGTGAAGTTATGGGAGAGGACGCTGCTATTCCTGAGGTTACCGGTGCTGTTGTTGTTGAGACACCTGCTACTGTTGTTGTTGAGGAAGATAGGGCATTTGTAGTAGTTGCTATGGTTACCACTGAAGATTGTGTTGCTGTTGGTGAAGTTATGGGAGAGGATGCTGCTGTTCCTGAGGTTACTGGTGCTGCTGTTGACGAAACAGCTACTACTGGTGTTGTTGACGAAGCTAGGGCAATTGTTGCTGCTGTTACAGCTGAAGAGCCTGTTGCTGTTGGTGAAGTTATGGGAATGGATGCTGCTGTTGCTGAGGTTACTGGTGCTGCTGTTGTTGAGACAGCTACTACTGGTGTTGTTGACGAAGCTAGGGCAATTGTTGCTGTTGTTACAGCTGAAGAGGCTGTTGCTGTTGGTGAAGTTATGGGAGAGGATACTGCTGTTCCTGAGGTTAATGGTGTTGCTGTTGTTGAGACAGCTGCTACTGGTGTTGTTAAGACAGTTGTTGCACCTGAAGTTGTTGCTGTTGCTACAGCTAAAGAGGCTGTTGGTGTTGGTGAAGTTATGGGAGAGGATGCTGCTGTCGCTGAGGTTACTGGTGTTGCTGTTGTTGAGACAGCTGCTACTGGTGTTGTTGAGGAGACTAGGGCAATTGTTGCTGTTGTTACAGCTGAAGAAGCTGTTGCTGTTGGTGAAGTTATGGGAGAGGATGCTGCTATTCCTGAGGTTACTGGTGTTGTTGTTGTTGCGACAGCTGACACTGGTGTTGTCGAGGCAGCTGGGGCAAGTGTTGCTGTTGTTACAGCTGAAGAGGCTGTTGCTGTTGGTGAAGTTATGGGAGAGGATGCTGCTGCTCCTGAGGTTAATGGTGTTGCTGTTGTTGAGACAGCTGCTACTGGTGTTGTTAAGGCAGTTGTCGCACCTGAAGTTGTTGCTGTTGCGACAGCTGAAGAGGGCGTTGCTGTTGGTGAAGTTACGGGAGAGGATGCTGCTGTTCCTGAGGTTAACGGTGTTGCTGTTGTTGAGACAGCTGCTACTGGTGTTGTTGACGAAGCTAGGGCAATTGTTGCTGTTGTTACAGCTGAAGAGCCTGTTGGTGTTGGTGAAGTTACGGGAGAGGATGCTGCTGTTGCTGAAGTTACTGGTGCTGATGTTGTTGAGACAGCTGCTACTGGTGTTGTTAAGGCAGTTGTCGCACCTGTAGTTGTTGCTGTTGTTAGAGCTGAAGAGCCGGTTGCTGTTGGTGAAGTTATGGGAGAGGATGCTGCTGTTGTTGAGGTTACTGGTGCTGCTGTTGTTGAGACAGCTGCTACTGTTGTTGTTGTTGATGAAACTAGGGCAATTGTTGCTGTTGTTACAGCTGAAGAGCCTGTTGCTGTTGGTGAAGTTACAAGAGAGGATGTTGCTGTTCCTGAGGTTACTGGTGTTGCTGTTGTTGAGACAGCTGCTACTGGTGTTGTTGATGAGCCTAGCGCAATTGTTGCTGTTGTTACAGCTGAAGAGCCTGTTGCTGTTGGTGAAGTTATGGGAGAGGATGCTGCTGTTGCTGAGGTTACTGGTGCTGCTGTTGTTGAGACAGCTGCTACTGGTGTTGTTAAGGCAGTTGTCGCACCTGAAGTTGTTGCTGTTGTTAGAGCTGAAGAGCCGGTTGCTGTTGGTGAAGTTATGGGAGAGGATGCTGCTATTCCTGAGGTTACTGGTGTTGCTGTTGTTGAGACAGCTGCTACTGTTGTTGTTGTTGAGGAAGCTAGGGCACTTGTAGTAGTTGCTACGGTTACCACTGAAGATTGTGTTGCTGTTGGTGAAGTTATGGGAGAGGATGCTGCTGTTCCTGAGGTTACTGGTGCTGCTGTTGTCGAAACAGCTACTACTGGTGTTGTTGACGAAGCTAGGGCAATTGTTGCTGTTGTTACAGCTGAAGAGCCTGTTGCTGTTGGTGAAGTTATGGCAGAGGATGCTGCTGTTCCTGAGGTTACTGGTGTTGCTGTTGTAGAGACAGCTGCTACTGGTGTTGTCGAGGAAGCTAGGGTATTTGTTGCTGTTGTTATAGCTGAAGAGCCTGTTGCTGTTGGTGAAGTTACGAGAGAGGATGTTGCTGTTCCTGAGGTTAATGGTGTTGCTGTTGTTGAGACAGCTGCTACTGGTGTTGTTAAGGCAGTTGTCGCACCTGAAGTTGTTGCTGTTGTTAGAGCTGAAGAGCCTGTTGATGTTGGTGAAGTTATGGGAGAGGATGCTGCTGTTGTTGAGGTTACTGGTGCTGCTGTTGTTGAAACAGCTGCTACTGGTGTTATTAAGGCAGTTGTCGCACCTGAAGTTGTTGCTGTTGTTAGAGCTGAAGAGCCGGTTGCTGTTGGTGAAGTTATGGGAGAGGATGCTGCTATTCCTGAGGTTACTGGTGTTGCTGTTGTTGAGACAGCTGCTAGTGTTGTTGTTGTTGAGGAAGCTAGGGCACTTGTAGTAGTTGCTACGGTTACCACTGAAGATTGTGTTGCTGTTGGTGAAGTTATGGGAGAGGATGCTGCTGTTCCTGAGGTTACTGGTGCTGCTGTTGTCGAAACAGCTACTACTGGTGTTGTTGACGAAGCTAGGGCAATTGTTGCTGTTGTTACAGCTGAAGAGCCTGTTGCTGTTGGTGAAGTTATGGCAGAGGATGCTGCTGTTCCTGAGGTTACTGGTGTTGCTGTTGTAGAGACAGCTGCTACTGGTGTTGTCGAGGAAGCTAGGGTATTTGTTGCTGTTGTTATAGCTGAAGAGCCTGTTGCTGTTGGTGAAGTTACGAGAGAGGATGTTGCTGTTGCTGAGGTTACTGGTGTTGCTGTTGTTGAGACAGCTGCTACTGGTGTTGTTAAGGCAGTTGTCGCACCTGAAGTTGTTGCTGTTGTTAGAGCTGAAGAGCCTGTTGCTGTTGGTGAAGTTATGGGAGAGGATACTGCTGTTGTTGAGGTTACTGGTGCTGCTGTTGTTGAGACAGCTGCTACTGTTGTTGTTGATGAGACTAGGGCAATTGTTGCTGTTGTTACAGCTGAAGAGCCTGTTGCTGTTGGTGAAGTTATGGCAGAGGATGCTGCTGTTCCTGAGGTTACTGGTGTTGCTGTTACAGCTGAAGAGCCTGTTGCTTTTGGTGAAGTTATGAGAGAGGATGTTGCTGTTCCTGAGGTTAATGGTGTTGCTGTTGTTGAGACAGCTGCTACTGGTGTTGTTGACGAAGTTAGAGCAATTGTTGCTGTTGTTACCACTGAAGATTGTGTTGCTGTTGGTGAAGTTATGGCAGAGGATGCTGCTGTTCCTGAGGTTACTGGTGTTGCTGTTGTTAAGACAGCTGCTACTGGTGTTGTTAAGGCAGTTGTCGCACCTGAAGTTGTTGCTGTTGTTAGAGCTGAAGAGCCTGTTGCTGTTGGTGAAGTTATGGGAGAGGATGCTGCTGTTGCTGAGGTTACTGGTGCTGCTGTTGTTGAGACAGCTGCTACTGGTGTTGTTAAGGCAGTTGTCGCACCTGAAGTTGTTGCTGTTGTTAGAGCTGAAGAGCCGGTTGCTGTTGGTGAAGTTATGGGAGAGGATGCTGCTATTCCTGAGGTTACTGGTGTTGCTGTTGTTGAGACAGCTGCTACTGTTGTTGTTGAGGAAGCTAGGGCACTTGTAGTAGTTGCTACGGTTACCACTGAAGATTGTGTTGCTGTTGGTGACGTTATGGGAGAGGATGCTGCTGTTCCTGAGGTTACTGGTGCTGCTGTTGTCGAAACTGCTGCTACTGGTGTTGTTGACGAAGCTAGGGCAATTGTTGCTGTTGTTACACCTGAAGAGCCTGTTGCTGTTGGTGAAGTTATGGCAGAGGATGCTGCTGTTCCTGAGGTTACTGGTGTTGCTGTTGTAGAGACAGCTGCTACTGGGGTTGTCGAGGAAGCTAGGGTATTTGTTGCTGTTGTTATAGCTGAAGAGCCTGTTGCTATTGGTGAAGTTACGAGAGAGGATGTTGCTGTTCCTGAGGTTAATGGTGTTGCTGTTGTTGAGACAGCTGCTACTGGTGTTGTTAAGGCAGTTGTCGCACCTGAAGTTGTTGCTGTTGTTAGAGCTGAAGAGCCTGTTGCTGTTGGTGAAGTTATGGGAGAGGATGCTGCTGTTGTTGAGGTTACTGGTGCTGATGTTGTTGAAACAGCTGCTACTGGTGTTGTTGATGAGACTAGGGCAATTGTTGCTGTTGTTACAGCTGAAGAGCCTGTTGCTGTTGGTGAAGTTACGAGAGAGGATGTTGCTGTTCCTGAGGTTAATGGTGTTGCTGTTGTTGAGACAGCTGCTACTGGTGTTGTTGAGGAGGCGAGGGCAATTGTTGCTGTTGTTACAGCTGAAGACGCTGTTGGTGAAGTTATGGGAGAGGACGCTGCTATTCCTGAGGTTACTGGTGCTGCTGTTGTTGAGACAGCTGCTACTGTTGTTGTTGAGGAAGCTAGGGCACTTGTAGTAGTTGCTATGGTTACCACTGAAGATTGTGTTGCTGTTGGTGAAGTTATGGAAGAGGATGCTGCTGTTCCTGAGGTTGCTGGTGCTGCTGTTGTCGAAACAGCTACTGCTGGTGTTGTTGACGAAGCTAGGGCAATTGTTGCTGCTGTTACAGCTGAAGAGCCTGTTGCTGTTGGTGAAGTTATGGGAATGGATGCTGCTGTTGCTGAGGTTACTGGTGTTGCTGTTGTTGAGACAGCTGCTAGTGGTGTTGTTGACGAAGCTACGGCAATTGTTGTTGTTGTTACAGCTGAAGAGCCTGTTGCTGTTGGTGAAGTTACGGGAGAGGATGCTGCTGTTCCTGAGGTTACTGGTGTTGCTGTTGTTGAGACAGCTGCTAATGTTGTTGAGGAAGCTAGGGCACTTGTAGTTGATGCTGTTGTTACTGCTGAAAATATTGGTGCAGTTGAAGTTGGTAAGAATGCTGCTGTTACTGAGGTTACTGGTGCTGTTGTTGTTGAGACAGCTGTCACACCTGAAGTTGTTGATTTTGATTCAGTTGAAGAGGATGTTGCTGTTGGTGAAGTTACAGGAATGGATGCTACTGTTGCTGAGGTTAATGGTGTTGCTGTTGGTTGGACAGCGGTTGATGTTGCAGCTGTCGCACCTGCTGTTGTTGCCGTCGTTACAGCTGAAGAGGCTGGCACTGTTGGTGAAATCATAGTTGAGGGTGTTGCTGCTGTTGATGCTGCTATTGTTGAGACAGGAGATGATGCTATTGATGTTTGAAGTGCTGCTGTTGTGGAGGCAGCTGTCATACTTGCTGTTGTGATTACGGGTGCAGGCGTTGCTGCCGTTGAGGGAGCAGGTGAAGGTGATAATGAGGTTGATACAATTGAGGACGTTCCTACTGTTGATGTTAAAATGTTTGTCGTCAATTTTGCGGTTGTTGGAATTGATGTGGTTTTTGTAATTAATGTAGTAGGTTCAAGTGTAGTTGTTACTGAGCTTAGTGTTGTTAATGGTGTAACTGTGGTTGTCAGTGGTGATGTTCCTGAAAACATCCAAATGTTACAATTAGACTGATACATATCTACATGCACAGGTACAGCCCTTTTGTTGATCCACTCCAAACGCCATGTGACTCGCAAGTGGTGGGCGTTAATATTTGACCATACTGCGCCACGCCGGTCAATGCCAATCAGAGACGGCAGGCAGCAATGACATGGGAGCATCGAGGTACAGTACAACAATTGATTATGTTGCATGGGCCTCCATTGTCCATCTCCTAACCTTCCATCTCCCCCCCCCCCATCTGTGCTCATTTGACAACCTGTTTGTATCCTTTCGATTTGAAGCTTTCGTGACTGCAAGGATTCATCTTCTTTGGTTCTTTCGGTAAAGTCACGTAGAATGAGAATAAAATAATAAAATAACACAATAAAATTCTCACGATGTTTCGGCCACAACGCAAGCGGCCGTCTTCAGGTGAAAGGTACAGACCTGTCGGGACGACAGTCGGGACGACAGTTCTGTACCTTTCACCTGAAGACGGCCGCTTGCGTTGTGGCCGAAACGTCGTGAGAATTTGATTGTGTTCTTTTATTATTTTATTCTCATTCTACGTGACTTTACCGAAAGAACCAAAGAAGATGTTTGTATCCTGTAGCAACCCATCATCCCTTCATTTTTCAGTCTCAACCCCGATGTATAATTGGTTTATTTTTGGTTAGGTTGTCTTGTAGGTATAATGCCAATGTTTAATTAAAATCCTCCACCACCCGACAAAGCCAATAAAATCGAGTTGCCACGTGGGCATTTATTTGGTCGTAAAAGCTTACATGTAAAATTAACCAGGCTCAAAATCTGCATAGGTTCTAAAAACTGATGAGACCAGGCACATTCCGGGTTATTTGGTGAGAGGCACTGATACGTTATTGTACTGTTATTATCATGACAGATAAAATGTTAATGTTTCTGCATGGCTTGCAATATTTTGACACCCCTATGCCCTCATTAAGATTTGTAGTACCACATTTAGAAAAACGTATTGGTATATTATTATGATACAGTGCAGTTGTTGATCACGTGTTTCTTTTGTGGTTATATATATTTGTTTATTATTAATATTTTTTTTTGTATTCTGTGAAATTGGCTGTACACTTAGTAAACCATGACTTTGCTGTTGGTGTAGACACAGGTAGCTGATGCCTCTGCTTAGGTTTTCGTGGTAAGTTCTTTACGGTTCTAGGATGGTGTTTTCGTGGTCGTACCACGCGTGGTTCAGCACGACGGCTGAAGTTTGAAATGTTCTACGTTGCCGGGAGCCTCTTGTTCAAAATGCAGTTCCTGAAGGAGTTTCCAGCCACATGGAGCGAAACGTTGGACGTCGTACCAGACAGCACGTAGTGGTACAACCACGAAATCACATTGAAGGGCCATACAAATATGTAATTAATGTTCGTTATTATAAAAGTGATTCACATTCAGAAATGACATGAGGATGTTATCTCTTTCCTCAGATTGCGCTGGAACCAGCTTGCGTTATGTTTGGTAAGTGTGGTGAAGTGATGCACGGTTTGCTCACCCGCTGTGGTGATGAAAGCAGTGGCAGTGGTCTCTTGCACAGTTGTTGTTGCTGCTGAAAATGATAAAACGTGTCACAGTCATTGCAATGCTGCACTACTGCACTGTTGCAATAAAAACATAAACCTAAAATGTGCCCGTGAAATTTCACAGTTTGGATCCCATTCCCACCCCCACCATCAGATATTCAACTTATCCTTCACATCTCACCAGGAGATGAAAAACTATCCGTAAAGAAGATGTAAAACGTGCTGTGTGTGACCCCAGTTTAACGTGACCAATATTCATAATAACTGACGGACAGATGAACTAAAAACTAAATTTAACTATTTCATTTTACCAAGTAAAGCCAACTGAACTCTTAGATCTTTTTCAGAGGCGATCTGGCCACGTATGATGGCTCACCCCACACTGGCTTATATCATCATACATTGTGGTAGAATACCCACCGTTGGACCTGAGAAAATGAACGCAAATCACAATGCCCATGATACTGGTGGCAGTAGGGCCTCCACAAGAGGGAGCTTTAGAAAGGTATCTTGGCCTCCTCTTCCAAGATGGATGGACGTCTTTTAAGATGTGGGAGGACCCACGCTTTACCCTTCCACACGCGATCTGCCGATCGACCATGGAAGTGAATCCAATTATACCGCCGGGTGGACAGAGCCGCAGAGAGAATGGGAGGGCATTGAAGTAACTGGCACCGTTATTTGAACGACCGAGCCGGGAGATGGAAGCGAATTGACTACCCCAGAATTGCAAGACCAGTGCTGCCCATTACAGCAGCCATGACGAATAATTTTTGATAATTTACTAAGCCACCTGATGGGACGCGTCTTGACCTGCAGTTGCATTTTGATCATTTGTAGAATTTGAATTGTTTGTGTTTTTGTTCATGTTGTTTGTCATATTTGTGTATTATTGTGTTGCACAGGTTGATTTAATCCATTACTGGCAGCTTGGTGTAAACTTGGTTGCACAACTGCTACACCCGAAAGCCTATGTGTTAACCGAACTCTGTTATTATTCATATTGTACTTTGTTGTTTTATTGAGATGCATTTGCTAAAATACAATTTGTGTGCGTCAGTGCAATGTGCACGATTGTGCGTCGCTGCTTGTGTGTTTACCTGTCATGGTCGGTGCGTTATATATTGGTGCGTGTGTCGCAGGAACGACGGTTTCTTGAGTAAAAAAACACGGAGAAGTTTAATGGCAAGTTACCACACTATACAACATGTTAGTTGCGTGCATTGTATTTGTTTTGCACAGTAACAGCAATTCATGAAAAGTATTTTGGTGCGCATTTTGATATTTGCGTGTGTTACCTTCCGTGACAGTCTGTGGCATTGTTGTGCCAGTAGTTTGTTGTGCTGTAGATCCTATAGGTGACAAAGTGATATTTGTCCGTTGAGTATAATCTAGTCACATTAAACACATCTACAGAATCAGTGGCTAAGCTATAATTGTCCAGATAACTCTTCATAGACCGCTTCACGAATTTCAAATTATGAGGAGTCATTTTGAAACTTATGATATATACTTCATGCGAATCAGGTCAACATTCAACAAATGCATTTGACCTGTTACATCTTATCCGTTTTACCATTTACAACGGATTGGCATTTTTATCATTACAATAAGGCAATAAACACTACAGATGTTAGTGCACTGTAACCTTAATCCCTCACATTTAAAAATGGAATCCATAATAACGCTGAATAAACTTCCTCAGTAATTGATTACATGAATCCGATGATGGCCACCCCTTTATTTTCCATTTTGTAAACAGCTAAAGGTCCAGCCATGAAATCCCTTTCTCACGCCAATGCTAGCAGAATGGTCTCCCAGAAAACCGGCTCTAAGAGGGCACTATGGCCCACCGTTCCACACTGTCCCAGCCAGGTGGGAGTGTCCATATTTTACCTCGCCACAAGCTACCTACCATTCAGCAAACTGTGCTGTCGCCTTCTAGGTGGCTGGGCAGAGTTAAGAATCTTGGCCAGTGTTTTTCATTTGCACATTAATGGGCTAAACATTGCCAAGAGTGTTTTGAGTTGTTATTAGTGCACAAAGTACCTGCTGTGGTAGTTGTGATCACTTGTTGCGTTGAGGAAGTTGGTATTATTGTTGCAGTAGTTGAAGCTATTATTGCAGTTGTAGTTGTTGCTGTGGGTGTGGCAGTTTGTGCAACTGTTGACGGCGCGCTTGATTGTGTTAGAGTTGTGGAGGGCAGGACAGTTGTTGTTGCTGCTGCTGTGGTTGTTAGTGCGGTTGTGGTTGATGCTGACGTATTTGGTGGCGTTGTGACCGGGAATGAAATTGTTGCAATTAGTACTGCTGTTGTTGGCAGCCCACTGCTTGTGAGTGGTAAAGTTGTTGAAGGTGGTCTTGTTCTTGTTGATTTAGCTACAGTTGCGGTTGTGAGTGCAGTTGCTGTTGTAACTTGAGTGCTGTTTGAGGTAACTGCTGTGGTTGTTTTTTGTGCCACAGATGTTGAAGCAGCAGCTGTTGTTGCCTCTGAAGTAGTGGGTTGTATTGTTGCTGCAGCTGAAGTTTGTGCTATTGATGTGCCAACTGTTGTGGTTTGTCCTCCAGTTGTAGGTGATGGGGATGTTGCTAGTGATGTGGTTATGGCTGCTGATTTGGAGGCTGCTTTTGGTGGCCCTGTAGTTGTTGCACCTATTGTGGGGGATGGTGATGTTGCTCCTGATGATGTTGATGCTACTGATGTTGAGGCACCTGAGGTGATTTGTGCTGATGTTATGGGTGATGGGGATGTTGCTCCTGATGATGTTGATGCTATCGATGTCGAGGCACCTGATGTGGTTTGTGCTGACGTTATGGGTGATGGTGATGTGGCTCCTGATGATGTTGATGCTCCTGATGTCGAGGCACCTGATGTGGCTTGTCCTGATGCTATGGGTGATGGTGATGTAGCTCCTGATGACGGTGGTGCTACTGATGTGGAGGCACCTGATGTGGTTTGTCCTGACGTTATGGGTGATGGAGATGTGGCTCCTGATGATGGTGGTGGTACTGATGTGGAGGCACCTGATGTGGTTTGTCCTGACGTTATGGGTGATGTGGCTCCTGATGATGTTGATGCTCCTGATGTTGAGGCACCTGAGGTGGTTTGTCCTGACGTTATGGGTGATGGTGATGTGGCTCCTGATGCTAGCACAACTGATGTTGAGGTACCTGAGGTGGTTTGTGCTGACGTTATGGGTGATGGGGATGTGGCTCCTGATGACGGTGGTGCTACTGATGTGGAGGCACCTGATGTGGTTTGTGCTAACGTTATTGGTGATGGTGATGTGGCTCCTGATGATGTTGATGCTACTGATGTTGAGGCACCTGAGGTGGTTTGTGCTGACGTTATGGGTAATGTTGTTGTTGCTCCTGATGATGCTGGTACAACTGATGTTGAGGCACCTGAGGTGGTTTGTGCTGACGTTATGGGTGCTGGTGATGTAGCTCCTGATGATGTTGATGCTCCTGATGTTGAGGCACCTGAGGTGGTTTGTGCTGAAGTTATGGGAAATGGTGATGTGGCTCCTGATGATGTTGATGCTACTGATGTCGAGGCACCTGAGGTGGTTTGTCCTGACGTCATGGGTGATGGAGATGTGGCTCTTGATGCTAGTACAACTGATGTTGAGGCACCTGATATGGTTTGTGCTGACGTTATGGGTGATGGTGATGTTGTTCCTGATGATATTGGTTCTACTGATGTGGAGGCACCTGATGTGGTTTGTGCTAACGTTATTGGTGATGGTGATGTGGCTCCTGATGATGTTGATGCTACTGATGTCGAGGCACCTGATGTGGTTTGTGCTGACGTTATGGGTGATGGTGATGTGGCTCCTGATGATGTTGATGCTACTGATGTTGAGGCACCTGATGTGGTTTGTGCTGACGTTATGGGTGATGGTGATGTAGCTCCTGATGATGTTGGTGCTACTGATGTTGAGGGACCTGAGGTGGTTTGTGCTGATGTTGTGGGTGACGGTGATGTTGTTCCTGATGATGTTGATGCTACTGATGTCGAGGCACCTGAAGTGGTTTGTCCTGATGTTATGGGTGATGGAGATGTGGCTCCTGATGATGTTGATGCTACTGATGTTGAGGCACCTGATGTGGTTTGTCCTGACATTATGGGTGATGGTGATGTGGCTCCTGATGATGTTGATACTCCTGATGTTGAGGCACCTGAGGTGGTTTGTGCTGACGTTATCGGAAATGGTGATGTGGCTCCTGATGATGTTGATGCTACTGATGTTAAGGCACCTGAGGTGGTTTGTGCTGACGTTATGGGTGATGGAGATGTGGCTCCTGATGATGTTGATGATACTGATGTCGAGGCACCTGATGTGGTTTGTCCTGACGTCATGGGTGATGCAGATGTTATTCCTAAAGATGTTGGTGCAACTGATGTTGAGGCACCTGATGTGGTTTGTGCTGACGTTATGGGTGATGGTGTTGTTGCTCCTGATGATGGTAGTACAACTGATGTTGAGGCACCTGATGTGGTTTGTGCTGACGTTATGGGTGATGGTGATGTAGCTCCTGATGATGTTGATGCTACTGATGTTGAGGCACCTAAGGTGGTTTGTGCTGATGTTGTGGGTGATGGTGATGTTGTTCCTGATGATGTTGATGCTACTGATGTCGAGGCACCTGAAGTGGTGTGTCCTGACGTTATGGGTGATGGAGATGTGGCTCCTGATGATGTTGATGCTCCTGATGTTGAGGCACCTGAGGTGATTTGTGGTGACGTAATGGGAAATGGTGATGTGGCTCCCGATGATGTTGATGCTACTGATGTGGAGGCACCTGAGGTGGTTTGTGCTGACGTTATGGGTGATGGAGATGTGGCTCCTGATGATGTTGATGCTCCTGATGTTGAGGCACCTGATGTGGTTTGTCCTGACGTTATGGGTGATGTGGCTCCTGATGATGTTGATGCTCCTGATGTTGAGGCACCTGAGGTGGTTTGTCCTGACGTTATGGGTGATGGTGATGTGGCTCCTGATGCTAGTACAACTGATGTTGAGGTACCTGAGGTGGTTTGTGCTGACGTTATGGGTGATGGGGATGTGGCTCCTGATGATGTTGATGCTACTGATGTTGAGGCACCTGAGGTGGTTTGTGCTAACGTTATTGGTGATGGTGATGTGGCTCCTGATGATGTTGATGCTAATGATGTTGAGGCACCTGAGGTGGTTTGTGCTGACGTTATGGGTAATGTTGTTGTTGCTCCTGATGATGCTGGTACAACTGATGTTGAGGCACCTGAGGTGGTTTGTGCTGACGTTATGGGTGCTGGTGATGTAGCTCCTGATGATGTTGATGCTCCTGATGTTGAGGCACCTGAGGTGGTTTGTGCTGAAGTTATGGGAAATGGTGATGTGGCTCCTGATGATGTTGATGCTACTGATGTCGAGGCACCTGAGGTGGTTTGTCCTGACGTCATGGGTGATGGAGATGTGGCTCTTGATGCTAGTACAACTGATGTTGAGGCACCTGATATGGTTTGTGCTGACGTTATGGGTGATGGTGATGTTCTTCCTGATGATATTCGTTCTACTGATGTGGAGGCACCTGATGTGGTTTGTGCTAACGTTATTGGTGATGGTGATGTGGCTCCTGATGATGTTGATGCTACTGATGTCGAGGCACCTGATGTGGTTTGTGCTGACATTATGGGTGATGGTGATGTGGCTCCTGATGATGTTGATGCTACTGATGTTGAGGCACCTGATGTGGTTTGTGCTGACGTTATGGGTGATGGTGATGTAGCTCCTGATGATGTTGATGCTACTGATGTTGAGGGACCTGAGGTGGTTTGTGTTGATGTTGTGGGTGATGGTGTTGTTGCTCCTGATGATGCTGGTGCTACTGATGTCGAGGCACCTGATGTGGTTTGTCCTGACGTCATGGGTGATGCAGATGTTATTCCTAAAGATGTTGGTGCAACTGATGTTGAGGCACCTGATGTGGTTTGTGCTGACGTTATGGGTGATGGTGTTGTTGCCCCTGATGATGGTAGTACAACTGATGTTGAGGCACCTGATGTGGTTTGTGCTGACGTTATGGGTGATGGAGATGTGGCTCCTGATGATGTTGATGCTCCTGATGTTGAGGCACCTGAGGTGATTCGTGGTGACGTAATGGGAAATGGTGATGTGGCTCCCGATGATGTTGATGCTACTGATGTGGAGGCACCTGAGGTGGTTTGTGCTGACGTTATGGGTGATGGAGATGTGGCTCCTGATGATGTTGATGCTCCTGATGTTGAGGCACCTGATGTGGTTTGTCCTGACGTTATGGGTGATGTGGCTCCTGATGATGTTGATGCTCCTGATGTTGAGGCACCTGAGGTGGTTTGTCCTGACGTTATGGGTGATGGTGATGTGGCTCCTGATGCTAGTACAACTGATGTTGAGGTACCTGAGGTGGTTTGTGCTGACGTTATGGGTGATGGGGATGTGGCTCCTGATGACGGTGGTGCTACTGATGTGGAGGCACCTGATGTGGTTTGTGCTAACGTTATTGGTGATGGTGATGTGGCTCCTGATGATGTTGATGCTACTGATGTTGAGGCACCTGAGGTGGTTTGTGCTGACGTTATGGGTAATGTTGTTGTTGCTCCTGATGATGCTGGTACAACTGATGTTGAGGCACCTGAGGTGGTTTGTGCTGACGTTATGGGTGCTGGTGATGTAGCTCCTGATGATGTTGATGCTCCTGATGTTGAGGCACCTGAGGTGGTTTGTGCTGAAGTTATGGGAAATGGTGATGTGGCTCCTGATGATGTTGATGCTACTGATGTCGAGGCACCTGAGGTGCTTTGTCCTGACGTCATGGGTGATGGAGATGTGGCTCTTGATGCTAGTACAACTGATGTTGAGGCACCTGATATTGTTTGTGCTGACATTATGGGTGATGGTGATGTTGTTCCTGATGATATTGGTTCTACTGATGTGGAGGCACCTGATGTGGTTTGTGCTAACGTTATTGGTGATGGTGATGTGGCTCCTGATGATGTTGATGCTACTGATGTCGAGGCAACTGATGTGGTTTGTGCTGACGTTATGGGTGATGGTGATGTGGCTCCTGATGATGTTGATGCTACTGATGTTGAGGCACCTGATGTGGTTTGTGCTGACGTTATGGGTGATGGTGATGTAGCTCCTGATGATGTTGATGCTACTGATGTTGAGGGACCTGAGGTGGTTTGTGCTGATGTTGTGGGTGATGGTGATGTTGTTCCTGATGATGTTGATGCTACTGATGTCGAGGCACCTGAAGTGGTTTGTCCTGACGTTATGGGTGATGGAGATGTGGCTCCTGATGATGTTGATGCTACTGATGTTGAGGCACCTGATGTGGTTTGTCCTGATGTTATGGGTGATGGTGATGTGGCTCCTGATGATGTTGATACTCCTGATGTTGAGGCACCTGAGGTGGTTTGTGCTGACATTATCGGAAATTGTGATGTGGCTCCAGATGATGTTGATGCTCCTGATGTTAAGGCACCTGAGGTGGTTTGTGCTGACGTTATGGGTGATGGAGATGTGGCTCCTGATGATGTTGATGCTACTGATATCGAGGCACCTGATGTGGTTTGTGCTGACAATTTGGGTGATGGTGTTGTTGCTCCTGATGATGCTGGTGCTACTGATGTCGAGGCACCTGATGTGGTTTGTCCTGACGTCATGGGTGATGCAGATGTTATTCCTAAAGATGTTGGTGCAACTGATGTTGAGGCACCTGATGTGGTTTGTGCTGACGTTATGGGTGATGGTGTTGTTGCTCCTGATGATGGTAGTACAACTGATGTTGAGGCACCTGATGTGGTTTGTGCTGATGTTATGGGTGATGGTGATGTTGTTCCTGATGATGTTGATGCTACTGATGTCGAGGCACCTGAAGTGGTTTGTCCTGACGTTATGGGTGATGGAGATGTGGCTCCTGATGATGTTGATGCTCCTGATATTGAGGCACCTGAGGTGATTTGTGGTGACGTAATGGGAAATGGTGATGTGGCTCCCAATGATGTTGATGCTACTGATGTGGAGGCACCTGAGGTGGTTTGTGCTGACGTTATGGGTGATGGAGATGTGGCTCCTGATGATGTTGATGCTCCTGATGTTGAGGCACCTGATGTGGTTTGTCCTGACGTTATGGGTGATGTGGCTCCTGATGATGTTGATGCTCCTGATGTTGAGGCACCTGAGGTGGTTTGTCCTGACGTTATGGGTGATGGTGATGTGGCTCCTGATGCTAGTACAACTGATGTTGAGGTACCTGAGGTGGTTTGTGCTGACGTTATGGGTGATGGGGATGTGGCTCCTGATGACGGTGGTGCTACTGATGTGGAGGCACCTGATGTGGTTTGTGCTAACGTTATTGGTGATGGTGATGTGGCTCCTGATGATGTTGATGCTACTGATGTTGAGGCACCTGAGGTGGTTTGTGCTGACGTTATGGGTAATGTTGTTGTTGCTCCTGATGATGCTGGTACAACTGATGTTGAGGCACCTGAGGTGGTTTGTGCTGACGTTATGGGTGCTGGTGATGTAGCTCCTGATGATGTTGATGCTCCTGATGTTGAGGCACCTGAGGTGGTTTGTGCTGAAGTTATGGGAAATGGTGATGTGGCTCCTGATGATGTTGATGCTACTGATGTCGAGGCACCTGAGGTGCTTTGTCCTGACGTCATGGGTGATGGAGATGTGGCTCTTGATGCTAGTACAACTGATGTTGAGGCACCTGATATTGTTTGTGCTGACATTATGGGTGATGGTGATGTTGTTCCTGATGATATTGGTTCTACTGATGTGGAGGCACCTGATGTGGTTTGTGCTAACGTTATTGGTGATGGTGATGTGGCTCCTGATGATGTTGATGCTACTGATGTCGAGGCAACTGATGTGGTTTGTGCTGACGTTATGGGTGATGGTGATGTGGCTCCTGATGATGTTGATGCTACTGATGTTGAGGCACCTGATGTGGTTTGTGCTGACGTTATGGGTGATGGTGATGTAGCTCCTGATGATGTTGATGCTACTGATGTTGAGGGACCTGAGGTGGTTTGTTCTGATGTTGTGGGTGATGGTGATGTTGTTCCTGATGATGTTGATGCTACTGATGTCGAGGCACCTGAAGTGGTTTGTCCTGACGTTATGGGTGATGGAGATGTGGCTCCTGATGATGTTGATGCTACTGATGTTGAGGCACCTGATGTGGTTTGTCCTGATGTTATGGGTGATGGTGATGTGGCTCCTGATGATGTTGATACTCCTGATGTTGAGGCACCTGAGGTGGTTTGTGCTGACATTATCGGAAATTGTGATGTGGCTCCAGATGATGTTGATGCTCCTGATGTTAAGGCACCTGAGGAGGTTTGTGCTGACGTTATGGGTGATGGAGATGTGGCTCCTGATGATGTTGATGCTACTGATGTCGAGGCACCTGATGTGGTTTGTGCTGACAATATGGGTGATGGTGTTGTTGCTCCTGATGATGCTGGTGCTACTGATGTCGAGGCACCTGATGTGGTTTGTCCTGACGTCATGGGTGATGCAGATGTTATTCCTAAAGATGTTGGTGCAACTGATGTTGAGGCACCTGATGTGGTTTGTGCTGACGTTATGGGTGATGGTGTTGTTGCTCCTGATGATGGTAGTACAACTGATGTTGAGGCACCTGATGTGGTTTGTGCTGATGTTATGGGTGATGGTGATGTTGTTCCTGATGATGTTGATGCTACTGATGTCGAGGCACCTGAAGTGGTTTGTCCTGACGTTATGGGTGATGGAGATGTGGCTCCTGATGATGTTGATGCTCCTGATATTGAGGCACCTGAGGTGATTTGTGGTGACGTAATGGGAAATGGTGATGTGGCTCCCAATGATGTTGATGCTACTGATGTGGAGGCACCTGAGGTGGTTTGTGCTGACGTTATGGGTGATGGAGATGTGGCTCCTGATGATGTTGATGCTCCTGATGTTGAGGCACCTGATGTGGTTTGTCCTGACGTTATGGGTGATGGTGATGTGGCTGCTGATGATGTTGAGGCACCTGAGGTGGTTTGTGCTGACGTTATAGGTGATGTTGATGTAGCTCCTGATGATGTTGATGCTCCTGATGTTGAGGCACCTGAGGTGGTTTGTGCTGAAGTTGTGGGAAATGGTGATGTGGCTCCTGATGATGTTGATGCTCCTGATGTCGAGGCACCTGAGGTGGTTTGTCCTGACGTCATGGGTGATGGAGATGTGGCTCTTGATGTGAGTACAACTGATGTTGAGTCACCTGATGTGGTTTGTGCTGACGTTATGGGTGATGGTGATGTAGCTCCTGATGATGTTGATGCTACTGATGTTGAGGCACCTGAGGTGGTTTGTGCTGATGTTATGGGTGATGGTGATGTTGTTCCTGATGATGTTGATGCGACTGATGTTGAGGCACCTGAGGTGGTTTGTGCTGACGTTATGGGAAATGGTGATGTGGCTCCTGATGATGCTGATGCTACTGATGTCGAGGCACCTGATGTGGTTTGTCTTGACGTTATGGGTGATGCAGATGTTATTCCTAAATATGTTGGTGCAACTGATGTTGAGGCACCTGATGTGGTTTGTACTGACGTTATGGGTGATGGTGATGTTGTTCCTGATGATGTTGATGTTACTGATGTTGAGGCACCTGAGGTGGTTTGTGCTGACGTTATGGGTGATGGAGATGTGGCTCCTGATGATGTTGATGCTACTGATGTTGAGGCACCTGATGTGGTTTGTCCTGACGTTATGGGTGATGGTGATGTGGCTCCTGATGATGTTGATGCTCCTGATGTTGAAGCACCTGAGGTGGTTTGTGCTGACGTTTTGGGAAATGGTGATGTGGCTCCTGATGATGTTGATGCTACTGATGTTGAGGCACCTGATGTGGTTAGTGCTGACGTTATGGGTGATGTTGTTGTTGCTCCTGATGATGCTGGTGCTACTGATGTCGAGGCACCTGATGTGGTTTGTCCTGACGTTATGGGTGATGGTGATGTGGCTCCTGATGATGTTGATGCTACTGATGTTGAGGCACCTGAGGTGGTTTGTGCTGATGTTGTGGGTGATGGTGATGTTGTTCCTGATGATGTTGATGCTACTGATGTTGAGGCACCTGAGGTGGTTTGTGCTGACGTTTTGAGTGATGGAGATGTGGCTCCTGATGGTGTTGATGCTACTGATGTTACAGCACCTGATGTGGTTTGTCCTGACGTTATGGGTGATGGTGATGTGGCTCCTGATGATGTTGATGCTCCTGATGTTGAGGCACCTGAGGTGGTTTGTGCTGACGTTATGGGTGATGGTGATGTAGCTCCTGATGATGTTGATGCTACTGATGTTGAGGCACCTGATGTGGTTTGTCCTGACGTTATGGGTGATGTGGCTCCTGATGATGTTGATGCTCCTGATGTTGAGTCACCTGAAGTGGTTTGTGCTGACGTTATGGGAAATGGTGATGTGGCTCCTGATGATGTTGATGCTACTGATGTTGAGGCACCTGAGGTGGTTTGTGCTGACGTCATGGGTGATGGAGATGTGGCTCCTGATGCTAGTACAACTGATGTTGAGGCACCTGAGGTGGTTTGTTCTGACGTTATGGGTGATGGGGATGTGGCTCCTGATGATGTTGATGCTACCGATGTTGAGGCACCTGAGGTGGTTTGTGCTGACGTTATGGGCAATGTTGTTGTTGCTCCTGATGATGCTGGTGCTACTGATGTCGAGGCACCTGATGTGGTTTGTCCCGACGTTATGGGTGATGGTGATGTGGCTCCTGATGATGTTGATGCTACTGATGTTGAGGCACCTAAGGTGGTTTGTCCTGAAGTTATGGGTGATGCAGATGTTGTTCCTAATGATATTGGTGCAACTGATGTTGAGGCACCTGATGTAGTTTGTCCTGACGTTATGGGTGATGGTGTTGTTGCTCCTGATGATGGTAGTACAACTGATGTTGAGGCACCTGATGTGGTTTGTGCTGACGTTATGGGTGATGGTGATGTAGCTCCTGATGATGTTGATGCTACTGATGTTGAGGCACCTGAGGTGGTTTGTCCTGACGTTATGGGTGATGGTGATGTGGCTGCTGATGATGTTGAGGCACCTGAGGTGGTTTGTGCTGACATTATGGGTGATGGTGATGTAGCTGCTGATGATGTTGATGCTCCTGATGTTGAGGCACCTGAGGTGGTTTGTGCTGACATTATGGGAAATGGTGATGTGGCTCCTGATGATGTTGATGCTCCTGATGTCGAGGCACCTGAGGTGGTTTTTCCTGACGTTATGGGTGATGGAGATGTGGCTCCTGATGATGTTGATGCTACTGATGTTGAGGCACCTGATGTGGGTTGTCCTGACGTTATGGGTGATGGTGATGTGGCTCCTGATGATGTTGATGCTCCTGATGTTGAGGCACCTGAGGTGGTTTGTGCTGACGTTATGGGAAATGGTGATGTGGCTCCTGATGATGTTGATGCTCCTGATGTTGAGGTACCTGAGGTGGTTTGTGCTGACGTTATGGGAAATGGTGATGTGGCTCCTGATGATGTTGATGCTCCTGATGTTGAGGCACCTGAGGTGGTTTGTGCTGACGTTATGGGTGATGGAGATGTGGCTCCTGATAATGTTGATACTACTGATGTTGAGGCACCTAAGGTGGTTTGTCCTGAAGTTAAGGGTGATGTAGGTCCTGATGATGTTGATGCTATTGATGTTGAGGCACCTGAGGTGGTTTGTGCTGATGTTGTGGGTGATGGTGGTGTTGTTCCTGATGATGTTGATGCTACTGATGTTGAGGCACCTGAGGTGGTTTGTGCTGACGTTATGGGAAATGGTGATGTGGCTCCTGATGATGTTGATGCTCCTGATGTTGAGGCACCTGAGGTGGTTTGTGCTGACGTTTTGGGAAATGGTGATGTGGCTCCTGATGATGTTGATGCTACTGATGTCGAGGCACCTGATGTGGTTTGTGCTGACGTTATGGGTGATGTTGTTGTTGCTCCTGATGATGCTGGTGCTAGTGATGTCGAGGCACCTGATGTGGTTTGTCCTGACGTTATGGGTGATGGTGATATGGCTCTTGATGATGTTGATGCTACTGATGTCGAGGCACTTGATGTGGTTTGTGCTGACGTTATGGGTGGTGCGGATGTTATTCCTAAAGATGTTGGTGCAACTGATGTTGAGGCACCTGATGTGGTTTGTCCTGACGTTATGGGTGATGGTGTTGTTGCTCCTGATGATGCTAGTACAACTGATGTTGAGGCACCTGATATGGGTTGTGCTGACGTTATGGGTGATGGTGATGTAGCTCCTGATGATGTTGATGCTACTGATGTTGAGGCACCTGAGGTGGTTTGTACTGACGTTATGGGAAATGGTGATGTGGCTCCTGATGATGTTGATGCTCCTGATGTTGAGGCACCTGAGGTGGTTTGTGCTGACGTTTTGGGAAATGGTGATGTGGCTCCTGATGATGTTGATGCTACTGATGTCGAGGCACCTGATGTGGTTTGTGCTGACGTTATGGGTGATGTTGTTGTTGCTCCTGATGATGCTGGTGCTAGTGATGTCGAGGCACCTGATGTGGTTTGTCCTGACGTTATGGGTGATGGTGATATGGCTCTTGATGATGTTGATGCTACTGATGTCGAGGCACTTGATGTGGTTTGTGCTGACGTTATGGGTGGTGCAGATGTTATTCCTAAAGATGTTGGTGCAACTGATGTTGAGGCACCTGATGTGGTTTGTCCTGACGTTATGGGTGATGGTGTTGTTGCTCCTGATGATGCTAGTACAACTGATGTTGAGGCACCTGATATGGTTTGTGCTGACGTTATGGGTGATGGTGATGTAGCTCCTGATGATGTTGATGCTACTGATGTTGAGGCACCTGAGGTGGTTTGTGCTGACGTTATAGGAAATGGTGATGTGGCTCCTGATGATGTTGATGCTCCTGATGTTGAGGCACCTGAGGTGGTTTGTGCTGACGTTTTGGGAAATGGTGATGTGGCTCCTGATGATGTTGATGCTACTGATGTCGAGGCACCTGATGTGGTTTGTGCTGACGTTATGGGTGATGTTGTTGTTGCTCCTGATGATGCTGGTGCTACTGATGTCGAGGCACCTGATGTGGTTTGTCCTGACGTTATGGGTGATGGTGATATGGCTCTTGATGATGTTGATGCTACTGATGTCGAGGCACCTGATGTGGTTTGTGCTGACGTTATGGGTGATGCAGATGTTATTCCTAAAGATGTTGGTGCAACTGATGTTGAGGCACCTGATGTGGTTTGTCCTGACGTTATGGGTGATGGTGTTGTTGCTCCTGATGATGCTAGTACAACTGATGTTGAGGCACCTGATGTGGTTTGTGCTGACGTTATGGGTGATGGTGATGTAGCTCCTGATGATGTTGATGCTACTGATGTTGAGGTACCTGATGTGGTTTGTGCTGATGTTATGGGTGATGGTGATGTTGTTCCTGATGATGTTGATGCTACTGATGTTGAGGCACCTGAGGTGGTTTGTGCTGACGTTATTGGTGATGGAGATGTGGCTCCTGATGATGTTGATGCTACTGATGTCGAGGCACCTGATGTGGTTTGTGCTGACATTATGGGTGATGGTGTTGTGGTTCCTGATGATGTTGATGCTCCTGATGTTGTGGCACCTGAGGTGGTTTGTGCTGACATTATGGGAAATGGTGATGTGGCTCCTGATGATGTTGATGCTACTGATGTAGAAGCACCTGAGGTGGTTTGTGCTGATGTTATGGGTGATGGTGATGTTGTTCCTGATGATGTTGATGCGACTGATGTTGAGGCACCTGAGGTGGTTTGTGCTGACGTTATGGGTGATGGTGTTGTTGCTCCTGATGATGCTGGTGCTACTGATGTCGAGGCACCTGATGTGGTTTGTCCTGACGTTATGGGTGATGGTCCTCCTGATGATGTTGATGCTACTGATGTTGAGGCACCTAAGGTGTTTTGTCCTGAAGTTAAGGGTGATGTAGGTCCTGATGATGTTGATGCTACTGATGTTGAGGCACCTGAGGTGGTTTGTGCTGATGTTGTGGGTGATGGTGGTGTTGTTCCTGATGATGTTGATGCTACTGATGTTGAGGCACCTGAGGTGGTTTGTGCTGACGTCATGGGTGATGGAGAAGTGGCTCCTGATGCTAGTACAACTGATGTTGAGGCACCTGAGGTGGTTTGTACTGACGTTATGGGTGATGGGGATGTGGCTCCTGATGATGTTGATGCTACTGATGTTGAGGCACCTGAGGTGGTTTGTGCTGACGTTATGGGTAATGTTGTTGTTGCTCCTGATGATGCTGGTGCTACTGATGTCGAGGCACCTGATGTGGTTTGTCCTGACGTTATGGGTGATGGTGATGTGGCTCCTGATGATGTTGATGCTACTGATGTTGAGGCACCTAAGGTGGTTTGTCCTGACGTTATGGGTGATGGTGTTGTTGCTCCTGATGATGCTAGTACAACTGATGTTGAGGCACCTGATGTGGTTTGTGCTGACGTTATGGGTGATGGTGATGTAGCTCCTGATGATGTTGATGCTACTGATGTTGAGGCACCTGATGTGGTTTGTCCTGACGTTATGGGTGATGGTGATGTAGCTGCTGATGATGTTGATGCTCCTGATGTTGAGGAACCTGAGGTGGTTAGTGCTGACGTTATGGGAAATGGTGATGTGGCTCCTGATGATGTTGATGCTACTGATGTTGAGGCACCTAAGGTGGTTTGTCCTGACGTTATGGGAGATGGTGTTGTTGCTCCTGATGATGCTAGTACAACTGATGTTGAGGCACCTGATGTGGTTTGTGCTGACGTTATGGGTGATGGTGTTGTAGCTCCTGATGATGTTGATGCTACTGATGTTGAGGCACGTGATGTGGTTTGTCCTGACGTTATGGGTGATGGTGATGTAGCTGCTGATGATGTTGATGCTCCTGATGTTGAGGCACCTGAGGAGGTTAGTGCTGACGTTATGGGAAATGGTGATGTGGCTTCTGATGATGTTGATGCTCCTGATGTCGAGGCACCTGAGGTAGTTTGTCCTGACGTTATGGGTGATGGATATGTAGCTCCTGATGATGTTGATGCTACTGATGTTGAGGCACCTGATGTGGGTTGTCCTGACGTTATGGGTGATGGTGATGTGGCTCCTGATGATGTTGATGCTCCTGATGTTGAGGTCCCTGAGGTGGTTTGTGCTGACGTTACGGGTGATGGAGATGTGGTTCCTGATAATGTTGATACTACTGATGTTGAGGCACCTGAGGTGGTTTGTGCTGACGTTATGGGAAATGGTGATGTGGCTCCTGATGATGTTGATGCTACTGATGTCGAGGCACCTGATGTGGTTTGTGCTGACAATATGAGTGATGGTGTTGTTGCTCCTGATGATGCTTGTGCTACTGATGTCGAGGCACCTGATGTGGTTTGTCCTGACGTTATGGGTGATGGTGATGTTGCTCCTGATGATGGTAGTACAACTGATGTTGAGGCACCTGATGTGGTTTGTGCTGACGTTATGGGTGATGGTGATGTAGCTCCTGATGATGTTGATGCTACTGATGTTGAGGCACCTGAGGTGGTTTGTGCTGATGTTGTGGGTGATGGTGATGTTGTTCCTGATGATATTGATGCTTTTGATGTCGAGGCACCTGAGGTGGTTTGTCCTGATGTTATGGGTGATGGTGATGTGGCTCCTGATGATGTTGATGCTCCTGATGTTGAGGCACCTGAGGTGGTTCGTGCTGACGTAATGGGAAATGGTGATGTGGCTCCTGATGATGTTGATGCTACTGATGTCGAGGCACCTGATGTGGTTTGTCCTGACGTTATGGGTGATGCAGATGTTGCTCCTGATGATGCTAGTACAACTGATGTTGAGGCACCTGATGTGGTTTGTGCTGACGTTATGGGTGATGGTGATGTAGCTCCTGATGATGTTGATGCTACTGATGTTGAGGCACCTGAGGTAGTTTGTGCTGATGTTGTGGTTGATGGCGATGTGGATCCTAATGATTTTGATGCTACTGATGTTGAGGCACCTGATGTGGTTTGTGCTGACGTTATGGGTGATGGTGTTGTTGCTCCTGATGATGCTAGTACAACTGATGTTGAGGCACCTGATGTGGTTTGTGCTGACGTTATGGGAGACGGTGATGTAGCTCCTGATGATGTTGATGCTACTGATGTTGAGGCACCTGAGGTGGTTTGTCCTGAAGTTATGGGTGATGCAGATGTTGTTCCTAATGATGTTGGTGCAACTGACGTTGCGGCACCTGATGTGTTTTGTGCTGACGTTATGGGAGATGGTGATGTTGCTCCTGATGATGTTGATGCTACTGATGTTGAGGCACCTGAGGTGGTTTGTGCTGATGTTGTGTGTGATGGTGATGTTGTTCCTGATGATGTTGATGCTACTGATGTCGAGGCACCTGCGGTGGTTTGTCCTGACGTTATGGGTGATGGAGATGTGGCTCCTGATGATGTTGATGCTACTGATGTTGAGGCACCAGATGTGGTTTGTCCTGACGTTATGGGTGATGGTGATGTGGCTCCTGATGATGTTAATGCTCCTGATGTTGAGGCACCTGAGGTGGTTTGTGCTGACATGGGAAATGGTGATGTGGCTCCTGATGATGTTGATGCTCCTGATGTTGAGGCACCTGATGTGGTTTGTCCTGACGTTATAGGTGATGGTGATGTGGCTCCTGATGATGCTGATGCTCCTAATGTTGAGGCACCTGAGGTGGTTTGTGCTGACGTTATGGGAAATGGTGATGTGGCTCCTGATGATGTTGATGCTACTGATGTCGAGGCACCTGATGTGGTTTGTCCTGACGTTATGGGTGATGCAGATGTTGTTCCTAATGATGTTGGTGCAACTGATGTTGATGCACCTGATGTGGTTTGTCCTGACGTTATGGGTGATGGTGATGTGACTTCTGATGATGTTGATGCTACTGATGTTGAGGCACCTAAGGTGGTTTGTCCTGAAGTTATGGGTGATGCAGATGTTGTTCCTAATGATGTTGGTGGAACTGATGTTGAGGCACCTGATGTGGTTTGTCCTGACGTTATGGGTGATGGTGATGTAGCTCCTGATGATGTTGGTGCTACTGATGTTGAGGCACTTGAGGTGGTTTGTGCTGATGTTGTGGGTGATGGTGATGTTGTTCCTGATGATGTTGATGCTACTGATGTCGAGGCACCTGAGGTGGTTTGTCCTGACGTTATTGGTGATGGAGATGTGGCTCCTGATGATGTTGATGCTACTGATGTTGAGGCACCTGGTGTGGTTTGTCCTGACGTTATGGGTGATGGTGATATGGCTCCTGATGATGTTGATTCTACTGATGTTGAGGTACCTGATGTGGTTTCTGCTGACGTTATGGGTGATGATGATGTGGCTCCTGATGATGTTGATGCTACTGAAGTTGAGGCACCTGAGGTGTTTTGTGCTGACATTATGGGTGATGGTGATGTTGTTCCTGATGATGTTGATTCTACTGATGTTAAGGCACCTGATGTGGTTTGTCCTGACGTTATGGGTGATGGTGATGTGGCTCCTGAAGATGTTGATGCTACTGATGTTGAGGCACCTAAGGTGGTTTGTGCTGACGTTATGGGTGATGGAGATGTGGCTCCTGATGATGTTGATGCTACTGATGTCGAGGCACGTGATGTGGTTTGTGCTGACATTATGGGTGATGGTGTTGTGGTTCCTGATGATGTTGATGCTACTGATGTTGAGGCACCTGATGTGGTTTCTCCTGACGTTATGGGTGATGGTGATGTGGCTCCTGATGATGTTAATGCTCCTGATGTTGAGGCACCTGAGGTGGTTTGTGCTGACATGGGAAATGGTGATGTGGCTCCTGATGATGTTGATGCTCCTGATGTTGAGGCACCTGATGTGGTTTGTCCTGACGTTATAGGTGATGGAGATGTGGCTCCTGATGATGTTGATGCTACTAATGTTGAGGCACCTGAGGTGGTTTGTGCTGACATGGGAAATGGTGATGTGGCTCCTGATGATGTTGATGCTCCTGATGTTGAGGCACCTGAGGTAGTTTGTGCTGATGTTATGGGATATTGTGATGTGGCTCCTGATGATGTTGATGCTCCTGATGTTGAGGCACCTGAGGTGGTTTGTCCTGACGTTATGGGTGATGGTGATGTGGCTCCTGATGATGCTGATGCTCCTAATGTTGAGGCACCTGAGGTGGTTTGTGCTGACGTTATGGGAAATGGTGATGTGGCTCCTGATGATGTTGATGCTACTGATGTCGAGGCACCTGATGTGGTTTGTCCTGACGTTATGGGTGATGCAGATGTTGTTCCTAATGATGTTGGTGCAACTGATGTTGATGCACCTGATGTGGTTTGTCCTGACGTTATGGGTGATGGTGATGTGACTTCTGATGATGTTGATGCTACTGATGTTGAGGCACCTAAGGTGGTTTGTCCTGAAGTTATGGGTGATGCAGATGTTGTTCCTAATGATGTTGGTGGAACTGATGTTGAGGCACCTGATGTGGTTTGTCCTGACGTTATGGGTGATGGTGATGTAGCTCCTGATGATGTTGGTGCTACTGATGTTGAGGCACTTGAGGTGGTTTGTGCTGATGTTGTGGGTGATGGTGATGTTGTTCCTGATGATGTTGATGCTACTGATGTCGAGGCACCTGAGGTGGTTTGTCCTGACGTTATTGGTGATGGAGATGTGGCTCCTGATGATGTTGATGCTACTGATGTTGAGGCACCTGGTGTGGTTTGTCCTGACGTTATGGGTGATGGTGATGTGGCTCCTGATGATGTTGATTCTACTGAAGTTGAGGCACCTGAGGTGTTTTGTGCTGACATTATGGGTGATGGTGATGTTGTTCCTGATGATGTTGATTCTACTGATGTTAAGGCACCTGATGTGGTTTGTCCTGACGTTACGGGTGATGGTGATGTGGCTCCTGAAGATGTTGATGCTACTGATGTTGAGGCACCTAAGGTGGTTTGTGCTGACGTTATGGGTGATGGAGATGTGGCTCCTGATGATGTTGATGCTACTGATGTCGAGGCACCTGATGTGGTTTGTGCTGACATTATGGGTGATGGTGTTGTGGTTCCTGATGATGTTGATACTACTGATGTTGAGGCACCTGAGGTGGTTTGTGCTGATGTTATGGGTGATGGTGATGTTGCTCTTGATGATGTTGATGCTACTGATGTCGAGGCACCTGATGTGGTTTGTCCTGGCGTTATGGGTGATGTGGCTCCTGATAATGCTAGTGCAGCTGATGTTGAGGCACCTGATATGGTTTGTGCTGACGTTATGGGTGATGGTAATGTAGCTCCTGATGATGTTGATGCTACTGATGTCGATGCACCTGATCTGGTTTGTTCCGGTGTTGTTTGTGCTGATGACGATGATGTTTGTGGCACTGTAGTTGAGACACTTGTAGTAATTGGTCCTACGGTTGTGGCTGCCTGTGATGGTGTTTGTGATGAAGTTTGTGCTATTGATGTTGAAGCTGCTGTTATGCTTTGTCCTGATGTTTTTAGTGATGTTCTAGTTGTTGATGAGGCTTGTGTGGTAGTTGTTGTTGGTACAGTCATCACCGTTGCTGCTACTGTTGTTGTTAAAGGTGTAATTGTTGTTTGTATCATTGTTGCAGCAGTTGATCTTGGTTTTGTCCCTACTGTAGTCGTCGCAGTTAGAGGTGAAGATATTATCGTTGTAGCAACACCTGGTATTGTCACTGGCATCACGGTTGTACTCGATAAACCTGCCGTGGTAATGCCTACTGTTGATGTTGAGACAGCAAGTATAGGTGTCGAGGTTGAGGATGCTGCAGTTGTCATGCCTGTTGTTGTCGGTGTTGCTGTTGTTGGCGGTGGTGGAGGAGGCACGATTGTGGCACCCGAAGTTGAAGCTTGTGTGGATGTCGTGGTAGGAATTCCCACCGTTGATCCTGAGAAAATGAGCACAAATCACAATGCCCTATTTAGAAGACATAGAGCACACACTGGGTTGTTTCAAAATAATTTAGAGGTAAATATACAGCCCAGCAACTGCTTGCCTATGCCACTGCTGGCAGAAGGGCCTCCACGAGAGAGGGAGCTTCAGGATGGTATTTTGGCCTACTCTTCCACGCTGGATGGACGAAATATGCCGATCAACCGTGGTAGTGAACCCATTTATACTACCGGGTGGACAGAGTCACAGAGAGAATGGGAGGGCATTGAAGTAACTTGCACCATTATTTAAACGGCAGCATCGGGAGATGGAATCGAACCGACGACCCCAGAATTGCAAGACCAGTGTTGCCCATTACAAATCATCTTTCATAATTTACTGAGCCATCTCATGGGATGCGTCTTGACATGCAGTTGCATTTGGATCATTTGTACAGTTGGAATTGTTTGTGTTTTTGTTCGTGTTGTTTGTCGTTCCATATTATTGTGTTGCATAGGTTGAATTAATCTATTAGTGGCAGTTTGGTGTAAACTTGGTTATTGTTAACTTGGTTATTGTTAACGTCGTACTCAGATTATAAATGTTGTGGCTTGGCTCTCCAACACACCGGTGTGCTGTACGAGTGACGAATTGGCATATTCTGTTTACTTGACAACCCTTACTAGTTGGCTGTGTCGGGTGGTGGCGGGTTTTAATGACACATTTTTATATGTACGCGATGTAACCCAAAAAAACCTCTATTATGGATGATATCGGTCGTGAAAGCCTACGTGTTAAATTGGTTATTGTTAATAATATACTTTGTTGTTTTATTGAGATGCATTTACAAAATACATTGTGTGCGCGTCAGTGCAATGTGCACGATTGTGCATCGCTGCTTGTGTGTTTACCTGTCGTGGTCGGTGCGTTATATATTGGTGCTTGTGTCGCAGGAACGATGGTTTCTTGAGTAAAAAAACACGGAGAAGTTTAATGGCAAGTCACCACACTATACAACATGTTAGTCGCACGCATTGTATTTGTTTTGCACAGTAACAGCAATTCATGAAGAGTATTTTTGTGTGCATTTTGACAATTGCGTGTGTGTGTTACCTTCCGTGACAGTCTGAGGCATTGTTGTGCCAGTAGTTTGTTGTGCTGTAGATCCTATAGGTGACACAATTAGATTTGTCCGTTGATTATAATGTATTCACATTAAACACATCTACAGAATCAGTGACTGAGCTGTCATTGTCCAGAGAACTATTCATAGACCACTCCACCCATTTCAAGTTATGAGGAGTCATTTTGAAACTTATGATATGTACTTCAAATGAATAAGGTCAACATTCAATAACTGAATTTTACCCGTTACAGATGATCCGTTTGACCATTTACAATATCTCCAAAAGTGGTGTGAGCTCAATTTCAAAATAGTACAACAGATAGCCATTGTTCTTTGTACTATTGTAAAATTGTTATTATGTGATTGCAATAAGCCAATAAACACTACAAATCGTAGTGTGCACTCTAACTTTAATCCCTCACATTTGATAAAATCGAATCAATTCTGACGCTGAATAAACTTTCTCAGAGTAATTGATTACTTTAATCTCAAGATGGCCACCCCTTTATTTTCCATGTTGTAAACAGCTAAAGGTCCAGCCATGCAATCCCTTTCTCACGCCAATGCTAACAGACTGTTCTCCAAGACAACCGGCTCTACGGTGGCACTATGGGCAATTCTTCCACACTGTCCCAGCCAGGCGGAAGTGCCTCACCACAAGCTACCTACCATTCAGCAAACTGTGCTGTCTGCTTGTTTTACTACTACTGGCTAGACAGAGGTGGTTGGGGGGCATTTAAGAATATTAGCCAGTCTTTTTCATCTGCACATTAATGGGCTAAACATTGCCAAGAGTGTTTTGAGTTGTTATTAGTGCACAAAGTACCTGCTGTGGTAGTTGTGATCACTTGTTGCGTTGCGGAAGTTGGTATTATTGTTGCAGTCGTTGAAGCTATTATTGAGGTTGTAGTTGTTGCTGCGGGTGTGGCAGTTTGTGCAACTGTTGACGGCGCGCTTGATTGTGTTAGAGTTGTGGAGGGCAGGACAGTTGCTGTTGATGTTGTTGCTGCTGTGATTGTTAGTGCGGTTGTGGTTGATGCTGACGTATTGGGTGGCGTTGTAACCGGGAATGAAATTGCTGCAGTTAATGCTGCTGTTGCTGAAAGCCCACTGGCTGTGAGTGTTAAGGTTGTTGAAGGTAGTTTTGTTGTTGATTGAGCGACAGTTATTTCTGCGGTTGTTGCTGCAGTTGCTGTTGAGGTAACCGTTGAGGTTTTTCGTGCCACAGATGTTGAGGCTGCAGTTGTTTGTGAAGTGGTGGGTTGTATTGTTGCTGCAGCTGAAGTTTGTGCTCTTGATGTGCCAACTGTTGTGGTTTGTCCCCCAGTTGTAGGTGATGGGGATGTTGCTGGTGACGTTTCTATTGCTGCAGATGTTGATGCTGCTGTTGTTGTTGGCCCTGTAGTTGTGGCACCTGTGGCGGGGGATGGTGATGTTGCTCCTGATGACGTTGGTGTTACTGAAGTTGAGGCAACTGTTGTCGATTGTGGTGTTGTTGTGGTTAATGGTGTTGCTGCAGCTGATGCTGTTATTGCTGCAGATGTTGAGACTGCTGAAGTTGTGTGTCCTAGAGTTGTCGCGGATGGTGTTGTTGCTGCTGATGTTGTTACTACAGATGTTGATGCTGCTGTAGCTTGTGGTGGTGTTGTGGATAATGGTGTTGTTGCAGCTGATGCTGTTATTGCTGCAGATGTCGAGGCACCTGGAGTTGCTTGTCCTAGAGTTATAGCTGATGGTGGTGTTGCTGCTGATGTGGTTACGGCTGCAGATGTTGATGCTGATGTATATTGTGGTGGTGTTGTGAGCAATGGTGTTGTTGCTGCTGATGTGGTTATGGCTGCAGATGTTGATGATGCTGTAGATTGTGGAGATGTTGTGGGCAATGGTGTTGTTCCTGCTGATGTGGTTACTGCTGCAGATGTTGATGTTGCTGTAGATTGTGGTGGTGGTGTTGTTGACAATGGTGTGGTTGCCGCTGATGTGGTTATTGATGCAGATGTTGAGACTGCTGGAGTTGTTTTTCCTGGAGATGTAGCTGATGGTGTTGTTGCTGCTGATGTGGTTACTACTGCTGGTGTGGATGCTGCTGTAGATTGTGGTGGTGTTGTGGATGATGGCGTTGTTGCTGCTGAAGTGGTTATTGCTGCAGTTGTTGTGGCACCTGATGTTGTTTGTCCTACAGTTGTAGCTGATGGTGTTGTTGCTGCTGATGTGGTTTCGGCTGCAGATGTTGATGCTGCTGTTGTTTGTCCTGGAGTTGTGGACATTTGAGTTGGTGAAGGAGTTGATGTTTGTGGTATTGGAGTTGATACTTCTGTTGATGTTCCTGCAGTTGTAGAAATGATTGCTGATGTTGTTACTACTGCTGAAGTGAATCCTGCTGTAGATTGTGGTGGTGTTGTGGATGATGGCGTTGTTGCAGCTGATGTGGTTATTGCTGCAGATGTTGAGGGACCTGATGTTTGTCCTACAGTTGTAGCTGATGGTGTTGTTGCTGCTGATGTGGTTACTGCTGCAGATGTTGAGGGACCTGCAGTTGTTTGTGCCAGAGTTGTTGCCAATGGTGTTGTTGCTGCTGATGTGGTTACTGCTGTAGATGTTGATTGTGCTGTAGATTGTGGTGGTGTTGTGGCCAATGGTGTTGTTGCAGCTGATGTGGTTATTGCTGCAGATGTTGAGGCACCTGATGTTGTTTGTCCTACAGTTGTAGCTGATGGCGTTATTACTGCTGATGTAGTTACGGCTGCAGATGTTGGTGAGGCTGTATATTGTGGTGGTGTTGTGGGAAATGGTGTTGTTGCAGCTGATGTGGTTAATGCTGCAGTTGTTGCGGCACCTGATGTTTGTCCTACAGTTGTAGCCGATGGTGTTGCTGTTGATGTGGTAACTGCTGCAGATGTTGAGGGTCCTGCAGTTGTTTGTGCGAGAGTTGTTGCCGATGGTGTTGTTGCCTCTGATGTGGTTACTACTGCAGATGTTGATGCTGTAGATTGTGGTGATGTTGTGGGCAATGGTGTTGTTGCGGCTGATGTAGTTATTGCTGCAGTTGTTGAGGCACCTGATGTTGTTTGTCCTACAGTTGTAGCTGATGGTGTTGTTGCTGCTGATGTTGTTAGGGCTGCAGATGTTAATGATGCTGCAGATTGTAGTGATGTGGGCAAGGGTGTTGTTGCAGCTGATGTGGCTATTGCTGCAGATGTTGAGGCACCTGATGTTGTTTGTCCTACAGTTGTAGCTGATGGTGTTGTTGCTGCTGATGTTATTAGGGCTGCAGATGTTGATGATGCTGCAGATTGTAGTGATGTGGGCAAGGGTGTTGTTGCAGCTGATGTGGCTAGTGCTGCAGATGTTGAGGAACCTGATGTTTGTGCTACAGTTGTTGCTGATGGTGTTGTTGCTGGTGATGTGGTTATGGCTGCAGATGTTGATGCTGCTTTAGATTGTGGTGGTGTTGTGTACAATTGTGTGGTTGCCGCTGATGTGGTTATTGATGCAGATTTTGAGACTGCTGAAGTTGTTTTTCCTGGAGATGTAGCTGATGGTGTTGTTGGTGCTGATGTGGTTGCTACTGCTGGTGTGGATGATGCTGTAGATTGGGGTGGTGTTGTGGACGATGGCGTTGTTGCCGCTGATGCTGTTATTGCTGCAGATGTTGAGGCACCTGATGTTGTTTGTCCTACAGTTGTAGCTGATGGTGTTTTTGCTGCTGATGTGGTTGCGGCTGCAGATGTTGATGCTGCTGTTGTTTGTCCTGGAGTTGTGGACATTTGTGTTGGTGAAGGAGTTGATGTTTGTGGTATTGGAGTTGATACTTCTGTTGTTGTTCCTGCAGTTGTAGAAATTATTGCTGATGTTGTTACTACTGCTGATGTTAATCCTGCTGTAGATTGTGGTGGTGTTGTGGATGATGGCGGTGTTGCAGCTGATGTGGTTATTGCTGCAGATGTTGAGGCACCTGATGTTTTTCCTGCAGTTGTAGCTGATGGTGTTGTTTCTGCTGATGTGGTTACTGCTGCAGATGTTGAGGGACCTGCAGTTGTTTGTGCGAGAGTTGTTGCCAATGGTGTTGTTGCTGCTGATGTGGTTACTGCTGTAGATGTTGATGGTGCTGTAGATTGTGGTGGTGTTGTGGGCAATGGTGTTGTTGCAGCTGATTTGGTTATTGCTGCAGTTGTTGAGGCACCTGATGTTGTTTGTCCTACAGTTGTAGCCGATGGTGTTGTTCCTGCTGATGTGGTTACTACTGCAGATGTTGATGTTGATGTGGATTGTGGTGGTGTTGTGGACAATGGTGTGGTTGCCGCTAATGTGGTTATTGATGCAGTTGTTGCGGCACCTGATGTTGTTTGTCCTGCAGTTGTAGCTGATGGTGTTGTTACTGCTGATGTAGTTACTGCTGCAGATGTTGATGCTGCTGCAGATTGTGGTGGTGTTGTGGGCAATGGTGTTGTTGCTGATGATGTAGTTACTGATGCAGATGTTGATGCTGCTGTTGTTTGTCCTGGAGTTGTGGACATTTGAGTTGGTGAAGGAGTTGATGTTTGTGGTATTGGAGTTGATACTTCTGTTGTTGTTCCTGCAGTTGTAGAAATTATTGCTGATGTGGTTACAACTGCTGATGTTAATCCTGCTGTAAATTGTGGTGGTGTTGTGGATGATGGCGGTGTTGCAGCTGATGTGGTCATTTCTGCAGATGTTGAGGCACCTGATGTTTGTCCTGCAGTTGTAGCTGATGGTGTTGTTTCTGCTGATGTGGTTACTGCTGCAGATGTTGAGGGACCTGCAGTTGTTTGTGCGAGAGTTGTTGCCAGTGATGTTGTTGCAGCTGATGTGGTTATTGCTGCAGTTGTTGCTGCACCTGATGTTTGTCCTACAGTGAAAGCCGATGGTGTTGCTGCTGCTGATGTGGTTAATGCTGCAGATGTTGATGCTATTGTAGATTGTGGTGGTGTTGTGGGCAATGGTGTTGTTGCAGCTGATGTGGTTATTGCTGCAGATGTTGAGACTGCTGAAGTTTTTTTTCCTGGAGATGTAGCTGATGGTGTTGTTGGTGCTGATGTGGTTACTACTGCTGGTGTGGATGCTGCTGTAGATTGGGGTGGTGTTGTGGACGATGCCGTTGTTGCCGCTGATGCTGTTATTGCTGCAGATGTTGAGGCACCTGATGTTGTTTGTCCTACAGTTGTAGCTGATGGTGTTTTTGCTGCTGATGTGGTTATGGCTGCAGATGTTGATGCTGCTGTTGTTTGTCCTGGAGTTGTGGACATTTGGGTTGGTGAAGGAGTTGATGTTTGTTGTATTGGAGTTGATACTTCTGTTGTTGTTCTTGCAGATGTAGAAATTATTGCTGATGTTGTTACTACTGCTGATGTTAATCCTGCTGTAGACTGTGGTGGTGTAGTGGACGATGGCAGTGTTGCAGCTGATGTGGTTACTGCTGCAGATGTTGAGGGACCTGCAGTTGTTTGTGCGAGAGTTGTTGCCAATGGTGTTGTTGCTGCTGATGTGGTTACTGCTGCAGATGTTGATGCTGCTGTAGACTGTGGTTGTGTTGTGGGCAATGGTGTTGTTGCGGCTGATGTGGTTATTGCTGCAGTTGTTGAGGCACCTGATGTTGTTTGTCCTACTGTTGTAGCCGATGGCGTTGTTCCTGCTGATGTGGTTACTACTGCAGATGTTGATGTTGATGTAGATTGTGGTGGTGTTGTGGGCAATGGTGTTGTTGCAGCTGATGCGGTTATTGCTGCAGATGTTGCGGCACCTGATGTTGTTTGTCCTACAGTTGTAGCTGATGGTGTTGTTGCTGCTGATGTTGTTAGGGCTGCAGATGTTGATGATGCTGTAGATTGTAGTAATGTGGGCAGTGGTGTTGTTGCAACTGATGTGGTTATTGCTGCAGATGTTGAGGCACCTGATGTTTGTCCTGCAGTTGTAGCTGATGGTGTTGTTGCTGCTGATGTGGTTACTGCTGCAGATGTTGATGCTATTGTAGATTGTGATGGTGTTGTGGACAATGGTGTTGTTGCAGCTGATGTGGTTATTGCTGCAGATGTTGAGACTGCTGAAGTTGTTTTTCTTGGAGATGTAGCTGATGGTGTTGTTGGTGCTGATGTGGTTACTACTGCTGGTTTGGATGCTGCTGTAGATTTGGGTGGTGTTGTGGACGATGCCGTTATTGCCGCTGATGCTGTTATTGCTGCAGATGTTGAGGCACCTGATGTTGTTTGTCCTACAGTTGTAGCTGATGGTGTTTTTGCTGCTGATGTGGTTACGGATGCAGATGTTGATGCTGCTGTTGTTTGTCCTGGAGTTGTGGACATTTGAGTTGGTGAAGGAGTTGATGTTTGTGGTATTGGAGTTGATACTTCTGTTGTTGTTCCTGCAGTTGTAGAACTTATTGCTGATGTTGTTACTACTGCTGATGTTAATCCTGCTGTAGATTGTGGTGGTGTTGTGGACGATGGCGGTGTTGCAGCTGATGTGGTTATTGCTGCAGATGTTGAGGCACTTGATGTTTGTCCTGCAGTTGTAGCTGATGGTGTTGTTTCTGCTGATGTGGTTACTGCTGCAGATGTTGAGGGACCTGCAGTTGTTTGTGCGAGAGTTGTTGCCAATGGTGTTGTTGCTGCTGATGTGGTTACTGCTGTAGATGTTGATGGTGCTGTAGATTGTGGTGGTGTTGTGGGCAATGGTGTTGTTGCAGCTGATGTGGTTATTGCTGCAGTTGTTCCGGCACTTGATGTTGATTGTCCTACAGTTATAGCTGATGGCGTTGTTCCTGCTGATGTTGTTACGACTGCAGATGTTGATGCTACTGTAGATTGTGGTGGTGTTGTGGGCAATGGTGTTGTTGCAGCTGATGTGGTTATTGCTGCAGTTGTTGAGGCACCTGATGTTGTTTGTCCTACAGTTGTAGCCGATGGTGTTGTTCCTGCTGATGTGGTTACTACTGCAGATGTTGATGTGGATTGTGGTGGTGTTGTGGGCAATGGTGTTGTTGCAGCTGATGTGGTTATTGCTGCAGATGTTGAGGCACCTGATGTTTGTACTACATTTGTTGCTGATGGTGTTGTTGCTGCTGATGTGGTTATGGCTGCAGATGTTGATGATGCTGTAGATTGTAGTGATGTGGGCAATGGTGTTGTTGCAGCTGATGTGGTTATTGCTGCAGATGTTGAGGCACCTGATGTTTGTACTACAGTTGTTGCTGATGGTGTTGTTGCTGCTGATGTGGTTATGGCTGCAGATGTTGATGCTGCTGTAGATTGTGGTGGTGTTGTGGACAATGGTGTGGTTGCCGCTAATGTGGTTATTGATGCAGTTGTTGCGGCACCTGATGTTGTCTGTCCTGCAGTTGTAGCTGATGGTGTTGTTACTGCTGATGTAGTTACTGCTGTAGATGTTGATGCTGCTGCAGATTGTGGTGGTGTTGTGGGCAATGGTGTTGTTGCTGATGATGTAGTTACTGATGCAGATGTTGATGCTGCTGTTGTTTGTCCTGGAGTTGTGGACATTTGAGTTGGTGAAGGAGTTGATGTTTGTGGTATTGGAGTTGATACTTCTGTTGTTGTTCCTGCAGTTGTAGAAATTATTGCTGATGTGGTTACAACTGCTGATGTTAATCCTGCTGTAAATTGTGGTGGTGTTGTGGATGATGGCGGTGTTGCAGCTGATGTGGTAATTGCTGCAGATGTTGAGGCACCTGATGTTTGTCCTGCAGTTGTAGCTGATGGTGTTGTTTCTGCTGATGTGGTTACTGCTGCAGATGTTGAGGGACCTGCAGTTGTTTGTGCGAGAGTTGTTGCCAGTGATGTTGTTACAGGTGATGTGGTTATTGCGGCAGTTGTTCCAGCACTTGATGTTGATTGTCCTACAGTTATAGCTGATGGCGTTGTTCCTGCTGATGTTGTTACGACTGCAGATGTTGATGCTACTGTAGATTGTGGTGGTGTTGTGGGCAATGGTCTTGTTGCAGCTGATGTGGTTATTGCTGCAGTTGTTGAGGCACCTGATGTTGTTTGTCCTACAGTTGTAGCCAATGGTGTTGTTCCTGCTGATGTGGTTACTACTGCAGATGTTGATGTGGATTGTGGTGGTGTTGTGGGCAATGGTGTTGTTGCAGCTGATGTGGTTATTGCTGCAGATGTTGAGGCACCTGATGTTTGTACTACAGTTGTTGCTGATGGTGTTGTTGCTGCTGATGTGGTTATGGCTGCAGATGTTGATGATGCTGTAGATTGTAGTGATGTGGGCAATGGTGTTGTTGCAGCTGATGTGGTTATTGCTGCAGATGTTGAGGCACCTGATGTTTGTACTACAGTTGTTGCTGATGGTGTTGTTGCTGCTGATGTGGTTATGGCTGCAGATGTTGATGCTGTTGTAGATTGTGGTGGTGTTGTGGACAATGGTGTGGTTGCCGCTAATGTGGTTATTGATGCAGTTGTTGCGGCACCTGATGTTGTCTGTCCTGCAGTTGTAGCTGATGGTGTTGTTACTGCTGATGTAGTTACTGCTGTAGATGTTGATGCTGCTGCAGATTGTGGTGGTGTTGTGGGCAATGGTGTTGTTGCTGATGATGTAGTTACTGATGCAGATGTTGATGCTGCTGTTGTTTGTCCTGGAGTTGTGGACATTTGAGTTGGTGAAGGAGTTGATGTTTGTGGTATTGGAGTTGATACTTCTGTTGTTGTTCCTGCAGTTGTAGAAATTATTGCTGATGTGGTTACAACTGCTGATGTTAATCCTGCTGTAAATTGTGGTGGTGTTGTGGATGATGGCGGTGGTGCAGCTGATGTGGTTATTGCTGCAGATGTTGAGGCACCTGATGTTTGTCCTGCAGTTGTAGCTGATGGTGTTGTTTCTGCTGATGTGGTTACTGCTGCAGATGTTGAGGGACCTGCAGTTGTTTGTGCGAGAGTTGTTGCCAGTGATGTTGTTACAGGTGATGAGGTTATTGCGGCAGTTGTTCCAGCACTTGATGTTGATTGTCCTACAGTTATAGCTGATGGCGTTGTTCCTGCTGATGTTGTTACGACTGCAGATGTTGATGCTACTGTAGATTGTGGTGGTGTTGTGGGCAATGGTGTTGTTGCAGCTGATGTGGTTATTGCTGCAGTTGTTGAGGCACCTGATGTTGTTTGTCCTACAGTTGTAGCCAATGGTGTTGTTCCTGCTGATGTGGTTACTACTGCAGATGTTGATGTGGATTGTGGTGGTGTTGTGGGCAATGGTGTTGTTGCAGCTGATGTGGTTATTGCTGCAGATGTTGAGGCACCTGATGTTTGTACTACAGTTGTTGCTGATGGTGTTGTTGCTGCTGATGTGGTTATGGCTGCAGATGTTGATGATGCTGTAGATTGTAGTGATGTGGGCAATGGTGTTGTTGCAGCTGATGTGGTTATTGCTGCAGATGTTGAGGCACCTGATGTTTGTACTACAGTTGTTGCTGATGGTGTTGTTGCTGCTGATGTGGTTATGGCTGCAGATGTTGATGCTGTTGTAGATTGTGGTGGTGTTGTGGACAATGGTGTGGTTGCCACTAATGTGGTTATTGATGCAGTTGTTGCGGCACCTGATGTTGTCTGTCCTGCAGTTGTAGCTGATGGTGTTGTTACTGCTGATGTAGTTACTGCTGTAGATGTTGATGCTGCTGCAGATTGTGGTGGTGTTGTGGGCAATGGTGTTGTTGCTGATGATGTAGTTACTGATGCAGATGTTGATGCTGCTGTTGTTTGTCCTGGAGTTGTGGACATTTGAGTTGGTGAAGGAGTTGATGTTTGTGGTATTGGAGTTGATACTTCTGTTGTTGTTCCTGCAGTTGTAGAAATTATTGCTGATGTGGTTACAACTGCTGATGTTAATCCTGCTGTAAATTGTGGTGGTGTTGTGGATGATGGCGGTGGTGCAGCTGATGTGGTTATTGCTGCAGATGTTGAGGCACCTGATGTTTGTCCTGCAGTTGTAGCTGATGGTGTTGTTTCTGCTGATGTGGTTACTGCTGCAGATGTTGAGGGACCTGCAGTTGTTTGTGCGAGAGTTGTTGCCAGTGATGTTGTTACAGGTGATGAGGTTATTGCGGCAGTTGTTCCAGCACTTGATGTTGATTGTCCTACAGTTATAGCTGATGGCGTTGTTCCTGCTGATGTTGTTACGACTGCAGATGTTGATGCTACTGTAGATTGTGGTGGTGTTGTGGGCAATGGTGTTGTTGCAGCTGATGTGGTTATTGCTGCAGTTGTTGAGGCACCTGATGTTGTTTGTCCTACAGTTGTAGCCAATGGTGTTGTTCCTGCTGATGTGGTTACTACTGCAGATGTTGATGTGGATTGTGGTGGTGTTGTGGGCAATGGTGTTGTTGCAGCTGATGTGGTTATTGCTGCAGATGTTGAGGCACCTGATGTTTGTACTACAGTTGTTGCTGATGGTGTTGTTGCTGCTGATGTGGTTATGGCTGCAGATGTTGATGATGCTGTAGATTGTAGTGATGTGGGCAATGGTGTTGTTGCAGCTGATGTGGTTATTGCTGCAGATGTTGAGGCACCTGATGTTTGTACTACAGTTGTTGCTGATGGTGTTGTTGCTGCTGATGTGGTTATGGCTGCAGATGTTGATGCTGTTGTAGATTGTGGTGGTGTTGTGGACAATGGTGTGGTTGCCACTAATGTGGTTATTGATGCAGTTGTTGCGGCACCTGATGTTGTTTGTCCTGCAGTTGTAGTTGATGGTGTTGTTGCTGCTGATGTGGTTACTGCTGCAGATGTTGATGCTGTTGTAGATTGTGGTGGTGTTGTGGGCAATGGTGTTGTTGCAGCTGATGTGGTTATTGCAGCAGTTGTTGAGGCACCTGATGTTGTTTGTCCAACAGTTGTAGCCGATGGTGTTGTTCCTGCTGATGTGGTTACTACTGCAGATGTTGATGTTAATGTGGATTGTGGTGGTGTTGTGGGCAGTGGTGTTGTTGCAGCTGATGCGGTTATTGCTGCAGATGTTGCGGCACCTGATGTTGTTTGTCCTACAGTTGTAGCTGATGGTGTTGTTGCTGCTGATGTTGTTAGGGCTGCAGATGTTGATGATGCTGTAGATTGTAGTGATGTGGGCAATGCTGTTGTTGCAGCTGATGTGGTTATTGCTGCAGATATTGAGGCACCTGATGTTTGTGCTACAGTTGTTCCTGATGGTGTTGTTGCTACTGATGTGGTTATGGCTGCAGATGTTGATGCTATTGTAGATTGTGGTGGTGTTGTGGATGATGGCGGTGTTGCAGCTGATGTGGTTATTGCTGCAGATGTTGAGGCACCTGATGTTTGTCCTGCAGTTTTAGCTGATGGTGTTGTTGCTGCTGATGTGGTTACTGCTGCAGATGTTGAGGGACCTGCAGTTGTTTGTGCGAGAGTTGTTGCCAATGATGTTGTTGCTGCTGGTGTGGTTACTGCTGCAGATGTTGCTGCTGCTGTAGATTTTGGTGGTGTTGTGGGCAATGGTGTTGTTGCAGCTGATGTGGTTATTGCTGCAGATGTTGAGACTGGTGAAGTTGTTTTTCCTGAAGATGTAGCTGATGGTGTTGTTGGTGCTGATGTGGTTACTACTGCTGGTGTGGATGCTGCTGTAGATTCGGGTGGTGTTGTGGACGATGCCGTTGTTGCCGCTGATGATGTTATTGCTGCAGATGTTGAGGCACTTGATGTTGTTTGTCCTACAGTTGTAGCTGATGGTGTTTTTGCTGCTGATGTGGTTATGGCTGCAGATGTTGATGCTGCTGTTGTTTGTCCTGGAGTTGTGGACATTTGAGTTGGTGACGGAGTTGATGTTTGTGGTATTGGAGTTGATACTTCTGTTGTTGTTCCTGCAGTTGTAGAAATTATTGCTGATGTTGTTACTACTGCTGATGTTAATCCTGCTGTAGATTGTGGTGGTGTTGTGGACGATGGCGGTGTTGCAGCTGATGTGGTTACTGCTGCAGATGTTGAGAGACCTGCAGTTGTTTGTGCGAGAGTTGTTGCCAATGGTGTTGTTGCTGCTGATGTGGTTACTGCTGCAGATGTTGATGCTGCTGTAGATTGTGGTGGTGTTATGGGCAATGGTGTTGTTGCAGCTGATGTGGTTATTGCAGCAGTTGTTGAGGCACCTGATGTTGTTTGTCCAACAGTTGTAGCCGATGGTGTTGTTCCTGCTGATGTGGTTACTACTGCAGATGTTGATGTAGATTGTGGTGGTGTTGTGGGCAATGGTGTTGTTGCAGCTGATGCGGTTATTGCTGCAGATGTTGCGGCACCTGATGTTGTTTGTCCTACAGTTGTAGCTGATGGTGTTGTTGCTGCTGATGTTGTTAGGGCTGCAGATGTTGATGATGCTGCAGATTGTAGTGATGTGGGCAGTGGTGTTGTTGCAGCTGATGTGGTTATTGCTGCAGATGTTGAGGCACCTGCAGTTGTTTGTGCGAGAGTTGTTGCCAATGGTGTTGTTGCTGCGGATGTGGTTACTGCTGCAGATGTTGATGCTGCTGTAGATTGTGGTGGTGTTGTGGGCAATGGTGTTGTTGCGGCTGATGTGGTTATTGCTGCAGTTGTTGAGGCACCTGATGTTGTTTGTCCTACAGTTGTAGCCGATGGTGTTGTTCCTGCTGATGTGGTTACTACTGCATATGTTGATGTAGATTGTGGTGGTGTTGTGGGCAATGGTGTTGTTGCAGCTGATGCGGTTATTGCTGCAGATGTTACGGCACCTGATGTTGTTTGTCCTACAGTTGTAGCTGATGGTGTTGTTGCTGCTAATGTTGTTAGGGCTGCAGATGTTGATGATGCTGTAGATTGTAGTGATGTGGGCAATGGTGTTTTTGCTGCTGATGTGGTTATGGCTGCAGATGTTGATGCTGCTGTAGATTGTGGTGGTGTTGTGGACGATGGCGTTGTTGCCGCTGATGCTGTTATTGCTGCAGATGTTGAAGCACCTGATGTTGTTTGTCCTAAAGTTGTAGCTGATGGTGTTTTTGCTGCTGATGTTGTTATGGATGCAGATGTTGATGCTGCTGTTGTTTGTCCTGGAGTTGTGGACATTTGAGTTGGTGAAAGAGTTGATGTTTGTGGTATTGGAGTTGATACTTCTGTTGTTGTTCCTGCAGTTGTAGAAATTATTGCTGATGTTGTTACTACTGCTGATGTTAATTCTGCTGTAGATTGTGGTGGTGTTGTGGACGATGGCGGTGTTGCAGCTGATGTGGTTACTGCTGCAGATGTTGAGGGACCTGCAGTTGTTCGTGCGAGAGTTGTTGCCAAAGGTGTTGTTGCAGCTGATGTGGTTACTGTTGCAGTTGTTGAGGCACCTGATGTTGTTTGTTCTACAGTTGTAGCCGATGGTGTTGTTCCTGCTGATGTGGTTATTGCTGCAGATGTTGTGGCACCTGATGTTTGTCCTGCAGTTGTAGCCGATGGTGTTGTTCCTGCTGATGTGGTTATTGCTGCAGATGTTGAGGCACCTGATGTTTGTCCTACAGTTGTAGCTGATGGCGTTGTTGCTGCTGATGTTGTTACGACTGCAGATGTTGATGCTACTGTAGATTGTGGTGGTGTTGTGGGCAATGGTGTTGTTGCAGCTGATGTGGTTATTGCTGCAGTTGTTGAGGCACCTGATGTTGTTTGTACTACAGTTGTAGCCGATGGTGTTGTTCCTGCTGATGTGGTTACTACTGCAGATGTTGATGTAGATTGTGGTGGTGTTGTGGGCAATGGTGTTGTTGCAGCTGATGCGGTTATTGCTGCAGATGTTGCGGCACCTGATGTTGTTTGTTCTACAGTTGTAGCTGATGGTGTTGTTCCTGCTGATGTGGTTATTGCTGCAGATGTTGAGGCACCTGATGTTTGTACTACAGTTGTTGCTGATGGTGTTGTTGCTGCTGATGTGGTTATGGCTGCAGATATTGATGCTGCTGTAGATTGTGCTGGTGTTGTGGACAATGGTGTGTTTGCCTCTGATGTGGTTATTGATGCAGTTGTTGCGGAACCTGATGTTGTTTGTCCTGCAGTTGTAGCTGATGGTGTTGTTACTGCTGATGTAGTTACTGCTGCAGATGTTGATGCTGCTGTAGATTGTGGTGGTGTTGTGGACAATTGTGTTGCTGCCGCTGATGTGGTTATTGATGCAGATGTTGAGACTGCTGAAGTTGTTTTTCCTGGAGATGTAGCTGATGGTGTTGTTGCTGCTGATGTGGTTACTACTGCAGATGTTGATGCTGCTGTAGATTGTGGTGGTGTTGTGGGCAATGGTGTTGTTGCAGCTGATGTGGTTATTGCTGCAGATGTTGATGCTGCTGTTGTTTGTCCTGGAGTTGTGGACATTTTAGTTGGTGAAGGAGTTGATGTTTGTGGTATTGGAGTTGATACTTCTGTTGTTGGTCCTGCAGTTGTAGATATTACTGCTGATGTGGTTACTACTGCAGATGTTGATGCTGATGTAGATTGTGGTGGTATTGTGGGCAATGGTGTTGTTGCAGCTGATGTGATTATTGCTGCAGATGTTGAGGCACCTGATGTTTGTGCTACAGTTGTTCCTGATGGTGTTGTTGCTGCTGATGTGGTTATGGCTGCAGATGTTGTTGATGCTGTAGATTGTGGTGATGTTGTGAGCAATGGTGTTGTTGCAGCTGATGTGGTTTTTGCTGCAGTTGTTGAGACTGCTGAAGTTGTTTTTCCTGGAGATGTAGCTGATGGTATTGTTGCTGCTGATGTGGTTACTACTGCTGGTGTGGATGCTGCTGTAGATTGTGGTGGTGTTGTGGACAATGGTGTTGTTGCTGCTGATGTGGTTACTGCTGCAGATGTTAATGCTGCTGTTGTTTGTCCTGGAGTTGTGGACCTTTGAGTTGGTGAAGGAGTTGATGTTTGTGGTATTGGAATTGATACTTCTGTTGTTGGTCCTGCAGTTGTCGACATTTCTGCTGATGTGGTTACTACTGCAGATGTTGATGATGCTGTAGATTGTGGTGATGTTGTGGGCAATGGTGTTATTGCAGCTGATGTGGTTATTTCTGCAGTTGTTGGGGCACCTGATGTTTGTCCTACAGTTGTAGCTGATGGTGTTGTTGCTGCTGATGTGGTTAATGCTGCAGATGTTGAGGGACCTGCAGTTGTTTGCCCTAAAGTCGTAGGTGATGGTGTTGTTGCTGCTACTGATGTGGTTACTACTGCTGATGTAAATGCTGCTATAGATTGTGCTGTTGTGGACAATGGTGTTGTTGCAGCTAAAGTGGTTATTGCTGGAGGTGTTGCGGCACCTGATGTTGTTTGTCCTACAGTTGTAGCTGATGGTGTTGTTGCTGCTGATGTTGTTTTTGCGGCAGATGTTGGAGATGCCGTTGTTGTTTTTCCTGGAGTAGTTTGGACCGCAGCTGTGCTTGTTGTCAGTGTTGGTTGTGTTGTTAATATTTGTGCTGTAGTCTTGGGTTGTGTCGTACTCAGTCCTGATGTTGTAGTTGCGGTAGTCAAGAGCGTTAGCGTTGTAGCCTCAATTGTGGTTGTTGGGTTTCCTGACGTAGTTGTAGATATTTGCGCAGTTTGCACAGTACCTGTGAAATGAGTCGTATGTTTTCACATTAACTGTTGAGTACGTCACTATTTTTTCATCACTTTGCGGGTGTTCTCATGTCGTGAAAGTTCTCCCGACATGTTTAAAAGTTGTACTTTGTGTTATTTGGCACAATGTCCGACGGTTCGCTTCATGCCAAAGCGCATTCGTTACAACCTGTAAACTCATCACAAAGCTAGCTGCATTTGTCAATTGACATTGTCACTTATCCAGGATAAATCAAGATTCCAATTCTGATTCTGTGTTTAAGAAAACAAAATTATTTATTCCATGTCTTTTATTGTTCAATATTGTTAGTTATGTGAAGTTGAGTCAGTTTTTATTGAATTGTTGAATTTTGTTGTTTGTAAGAAATGTGTTGTTCATGTTTGCTTTTACAATTGTTTTGGTTTTGTTTAATATTGGTGTATATCATTGATAAAATAATGTATATTATAACTACTTTTCATGAAATATTTACTATCAGTCCAATTTCAAACCTGTCCGCTGAAGCAGATATCACATAACTACTTCTAATATCCCTTCATGCAACCTCTATTTCTCATACACTACAGGGCAGCACTCTCCCACTCACCCTGCTACAGAGAGTAATGTCATCTCATCACAGTCCAACCAATGATTTCAATACTCAGAACTGAAATTTAGCTAAATGAAGCACAACAAACATTCAACACTCTTATTAGCCAGAGTAGTATTCATTAATTTCCCATTTTATCCTGCAACACAGGCAGTTTACAACACACAGTGCGGCCCTGCTTTTGGACTGCATCTGGACAGTCTACACAACATTCCGCAATTTAAAAACTGCCAAATATTTTCAAATAAAATAAACCGCTATCATGGCCAAGCACAAGCAATTTTCAGGTGCTGCGATGTCTACCTCTGTGTCACGTGGAGCTTCGGACTTTGACATGGACCAGCCATCTGCTTCAAGTGTCCCGTGACGATTTTCAAATGGATGGACCATGTGTGCCAGTGTCATGGTTTAAATTTGCCAAATTACGTAATCATTGCAGAGAGGAAAAAAAACATGTTAACATTGTCTGAAACTGGCAGAATAATGTCCACTTCCTGGTCAGTACTATGTTCACGTTGTGCCACAGAGGGACAGCTGCCGCCCTGCGGTCCCCCATAGCTAAATGGATTGTACATGCGAGGCACCAGTATAAACAGTGTGACGATCATCATGATGATGCTTACCTGAAGTGGTCGTGGAGAGTAGAACAGTAGTGGTGGCTGTTGTGGATCCAGAGGTTGGTGGAGCTGCTGTTGTTGAACCTACAGATGATGTTAGTGAGGTCGTTAGGATTGCTGTGGTGATGGGTACAGTTGACGTCGATGGGGCAGTTGTTTGCACGACTCCTGAAGTTGCCGTTGTGCTCAACGGTGATGTTGTAGTTGTCAGTGCTGTAGCGGTTATTGGTGCAATAGTTGTTGGTGCAACAGCTGTCCCAATAGCAGTAGTTGCAGATGTCACTAATGCCACCGGGGTAACTGTGGCTGCAGTTGCAGTCATAACTGCGCTTGTAGTTAGAGAGGCAGGGGTTGTTGCTGCAGTCAATACTCCGGCTGTTGTGAGTGCCAATGTTGTGGTTGCTGCGGAGGTTGGTGTGGCTGGGGGAGAGGTTTTGGAGAGTCCTGCGGCTGTGGTTGAGCCTGGCATAGAAGTGAGGGATGGGGCTGATGTTGCTGCTGGAGACGATATTAATTCAGCAGTTGATGGAAGGGGTACAGAAGAGGAGGCAGCAGTAGACGTTAGTGCAGCACTTGTGGTGGGCAGACTATATTTGGTTTGTGGTACAGTTGTCGTTTGTGCAGGTGTGGTTAGTGCTGAAGTTGTTATTGGTGGGACAGTTCCTGAAGTTGTTTGTGCTATTATTGATGTTGATTCAACAGTTGTAGCAAAGGTTGTTGTTGGGGCTGCAGCTGTTGATGCTGCAGTTGTGGCAGGTGCTATAGTTGTTAATGGTGCTGTTGTGATTGCAATTGCAGTTGTTGCTGATGCAGTTGTGGCTGGTCCTAGAGTTGTGGTTGTTGCAACAGCTGCGGTTGGAGCAACCGTTGTTGGTGATCCAGTTGTGGTTAGACCTGCTGGTGTGGTTAGGCCAGCAGTTGTAGTTGGTGCAGCAGTTGTGGTTGAAGCAACAGTTGTTGGTGCCGCAGATGTGCTTGGACCAGCTGTTGTGGTTTGGCCAGGAGTTGTTGGTGGTGGAGTTGTGGTTGAAGCAACAGTTGTTGGTGAACCAGTTGTGGTTAGACCTGCTGTTGTGGTTAGGCCAGCGGTTGTAGTTGGTGCAGCAGTTGTGCTTGGAGCAACAGTTGTTGGTGCCGCAGATGTGCTTGGACCAGCTGTTGTGGTTTGGCCAGGAGTTGTTGGTGGAGTTGTGGTTGGAGCAACAGTTGTTGGTGAACCAGTTGTGGTTAGACCTGCTGTTGTGGTTAGGCTTGGAGTTGTAGTTGGTATAGGAGTCTTGGCTGGAGTAACAGTTGTTAGTGCACCAGTTGTGGTTGGAGAAACAGTTGTTGGTGCCGCAGATGTGCTTGCACCAGCTGTTGTGGTTTGGCCAGGACTTGTTGGTGGTGGAGTTGTGGTTGAAGCAACAGTTGTTGGTGAACCAGTTGTGGTTAGACCTGCTGTTGTGGTTAGGCCAGCGGTTGTAGTTGGTGCAGCAGTTGTGCTTGGAGCAACAGTTGTTGGTGCCGCAGATGTGCTCGGACCAGCTGTTGTGGTTTGGCCAGGAGTTGTTGGTGGAGTTGTGGATGGAGCACCAGTTGTTGGTGATCCAGTTGTGGTTAGACCTGCTGTTGTAGTTAGGCTTAGAGTTGTAGTTGGTGGAGGAGTCGTGGCTGGAGTAACAGTTGTTAGTGCACCAGTTGTGGTTGGAGCAGCAGTTGTTGGTGCCGCAGATGTGCTTGGACCAGCTGTTGTGGTTTGGCCAGGAGTTGTTGGTGGAGTTGTGGATGGAGCACCAGTTGTTGGTGATCCAGTTGTGGTTAGACCCGCTGTTGTAGTTAGGCTTAGAGTTGTAGTTGGTGGAGGAGTCGTGGCTGGAGTAACAGTTAGTGCACCAGTTGTGGTTGGAGAAACAGTTGTTGGTGCCACAGATGTGCTTGGACCAGCTGTTGTGGTTTGGCCAGGAGTTGTTGGTGGAGGAGTCGTGGTTGGAGTAACAGTTGTTAGTGCAGCAGTTGTGGTTGGAGCAACAGCTGGTGCCCCAGTTGTGCTTGAACCAGCTGTTGTGGTTGGGCCAGTAGGTGTTGTTGCAGGAGTTGTGCTTGGAGCAACAGTTGTTGGTGAACCAGTTGTGGTTAGAGCAACAGTTGTTGGTGCACCAGTTGTGCTTTGAGCAAAAGTTGTTGGTGCCGCAGATATGCTTGGACCAGCTGTTGTGGTTTGGCCAGGAGTTGTTGGTGGAGTTGTGGATGGAGCACCAGTTGTTGGTGCCGCAGATGTGCTTGGACCAGCTGTTGTGGTTTGGCCAGGAGTTGTTGGTGGAGTTGTGGATGGAGCACCAGTTGTTGGTGATACAGTTGTGGTTGGAGCAATAGTTGTTGGTGTCGCAGATGTGCTTGGACCAGCTGTTGTGGTTTGGCCAGGAGTTGTTGGTGGAGTTGTGGATGGAGCACCAGTTGTTGGCGATCCAGTTGTGGTTAGACCAGCTGTTGTGGTTTGGCCAGCAGTTGTAGTTGGTGGAGGAGTCGTGTTTGGAGTAACAGTTGTTAGTGCACCAGTTGTGTATGGAGCACCAGTTGTTGGTGCTGCAGATGTGCTTGGACCAGCTGTTGTGGTTTGGCCAGGAGTTGTTGGTGGAGTTGTGGATGGAGCACCAGTTGTTGGTGCCCCAGTTGTGCTTTGTCCAGCTGTTGTGGTTGGGCCAGTAGGTGTTGTTGCAGGAGTTGTGCTTGGAGCGACAGTTGTTGGTGAACCAGTTGTGGTTAGAGTAACAGTTGTTGGTGCACCAGTCGTGCTTGGAGCAACAGTTGTTGGTGCCGCAGATGTGGTTGGACCAGCTGTTGTGGTTTGGCCAGGAGTTGTTGGTGGAGTTGTGGATGGAGCACCAGTTGTTGGTGATCCAGTTGTGGTTAGACCAGCTGTTGTAGTTAGGCTTGGAGTTGTAGTTGGTGGAGGAGTCGTGGTTGGAGCAGCAGTTATTAATGCAACAGTTGTGGTTGGAGCAACAGTTGTTGGTGCCGCAGATGTGCTTGGACCAGCTGTTGTGGTTTGGCCAGGAGTTGTTGGTGGTGGAGGAGTCGTGGGTGGAGCAACAGTTGTTAGTGCACCAGTTGTGGTTGGAGCAACAGTTGTTGGTGCCGCAGATGTGCTTGGAACAGCTGTAGTGGTTTGGCCAGGAGTTGTTGGTGGAGGAGTCGTGGTTGGAGTTGCAGTTGTTAGTGCAGCAGTTGTGTGTGGAGCAACAGTTGTTGGTCCCGCAGTTGTGCTTGGAATAGCTGTTGTGGTTTGGCCAGGAGTTGTTGGTGGAGGAGTCGTTGTTGGAGCAAAAGTTGTTGGTGATCCATTTGTCATTGGACCTGTTGTTGTGGTTAGGCCAGCAGTTGTTGGTGCAGCAGTTGTGCTTGGAGCAACCGTTGTTGGTAATGCGGATGTCGTTGTACCTGCTGTTGTAGTTCCTGCAGGAGTTGTAGTTTGTGCAGCAGTTATTTTTGAAGCAACAGTTGTTGGTGATACAGTTGTGGTTAGACCCGCTATTGTGGTTACTCTTAGAGTTGTAGTTGGTGGAGGAGTCGTGGTTGGAGCAACAGTTGTTAGTGTACCAGTTGTGGTTGGAGCAACAGTTGTTGGTGCCGCAGATGTGCTTGGACCAGCTGTTGTGGTTTGGCCAGGAGTTGTAGTTGGTGGAGTTGTGGATGGAGCACCCGTTGTTGGTGATCCAGTTGTGGTTAGACCTGCTGTTGTGGTTAAGCTTAGAGTTGTAGTTTGTGGAGGAGTCGTGGTTGGAGCAACAGTTGTTAGTGTGCCAGTTGTGGTTGGAGCAACAGTTGTTGGTGCCGCAGATGTGCTTGGACCAGCTGTTGTGGTTTGGCCAGGAGTTGTTGGTGGTGGAGGAGTCGCTGTTGGAGCAACAGTTGTTAGTGCACCAGTTGTGGTTGGAGCAACAGTTGTTGGTGCCGCAGATGTGCTTTGACCAGCTGTTGTGGTTTGGCCAGGAGTTGTAGTTGGTGGAGTTGTGGATGGAGCACCAGTTGTTGGTGATCCAGTTGTGGTTAGACCTGCTGTTGTGGTTAGGCTTAGAGTTGTACTTGGCGGAGGAGTCGTGGATGGAATAACAGTTGTTAGTGCGCCAGTTGTGGTTGGAGCAACTGTTGTTGGTACCGGAGATGTGCTTTGACCAGCTGTTGTCGTTTGGCCAGGAGTTGTAGTTGGTGAAGGAGTCGTGGTTGGTGCAACAGTTGTTAGTGCACCAGTTGTGGTTGGAGCAACAGTTGTTGGTGCCAAAGATGTGCTTGGACCAGCTGGTGTGGTTTGGCCAGGAGTTGTAGTTGGTGGAGTTGTGGATGGAGCACCAGTTGTTGGTGATCCAGTTGTGGTTAGACCTGCTGTTGTTGTTAGGCTTAGAGTTGTAGTTGGTGGAGGAGTCGTGGTTGGTGCAACAGTTGTTAGTGCACCAGTTGTGGTTAGAGCAACAGTTGTTGTTGCCGCAGATGTGCTTGGACCAGCTGTTGTGGTTTGGCCAGGAGTTGTAGTTGGTGGAGTTGTGGATGGAGCACCAGTTGTTGGTGATCCAGTTGTGGTTAGACCTGCAGTTGTTGTTAGGCTTAGAATTGTAGTTGGTGGAGGAGTCGTGGTTGGAGCAACAGTTATTAGTGTACCAGTTGTGGTTTGAGCAACAGTTGTTGGTGCCGCAGATGTGCTTGGACCAGCTGTTGTGGTTTGGCCAGGAGTTGTAGTTGGTGGAGGAGTCGTGGTTGGAGCAACAGTTGTTAGTGCACCAGTTGTGGTTGGAGCAACAGTTGTTGGTGCCGCAGATGTGCTTGGACCAGCTGTTGTGGTTTGGCCAGAAGTTGTTGGTGAAGGAGTCGTGGTTGGAGTAGCAGTTGTTAGTGCAGCAGTTGTGGGTGGAGCAACAGTTGTTGGTCCCGCAGTTGTGCTTGGAATAGCTGTTGTGGTTTGGCTAGGAGTTGTAGTTGGTGGAGGAGTAGTGGTTGGAGTAACAGTTGTTGGTGATACAGTTGTGGTTATACCTGCTGTTGTGGTTAGGCTTACAGTTGTAGTTGGTGGAGGAGTCGTGGCTGGAGTAACTGTTGTTAGTGCGCCAGTTGTGGTTGGGGCAACAGTTGTTGGTGCCGCAGATGTGCTTGGACCAGCTGTTGTGGTTTGGCCAGGAGTTGTAGTTGGTGGAGGAATCGTGGTTGGAGCAACAGTTGTTAGTGCACCAGTTGTGGTTGGAGCAATTGTTGTTGGATTAACAGTTGTTGGTGCCGCAGATGTGTTTGGACCAGCTGTTGTGGTTTGGCCAGGAGTTGTTGGTGGAGGAGTCGTGGTTGGAGTAGCAGTTGTTAGTGCAGCAGTTGTGGGTGGAGCAACAGTTGTTGGTCCCGCAGTTGTGCTTGGAATAGCTGTTGTGGTTTGGCTAGGAGTTGTAGTTGGTGGAGGAGTAGTGGTTGGACTAACAGTTGTTAGTGCGCCAGTTGTGGTTGGGGCAACAGTTGTGGGTGCTGCAGATGTGCTTGGACCAGCTGTTGTGGTTTGGCCAGGAGTTGTAGTTGGTGGAGGAGTCGTGGTTGGGGCAACAGTTGTTAGTGCACCAGTTGTGGTTGGAGCAAAAGTTGTTGGAGCAACAGTTGTTGGTGCTGCAGATGTGCTTGGACCAGCTGTTGTGGTTTGGCCAGGAGTTGTAGTTGGTGGAAGAGTCGTGCTTGGAGCAACAGTTGTTAGTGCACCAGTTGTGGTTGGAGCAACAGTTGTTGGTGCCGCAGATGTGCTTGGACCAGCTGTTGTGGTTTGGCCAGGAGTTGTAGTGGGTGGAGTTGTGGATGGAGCACCAGTTGTTGGTGATCCAGTTGTGGATAGACCTGCTGTTGTGGTTAGGCTTAGAGTTGTACTTGGCGGAGTAGTCGTGGATGGAGTAACAGTTGTTAGTGCGCCAGTTGTGGTTGGAGCAACTGTTGTTTGTGCCGCAGATGTGCTTTGACCAGCTGTTGTGGTTTGGCCAGGAGTTGTAGTTGGTGGAGGAGTCGTGGTTGGTGCCACAGTTGTTAGTGCACCAGTTGTGGTTGGAGCAACAGTTGTTGGTTCCGCAGATGTGCTTGGACCAGCTGTTGTGGTTTGGCCAGGAGTTGTTGGTGGTGGAGGAGTCGTTGTTGGAGCAACAGTTGTTAGTGCACCAGTTGTGGTTGGAGCAACAGTTGTTGGTGCCGCAGATGTGCTTGGACCAGCTGTTGTGGTTTGGCCAGGAGTTGTAGTTGGTGGAGTTGTGGATGGAGCACCAGTTGTTGGTGATCCAGTTGTGGTTAGACCAGCTGTTGTGGTTAGGCTTAGAGTTGTAGTTGGTGGCGGAGTCGTGGTTGGAGCAACAGTTGTTAGTGCACCAGTTGTGGTTGGAGCAACAGTTGTTGGTGCCGCAGATGTGCTTGGACCAGCTGTTGTGGTTTGGCCAGGAGTTGTAGTTGGTGGAGTTGTGGATGGAGCACCAGTTGTTGGTGATCCAGTTGTGGTTATACCTGCTGTTGTGGTTAGGCCAGCGGTTGTGGTTGGACCAGCAGTTGTGGTTGAAGCAACAGTTGTTGGTGCCGTAGATGTGCTTTGAACCGCTGTTGTGGTTTGGCTAGGAGTTGTAGTTGGTGGAGGAGTAGTGGTTGGAGTAACAGTTGTTAGTGCGCCAGTTGTGGATGGAGCAACAGTTGTTGGTGCCGCAGATGTGCTTAGACCAGCTGTTGTGGTTTGGCCAGGAGTTGTTGGTGGAGTTGTGGATGGAGCACCAGTTGTTGGTGATACAGTTGTGATTATACCTGCTGTTGTGGTTAAGCTTACAGTTGCAGTTGGTGGAGGAGTCGTGGCTGGAGTAACTGTTGTTAGTGCGCCAGTTGTGGTTGGGGCAACAGTTGTTGGTGCCGCAGATGTGCTTGGACCAGCTGTTGTGGTTTGGCCAGGAGTTGTAGTTGGTGGAGGAGTCGTGGTTGGAGTAACAGTTGTTAGTGCACCAGTTGTGGTTGGAGCAACAGTTGTTGGTGTCGCAGATGTGCTTGGACCAGCTGTTGTGGTTTGGCCAGGAGTTGTTGGTGGAGGAGTCGTGGTTGGAGTAGCAGCTGTTAGTGCAGCAGCTGTGGGTGGAGCAACAGTTGTTGGTCCCGCAGTTGTGCTTGGAATAGCTGTTGTGGTTTGGCTAGGAGTTGTAGTTGGTAGAGGAGTAGTGGTTGGACTAACAGTTGTTAGTGCGCCAGTTGTGGTTGGAGCAACAGTTGTTGGTGCTGCAGATGTGCTTGGACCAGCTGTTGTGGTTTGGCCAGGAGTTGTTGGTGGAGTTGTGGATGGAACACCAGTTGTTGGTGATACAGTTGTGGTTATACCTGCTGTTGTGGTTAGGCTTACAGTTGTAGTTGGTGGAGGAGTCGTGGCTGGAGTAACTGTTGTTAGTGCGCCAGTTGTGGTTGGGGCAACAGTTGTTGGTGCCGCAGATGTGCTCGGACCAGCTGTTGTGGTTTGGCCAGGAGTTGTTGGTGGATGAGTCGTGGTTGGAGTAGCAGTTGTTAGTGCAGCAGTTGTGGGTGGAGCAAGAGTTGTTGGTCCCGCAGTTGTGCTTGGAATAGCTGTTGTGGTTTGGCTAGGAGTTGTAGTTGGTGGAGGAGTAGTGGTTGGAGTAACAGTTAGTGCGCCAGTTGTGGTTGATGCAACAGTTGTTGGTGCCGCAGATGTGCTTGGACCAGCTGTTGTGGTTTGGCCAGGAGTTGTTGGTGGTGGAGGAGTCGTGGTTGGAGCAACAGTTGTTAGTGCACCAGTTGTGGTTGAAGCAAGAGTTGTTGCTGCCGCAGATGTGCTTGGACCAGCTGTTGTGGTTTGGCCAGGAGTTGTTGGTGGAGTTGTGGATGGAGCACCCGTTGTTGGTGATCCAGTTGTGGTTAGACCCGCTGTTGTGGTTTGGCTAGGAGTTGTAGTTGGTGGAGGAGTAGTGGTTGGAGTAACAGTTGTTAGTGCGCCAGTTGTGGTTGGAGCAACAGTTGTTGGTGCCGCAGATGTACTTGGACCAGCTGTTGTGGTTTGGCCAGGAGTTGTAGTTGGTGGAGGAGTCGTGGTTGGAGCAACAGTTGTTAGTGCACCAGTTGTGGTTGGAGCAACAGTTGTTGGTGCCGCAGATGTTCTTGAACCAGCTGTTGTGGTTTGGCCAGAAGTTGTTGGTGGAGGAGTCGTGGTTGGAGTAGCAGTTGTTAGTGCACCAGTTGTGGTTGGAGCAACAGTTGTTGGTCCCGCAGTTGTGCTTGGAATAGCTGTTGTGGTTTGGCTAGGAGTTGTAGTTGGTGGAGGAGTAGTGGTTGGAGTAACAGTTGTTAGTGTGCCAGTTGTGGTTGGAGCAACAGTTGTTGGTGCCACAGATGTGCTTGGACCAGCTGTTGTGGTTTGGCCAGGAGTTGTAGTTGGTGGAGTTGTGGATGGAGCACCAGTTGTTGGTGATCCAGTTGTGGTTATACCTGCTGTTGTGGTTAAGCTTACAGTTGTAGTTGGTGGAGGCGTCGTGGCTGGAGTAACTGTTGTTAGTGCACCAGTTGTGGTTGGGGCAACAGTTGTGCGTGCTGCAGATGTGCTTGGACCAGCTGTTGTGGTTTGGCCAGGAGTTGTAGTTGGTGGAGGAGTCGTGGTTGGGGCAACAGTTGTTAGTGCAGCAGCTGTGGGTGGAGCAACAGTTGTTGGTCCCGCAGTTGTGCTTGGAATAGCTGTTGTGGTTTGGCTAGGAGTTGTAGTTGGTAGAGGAGTAGTGGTTGGACTAACAGTTGTTAGTGCCCCAGTTGTGGTTGGAGCAACAGTTGTTGGTGCTGCAGATGTGCTTGGACCAGCTGTTGTGGTTTGGCCAGGAGTTGTTGGTGGAGTTGTGGATGGAGCACCAGTTGTTGGTGATACAGTTGTGGTTATACCTGCTGTTGTGGTTAGGCTTACAGTTGTAGTTGGTGGAGGAGTCGTGGCTGGAGTAACTGTTGTTAGTGCGCCAGTTGTGGTTGGGGCAACAGTTGTTGGTGCCGCAGATGTGCTCGGACCAGCTGTTGTGGTTTGGCCAGGAGTTGTTGGTGGATGAGTCGTGGTTGGAGTAGCAGTTGTTAGTGCAGCAGTTGTGGGTGGAGCAACAGTTGTTGGTCCAGCAGTTGTGCTTGGAATAGCTGTTGTGGTTTGGCTAGGAGTTGTAGTTGGTGGAGGAGTAGTGGTTGGAGTAACAGTTAGTGTGCCAGTTGTGGTTGATGCAACAGTTGTTGGTGCCGCAGATGTGCTTGGACCAGCTGTTGTGGTTTGGCCAGGAGTTGTTGGTGGTGGAGGAGTCGTGGTTGGAGCAACAGTTGTTAGTGCACCAGTTGTGGTTGAAGCAAGAGTTGTTGCTGCCGCAGATGTGCTTGGACCAGCTGTTGTGGTTTGGCCAGGAGTTGTTGGTGGAGTTGTGGATGGAGCACCAGTTGTTGGTGATCCAGTTGTGGTTAGACCCGCTGTTGTGGTTTGGCTAGGAGTTGTAGTTGGTGGAGGAGTAGTGGTTGGAGTAACAGTTGTTAGTGCGCCAGTTGTGGTTGGAGCAACAGTTGTTGGTGCCGCAGATGTACTTGGACCAGCTGTTGTGGTTTGGCCAGGAGTTGTAGTTGGTGGAGGAGTCGTGGTTGGAGCAACAGTTGTTAGTGCACCAGTTGTGGTTGGAGCAACAGTTGTTGGTGCCGCAGATGTTCTTGAACCAGCTGTTGTGGTTTGGCCAGAAGTTGTTGGTGGAGGAGTCGTGGTTGGAGTAGCAGTTGTTAGTGCACCAGTTGTGGTTGGAGCAACAGTTGTTGGTCCCGCAGTTGTGCTTGGAATAGCTGTTGTGGTTTGGCTAGGAGTTGTAGTTGGTGGAGGAGTAGTGGTTGGAGTAACAGTTGTTAGTGTGCCAGTTGTGGTTGGAGCAACAGTTGTTGGTGCCACAGATGTGCTTGGACCAGCTGTTGTGGTTTGGCCAGGAGTTGTAGTTGGTGGAGTTGTGGATGGAGCACCAGTTGTTGGTGATCCAGTTGTGGTTATACCTGCTGTTGTGGTTAAGCTTACAGTTGTAGTTGGTGGAGGCGTCGTGGCTGGAGTAACTGTTGTTAGTGCACCAGTTGTGGTTGGGGCAACAGTTGTGCGTGCTGCAGATGTGCTTGGACCAGCTGTTGTGGTTTGGCCAGGAGTTGTAGTTGGTGGAGGAGTCGTGGTTGGGGCAACAGTTGTTAGTGCAGCAGCTGTGGGTGGAGCAACAGTTGTTGGTCCCGCAGTTGTGCTTGGAATAGCTGTTGTGGTTTGGCTAGGAGTTGTAGTTGGTAGAGGAGTAGTGGTTGGACTAACAGTTGTTAGTGCCCCAGTTGTGGTTGGAGCAACAGTTGTTGGTGCTGCAGATGTGCTTGGACCAGCTGTTGTGGTTTGGCCAGGAGTTGTTGGTGGAGTTGTGGATGGAGCACCAGTTGTTGGTGATACAGTTGTGGTTATACCTGCTGTTGTGGTTAGGCTTACAGTTGTAGTTGGTGGAGGAGTCGTGGCTGGAGTAACTGTTGTTAGTGCGCCAGTTGTGGTTGGGGCAACAGTTGTTGGTGCCGCAGATGTGCTCGGACCAGCTGTTGTGGTTTGGCCAGGAGTTGTTGGTGGATGAGTCGTGGTTGGAGTAGCAGTTGTTAGTGCAGCAGTTGTGGGTGGAGCAACAGTTGTTGGTCCCGCAGTTGTGCTTGGAATAGCTGTTGTGGTTTGGCTAGGAGTTGTAGTTGGTGGAGGAGTAGTGGTTGGAGTAACAGTTAGTGTGCCAGTTGTGGTTGATGCAACAGTTGTTGGTGCCGCAGATGTGCTTGGACCAGCTGTTGTGGTTTGGCCAGGAGTTGTTGGTGGTGGAGGAGTCGTGGTTGGAGCAACAGTTGTTAGTGCACCAGTTGTGGTTGAAGCAAGAGTTGTTGCTGCCGCAGATGTGCTTGGACCAGCTGTTGTGGTTTGGCCAGGAGTTGTTGGTGGAGTTGTGGATGGAGCACCAGTTGTTGGTGATCCAGTTGTGGTTAGACCCGCTGTTGTGGTTTGGCTAGGAGTTGTAGTTGGTGGAGGAGTAGTGGTTGGAGTAACAGTTGTTGGTGATCCAGCTGTGGTTAGACCCGCTGTTGTGGTTTGGCTAGGAGTTGTAGTTGGTGGAGGAGTAGTGGTTGGAGTAACAGTTGTTAGTGCGCCAGTTGTGGTTGGAGCAACAGTTGTTGGTGCCGCAAATGTGCTTGGACCAGCTGTTGTGGTTTGGCCAGGAGTTGTAGTTGGTGGAGGAGTCGTGGTTGGAGCAACAGTTGTTAGTGCACCAGTTGTGGTTGGAGCAACAGTTGTTGGTGCCGCAGATGTGCTTGGACCAGCTGTTGTGGTTTGGCCAGAAGTTGTTGGTGGAGGAGTCGTGGTTGGAGTAGCAGTTGTTAGTGCAGCAGTTGTGGGTGGAGCAACAGTTGTTGGTCCCACAGTTGTGCTTGGAATAGCTGTTGTGGTTTGGCTAGGAGTTGTAGTTGGTGGAGGAGTAGTGGTTGGAGTAACAGTTGTTAGTGTGCCAGTTGTGGTTGGAGCAACAGTTGTTGGTGCCACAGATGTGCTTGGACCAGCTGTTGTGGTTTGGCCAGGAGTTGTAGTTGGTGGAGTTGTGGATGGAGCACCAGTTGTTGGTGATCCAGTTGTGGTTATACCTGCTGTTGTGGTTAAGCTTACAGTTGTAGTTGGTGGAGGCGTCGTGGCTGGAGTAACTGTTGTTAGTGCGCCAGTTGTGGTTGGGGCAACAGTTGTGCGTGCTGCAGATGTGCTTGGACCAGCTGTTGTGGTTTGGCCAGGAGTTGTAGTTGGTGGAGGAGTCGTGGTTGGGGCAACAGTTGTTAGTGCACCAGTTGTGGTTGGAGCAAAAGTTGTTGGAGCAACAGTTGTTGGTGCTGCAGATGTGCTTGGACCAGCTGTTGTGGTTTGGCCAGGAGTTGTAGTTGGTGGAGGAGTCGTGGTTGGAGCAACAGTTGTTAGTGCACCAGTTGTGGTTGGAGCAACAGTTGTTGGTGCCGCAGATGTGCTTGGACCAGCTGTTGTGGTTTGGCCAGGAGTTGTTGGTGGTGGAGGAGTCGTGGTTGGAGCAACAGTTGTTAGTGCACCAGTTGTGGTTGGAGCAAGCGTTGTTGGTGCCGCAGATGTGCTTGGACCAGCTGTTGTGGTTTGGCCAGGAGTTGTTGGTGGAGTTGTGGATGGAGCACCAGTTGTTGGTGATCCAGTTGTGGTTAGACCCGCTGTTGTGGTTTGGCTAGGAGTTGTAGTTGGTGGAGGAGTAGTGGTTGGAGTAACAGTTGTTAGTGCGCCAGTTGTGGTTGGAGCAACAGTTGTTGGTGCCGCAGATGTGCTTGGACCAGCTGTTGTGGTTTGGCCAGGAGTTGTTGGTGGAGTTGTGGATGGAGCATCAGTTGTTGGTGATACAGTTGTGGTTATACCTGCTGTTGTGGTTAGGCTTACAGTTGTAGTTGGTGGAGGAGTCGTGGCTGGAGTAACTGTTGTTAGTGTGCCAGTTGTGGTTGGGGCAACAGTTGTTGGTGCCGCAGATGTGCTTGGACCAGCTGTTGTGGTTTGGCCAGGAGTTGTAGTTGGTGGAGGAGTCGTGGTTGGAGCAACAGTTGTTAGTGCACCAGTTGTGGTTGGAGCAACAGTTGTTGGTGCCGCAGATGTGCTTGGACCAGCTGTTGTGGTTTTGCCAGAAGTTGTGGGTGTAGGAGTCGTGGTTCGAGTAGCAGTTGTTAGTGCAGCAGTTGTGGGTGGAGCAACAGTTGTTGGTCCCGCAGTTGTGCTTGGAATAGCTGTTGTGGTTTGGCTAGGAGTTGTAGTTGGTGGAGGACTAGTGGTTGGAGTAACAGTTGTTAGTGTGCCAGTTGTGGGTGGAGCAACAGTTGTTGGTGCCACAGATGTGCTTGGACCAGCTGTTGTGGTTTGGCCAGGAGTTGTAGTTGGTGGAGTTGTGGATGGAGCACCAGTTGTTGGTGATCCAGTTGTGGTTATACCTGCTGTTGTGGTTAGGCTTACAGTTGTAGTTGGTGGAGGAGTCGTGGCTGGAGTAACTGTTGTTAGTGCGCCAGTTGTGGTTGGGGCAACAGTTGTTGGTGCCGCAGATGTGCTTGGACCAGCTGTTGTGGTTTGGCCAGGAGTTGTAGTTGGTGGAGGAGTCGTGGTTGGAGTAGCAGTTGTTAGTGCACCAGTTGTGGTTGGAGCAACAGTTGTTGGATTAACAGTTGTTGGTGCCGCAGATGTGTTTGGACCAGCTGTTGTGGTTTGGCCAGGAGTTGTTGGTGGAGGAGTCGTGGTTGGAGTAGCAGTTGTTAGTGCAGCAGTTGTGGGTGGAGCAACAGTTGTTGGTCCCGCAGTTGTGCTTGGAATAGCTGTTGTGGTTTGGCTAGGAGTTGTAGTTGGTTGAGGAGTAGTGGTTGGACTAACAGTTGTTAGTGCGCCAGTTGTGGTTGATGCAACAGTTGTTGGTGCCGCAGATGTGCTTGGACCAGCTGTTGTGGTTTGGCCAGGAGTTGTTGGTGGAGTTGTGGATGGAACACCAGTTGTTGGTGATACAGTTGTGGTTATAACTGCTGTTGTGGTTAAGCTTACAGTTGTAGTTGGTGGAGGCGTCGTTGCTGGAGTAACTGTTGTTAGTGTGCCAGTTGTGGTTGGGGCAACAGTTGTGGGTGCTGCAGATGTGCTTGGACCAGCTGTTGTGGTTTGGCCAGGAGTTGTAGTTGGTGGAGGAGTCGTGGTTGGAGCAACAGTTGTTAGTGCACCAGTTGTGGTTGGAGCAACAGTTGTTGGTGCCGCAGATGTGCTTGGACCAGCTGTTGTGGTTTGGCCAGGAGTTGTTGGTGGAGGAGACGTGGTTGGAGTAGCAGTTGTTAGTGTAGCAGTTGTGGGTGGAGCAACAGTTGTTGGTCCCGCAGTTGTGCTTGGAATAGCTGTTGTGGTTTGGCTTGGAGTTGTAGTTGGTGGAGGAGTAGTGGTTGGACTAACTGTTGTTAGTGCGCCAGTTGTGGTTGGAGCAACAGTTGTTGGTGCCGCAGATGTGCTTGGACCAGCTGTTGTGGTTTGGCCAGGAGTTGTTGGTGGAGTTGTGGATGGAGCACCAGTTGTTGGTGATACAGTTGTGGTTATACCTGCTGTTGTGGTTAGGCTTACAGTTGTAGTTGGTGGAGGAGTCGTGGCTGGAGTAACTGTTGTTAGTGTGCCAGTTGTGGTTGGGGCAACAGTTGTTGGTGCCGCAGATGTGCTTGGACCAGCTGTTGTGGTTTGGCCAGGAGTTGTAGTTGGTGGAGGAGTCGTGGTTGGAGCAACAGTTGTTAGTGCACCAGTTGTGGTTGGAGCAACAGTTGTTGGTGCCGCAGATGTGCTTGGACCAGCTGTTGTGGTTTGGCCAGAAGTTGTGGGTGGAGGAGTCGTGGTTGGAGTAGCAGTTGTTAGTGCTGCAGTTGTGGGTGGAGCAACAGTTGTTGGTCCCGCAGTTGTGCTTGGAATAGCTGTTGTGGTTTGGCTAGGAGTTGTAGTTGGTGGAGGACTAGTGGTCGGAGTAACAGTTGTTAGTGTGCCAGTTGTGGTTGGAGCAACAGTTGTTGGTGCCACAGATGTGCTTGGACCAGCTGTTGTGGTTTGGCCAGGAGTTGTAGTTGGTGGAGTTGTGGATGGAGCACCAGTTGTTGGTGATCCAGTTGTGGTTATACCTGCTGTTGTGGTTAGGCTTACAGTTGTAGTTGGTGGAGGAGTCGTGGCTGGAGTAACTGTTGTTAGTGCGCCAGTTGTGGTTGGGGCAACAGTTGTTGGTGACGCAGATGTGCTTGGACCAGCTGTTGTGGTTTGGCCAGGAGTTGTAGTTGGTGGAGGAGTCGTGGTTGGAGCAACAGTTGTTAGTGCACCAGTTGTGGTTGGAGCAACAGTTGTTGGATTAACAGTTGTTGGTGCCGCAGATGTGCTTGGACCAGCTGTTGTGGTTTGGCCAGGAGTTGTTGGTGGAGTTGTTGATGGAACACCAGTTGTTGGTGATACAGTAGTGGTTATAACTGCTGTTGTGGTTAAGCTTACAGTTGTAGTTGGTGGAGGCGTCGTGGCTGGAGTAACTGTTGTTAGTGTGCCAGTTGTGGTCCGCGCAACAGTTGTGGGTGCTGCAGATGTGCTTGGACCAGCTGTTGTGGTTTGGCCAGGAGTTGTAGTTGGTGGAGGAGTCGTGGTTGGGGCAACAGTTGTTAGTGCACCAGTTGTGGTTGGAGCAAAGGTTGTTGGAGCAACAGTTGTTGGTGCTGCAGATGTGCTTGGACCAGCTGTTGTGGTTTGGCCAGGAGTTGTAGTTGGTGGAGGAGTCGTGGTTGGAGCAACAGTTGTTAGTGCACCAGTTGTGGTTGGAGCAACAGTTGTTGGTGCCGCAGATGTGCTTGGACCAGCTGTTGTGGTTTGGCCAGGAGTTGTTGGTGGTGGAGGAGTCGTGGTTGGAGCAACAGTTGTTAGTGCACCAGTTGTGGTTGGAGCAAGCGTTGTTGGTGCCGCAGATGTGCTTGGACCAGCTGTTGTGGTTTGGCCAGGAGTTGTAGTTGGTGGAGGAGTAGTGGTTGGACTAACTGTTGTTAGTGCGCCAGTTGTGGTTGGAGCAACAGTTGTTGGTGCCGCAGATGTGCTTGGACCAGCTGTTGTGGTTTGGCCAGGAGTTGTTGGTGGAGGTGTGGATGGAGCACCAGTTGTTGGTGATACAGTTGTGGTTATACCTGCTGTTGTGGTTAGGCTTACAGTTGTAGTTGGTGGAGGAGTCGTGGCTGGAGTAACTGTTGTTAGTGCCCCAGTTGTGGTTGGGGCAACAGTTGTTGGTGCCGCAGATGTGCTTGGACCAGCTGTTGTTGTTTGGCCAGGAGTTGTAGTTGGTGGAGGAGTCGTGGTTGGTGCAACAGTTGTTAGTGCACCAGTTGTGGTTGGAGCAACAGTTGTTGGAGCAACAGTTGTTGGTGCCGCAGATGTGCTTGGACCAGCTGTTGTGGTTTGTCCAGGAGTTGTTGTTGGAGGAGTCGTGGTTGGAGTAGCAGTTGTTAGTGCAGCAGTTGTGGGTGGAGTAACAGTTGTTGTTGCCGCAGATGTGCTTGGACCAGCTGTTGTGGTTTGGCCAGGAGTTGTTGGTGGAGTTGTGGATGGAGCACCAGTTGTTGGTGATACAGTTGTGGTTATACCTGCTGTTGTGGTTAGGCTTACAGTTGTAGTTGGTGGAGGATTCGTGGCTGGAGTAGCTGTTGTTAGTGCGCCAGTTGTGGTTGGGGCAACAGTTGTTGGTGCCGCAGATGTGCTTGTACCAGCTGTTGTGGTTTGGCCAGGAGTTGTTGGTGGAGGAGTCGTTGTTGGAGTAGCAGTTGTTAGTGCAGCAGTTGTTGTTGGGGCAACAGTTGTTGGTGCTGCAGATGTGCTTGGACCAGCTGTTGTGGTTTGGCCAGGAGTTGTAGTTGGTGGAGGAGTCGTGGTTGGAGCAACAGTTGTTAGTGCACCAGTTGTGGTTGGAGCAACAGTTGTTGGTGCCGCAGATGTGCTTGGACCAGCTGTTGTGGTTTGGCCAGGAGTTGTTGGTGGAGGAGTCGTGGTTGGAGCAACAGTTGTTAGTGTAGCAGTTGTGGGTGGAGCAACAGTTGTTGGTCCCGCAGTTGTGCTTGGAATAGCTGTTGTGGTTTGGCTAGGAGTTGTAGTTGGTGGAGGAGTAGTGGTTGGACTAACTGTTGTTAGTGCGCCAGTTGTGGTTGGAGCAACAGTTGTTGGTGCCGCAGATGTGCTTGTACCAGCTGTTGTGGTTTGGCCAGGAGTTGTTGGTGGAGTTGTGGATGGAGCACCAGTTGTTGGTGATACAGTTGTGGTTATACCTGCTGTTGTGGTTAGGCTTACAGTTGTAGTTGGTGGAGGAGTCGTGGCTGGAGTAACTGTTGTTAGTGTGCCAGTTGTGGTTGGGGCAACAGTTGTTGGTGCCGCAGATGTGCTTGGACCAGCTGTTGTGGTTTGGCCAGGAGTTGTCGTTGGTGGAGGAGTCGTGGTTGGAGCAACAGTTGTTAGTGCACCAGTTGTGGTTGGAGCAACAGTTGTTGGTGCCGCAGATGTGCTTGGACCAGCTGTTGTGGTTTGGCCAGAAGTTGTGGGTGGAGGAGTCGTGGTTGGAGTAGCAGTTGTTAGTGCAGCAGTTGTGGGTGGAGCAACAGTTGTTGGTCCCGCAGTTGTGCTTGGAATAGCTGTTGTGGTTTGGCTAGGAGTTGTAGTTGGTGGAGGACTAGTGGTTGGAGTAACAGTTGTTAGTGTGCCAGTTGTGGTTGGAGCAACAGTTGTTGGTGCCACAGATGTGCTTGGACCAGCTGTTGTGGTTTGGCCAGGAGTTGTAGTTGGTGGAGTTGTGGATGGAGCACCAGTTGTTGGTGATCCAGTTGTGGTTATACCTGCTGTTGTGGTTAGGCTTACAGTTGTAGTTGGTGGAGGAGTCGTGGCTGGAGTAACTGTTGTTAGTGCGCCAGTTGTGGTTGGGGCAACAGTTGTTGGTGCCGCAGATGTGCTTGGGCCAGCTGTTGTGGTTTGGCCAGGAGTTGTAGTTGGTGGAGGAGTCGTGGTTGGAGCAACAGTTGTTAATGCACCAGTTGTGGTTGGAGCAACAGTTGTTGGAGCAACAGTTGTTGGTGCCGCAGATGTGCTTGGACCAGCTGTTGTGGTTTGTCCAGGAGTTGTTGGTGGAGGAGTCGTGGTTGGAGTAGCAGTTGTTAGTGCAACAGTTGTGGGTGGAGCAACAGTTGTTGGTCCCGCAGTTGTGCTTGGAATAGCTGTTGTGGTTTGGCTAGGAGTTGTAGTTGGTGGAGGAGTAGTGGTTGGACTAACAGTTGTTAGTGCGCCAGTTGTGGTTGATTCAACAGTTGTTGGTGCCGCAGATGTGCTTGGACCAGCTGTTGTGGTTTGGCCAGGAGTTGTTGGTGGAGTTGTGGATGGAGCACCAGTTGTTGGTGATACAGTTGTGGTTATAACTGCTGTTGTGGTTAAGCTTACAGTTGTAGTTGGTGGAGGCGTCGTGGCTGGAGTAACTGTTGTTAGTGCACCAGTTGTGGTTGGGGCAACAGTTGTGGGTGCTGCAGATGTGCTTGGACCAGCTGTTGTGGTTTGGCCATGAGTTGTAGTTGGTGGAGGAGTCGTGGTTGGGGCAACAGTTGTTAGTGCACCAGTTGTGGTTGGAGCAAAAGTTGTTGGAGCAACAGTTGTTGGTGCCGCAGATGTGCTTGGACCAGCTGTTGTGGTTTGGCCAGGAGTTGTTGGTGGAGGAGTCGTGGTTGGAGTAGCAGTTGTTAGTGCAGCAGTTGTGGGTGGAGCAACAGTTGTTGGTCCCGCAGTTGTGCTTGGAATAGCTGTTGTGGTTTGGCTAGGAGTTGTAGTTGGTGGAGCAGTAGTGGTTGGACTAACTGTTGTTAGTGCGCCAGTTGTGGTTGGAGCAACAGTTGTTGGTGCCGCAGATGTGCTTGGACCAGCTGTTGTGGTTTGGCCAGGAGTTGTTGGTGGAGTTGTGGATGGAGCACCAGTTGTTGGTGATACAGTTGTGGTTATACCTGCTGTTGTGGTTAGGCTTACAGTTGTAGTTGGTGGAGTAGTCGTGGCTGGAGTAACTGTTGTTAGTGCCCCAGTTGTGGTTGGGGCAACAGTTGTTGGTGCCGCAGATGTGCTTGGACCAGCTGTTGTTGTTTGGCCAGGAGTTGTAGTTGGTGGAGGAGTCGTGGTTGGAGCAACAGTTGTTAGTGCACCAGTTGTGGTTGGAGCAACAGTTGTTGGAGCAACAGTTGTTGGTGCCGCAGATGTGCTTGGACCAGCTGTTGTGGTTTGTCCAGGAGTTGTTGGTGGAGGAGTCGTGGTTGGAGTAGCAGTTGTTAGTGCAGCAGTTGTGGGTGGAGTAACAGTTGTTGTTGCCGCAGATGTGCTTGGACCAGCTGTTGTGGTTTGGCCAGGAGTTGTTGGTGGAGTTGTGGATGGAGCACCAGTTGTTGGTGATACAGTTGTGGTTATACCTGCTGTTGTGGTTAGGCTTACAGTTGTAGTTGGTGGAGGATTCGTGGCTGGAGTAACTGTTGTTAGTGTGCCAGTTGTGGTTGGGGCAACAGTTGTTGGTGCCGCAGATGTGCTTGGACCAGCTGTTGTGGTTTGGCCAGGAGTTGTTGGTGGAGGAGTCGTTGTTGGAGTAACAGTTGTTAGTGCAGCAGTTGTTGTTGGGGCAACAGTTGTTGGTGCTGCAGATGTGCTTGGACCAGCTGTTGTGGTTTGGCCAGGAGTTGTAGTTGGTGGAGGAGTCGTAGTTGGAGCAACAGTTGTTAGTGCACCAGTTGTGGTTGGAGCAACAGTTGTTGGTGCCGCAGTTGAGCTTGGACCAGCTGTTGTGGTTTGGCCAGGAGTTGTTGGTGGTGGAGGAGTCGTGGTTGGAGCAACAGTTGTTAGTGCACCAGTTGTGGTTGGAGCAACAGTTGTTGCTGCCGCAGATGTGCTTGGACCAGCTGTTGTGGTTTGGCCAGGAGTTGTTGGTGGAGTTGTGGATGGAGCACCAGTTGTTGGTGAACCAGTTGTGGTTAGACCCGCTGTTGTGGTTAGGCTTAGTGTTGTAGTTGGTGTAGGAGTCGTGGCTGGAGTAATAGAAGTTGGTGCTGGAGTTGTGGAGGGTACTGCGGTGGTTATTACCAAACCTGTGGTTGGAGCAACAGTTGTTGATGCTGCAGTTGTTGGATTAGCCGTTGCGGTTAGGCCAGGAGTTGTAGTTGGCGCAGCAGATGTTGTTGGAGCAACAGTCGTTGGTGTAGCAGTTGTGCTTGAATAAACAGCTGTGGTTGGTGCAGCAGTTGTGGAAAGTTCAGCAGTTGTTAATGCAGCAGTTGTGGTTGGAGGAACAGTTGGTGATCCAGTTGTTGTTAGACCTGCTGTTGTGGTTAGGCCAGGAGTTGTTGGTGGAGGAGTCGTGTTTGGAGTAGCAGTTGTTTGTGTAGCAGTTGTGGTTGGAGCAACAGTTGTTGGTGCCACAGTTGTGCTTGGATTAGCTGTTGTCGTTTGGCCAGGAGTTGTTGGTGGAGGAGTCGTTGTTGGAGCAACAGTTGTTGGTGATCCAGTTGTCGTTGGACCTGCTGTTGTGGTTAGGCCAGCAGTTGTTGTTGGTGTAGCAGTTGTGCTTGGAGCAACCGTTGTTGGTATTGCGGATGTCGTTGTACCTGCTGTTGTGATTCCTGCAGAAGTTGTAGTTTGTGCAGCAGTTGTGGTTGAAGCAACAGTTGTTGGTGCAGCAGTTGTGCTTGGACCAGCTGCTGTGGTTTGGCCAGGAGTTGTAGTTGGCGCAGATGTGGTTGGAGCAACAGTTGTTGGTTTAGCAGTTGTGCTCAGGTAAACAGTTGTGGTTGGTGCAACAGTTGTTGGTATAGCAGTTGTGCTCAGGTAAACAGTTGTGGTTGGTACTGAAGTTGTGGAAGGTGCTGTAGTTGTTGATGCAGCAGCTGTAGTTGGAGATATAGTTGTTGCTGCAGGTGAGCTTGGAAAATTAGTTGTTGGAGCTGCAGTTGTCGTTGAAGCAACAGTTGTGGATGGTGCTAACGTTGTCACTACAGTTGATGGTGGACCAATGGTTGTGGTTTGTGCCACTGTTGAAGTCAGTGCTGCAAGAGTGGTTGTTCCTACCGTTGTGATTGGTGCTGTAGTTGTGATTGGTGCTGCTGTTGTTGATGCTGTGGATGAACTCGGTGATTGTGTTGTTTGTGGAGATGATGTGAATGCTGCAGTTGTTTGTAGTGCAGTTGTTGATGGTGACGTTGTCACCAGTGATCCTGTGAAATCATTAAGATTTTTTGTGAATCATGCAATTAATGGGCATTTAGTTTTATTGCCAGCTTAATTGGTTTGTGTATTTTCTCAAAATCTGTTTCATTTACATTTTCTTCGTGATTTATAATTGCACATTTTTACTAGTTTTTTCGTCGCTAGATTCCAGCATGTTATATATATATAAAATATGTGGCTATTTACAATTAAATTCAGTGCCAGATTTGTGTTTCATTACTGGAATTTTTTACCTGTAATCGTTGAATTTCCAAAAGTATTCGCTGTATTCAGCAATGAGGTGTATTTTTGGAAATATCAATCATTGGTCGATTTAATGTGCTGTCCATCACTTACCTGCCCAATAACATCACCTTTTGAAAGCCAAATCAATCACATACATTATGATCCTTAAATTCAATGCTTTGGCAATAGTTAAGTCTCAATCATCTAAACCAGTGTTTAACAACACAAGCAAACCAGTGGTTCTAAACCAGTGATTCTAAACCAGTGTTTAACGACACAAGCAAACCAGTGGTTCTAAACCAGTGATTCTAAACCAATGTTTAACGACACAAGCAAACCAGTGGTTCGAAACCAGTGGTTTTAAACCAGTGTTTAACAACACAAGCAAACCATTGGTTCTAAACCAGTGTTTAACAACACAAGCAAACCAGTGGTTCTAAACCAGTGGTTCTAAACCAGTGTTTAACGACACAAATAGAGTGTTTGCAAGTAAAGCAATTGCTCTAAACCAGTGGTTCTAAACCAGTGGTTCTAAATCAGAGGTTAACGACACAAGTAAAGCAGTTGCTCTAAACCATTGGTTCTAAAGCAGTGATTCTCTAAACAAGTGCTCTAAACCAGTGGTTTGCGTTAGACCAGTGGTTCTTAACCTGGGGTGCAAGCACACCCCTTGGGGATGCGAGATTTCCTTTCTGGGGGTGCGAGACACGCCAGATTTTTTTCGAAGGCAAATCACCAAAACACAAATTAAACCTTTGCATTTATTAACTTAACATTTTTAACGATTGAGAGTCAAAGGGCTGCAAGGCTGCACTAAAGGTAAAGAAGCACGCCACAACATCGGACATCTTGACTCCCACGCTATATAAGTAAACACGACATATTTTCTCCATATGGTGGTCACCAATACACTCCAGCTCAGATACATTTGAACTCAATCCCTGTGCCAGTAGAGTATTCACAAACTTCTTCATCATTTCATGAACTATATAATGTAGGCAAACAATGAATATGTTATTTATGCCATCATTTGCATGTTAATATCTGTGTTTTTGTTTTATATGGGCAATGCCACCCTTCCCCGCGCCCCCCACTTACATTGCGCCAGATCATTGAGAGTCAACGAAACAATGCTGTTCATTCGGAGTTCATGCAATGTTAACACACAACAAATGCAAGTCAAAATATTTGGGTATTTTGCACCGGAAATGATTGTACCTTTGCGATGCATGCATTCTTTGGACGATATAACCTATTTAGAGCAAATATAAACTATCAATTATTCTGAATTGAAAATTAAAGATGGATACAATTAAATATACACATGAGAACCAAACGGGGCATGTGGGATTATAAGTTACAATGAGATACCATGTTCTTTGTGTTATAAAATTATCTCTTTGCCTCTATTTCAGAAAGCAAAAGTGGTGGGAGAATCGTATAATATGCTAGGTTGGTGGTGTGTGTGTATAACTTAATAAATATTGGACGAAGGTTTGTGGTGCATCTTATAATCTGCAGAATACTGGAAATAAATGTAAATTGCTGTACATTTAAAAATGTCCTTCACAGTGTAGGATTTACAATTTTTAAACACTGCAAGCAAAAAGTTTACGCGAAAGGTAAATCAAAACTTACCCGGTGTTGTGGATGGAGCTTGAGTTGTGGTTGTTGCAGCAGTTGTGGTTGCAGCTGGGATTGTGGTTGCAGCTGGAGTTGTGGTTGCAGCTGGGGTTGTTACCACTGGAGGTGTGGTTGCTGCGGGAGTCGTGGTTGCTGCTGGAGTTGTGGTTGTTGCTGGAGTTGTTGTTGCTGCTGGAGTTGTGGTTGCAGCTGGAGTTGTGGTTGCTGCTGGAGTAGTTGCTGCTGAAGTTGTGGTTGGTGCTGGAGTTGTGGATGGTGCTGGAGTTGTGGTTGGTGCTGGAGTTGTGGATGGTGCTGGAGTTGTGGTTGGTGCTGGAGTTGTGGTTGGTGCTAGAGTTGTTCCTCCTGGAGCTGTGGTTAGTGCTGGAGTTGTGGTTGGTGCTGGAGTTGTGGTTGGTGCTGGAGTTGTGGTTGCTGCTGGAGTTGTGGTTGGTGCTAGAGTTGTTCCTCCTGGAGCTGTGGTTAGTGCTGGAGTTGTGGTTGGTGCTGGAGTTGTGGTTGGTGCTGGAGTTGTGGTTGGTGCTGGAGTAGTTGTTGCTGCTGGAGTTGTGGTTGGTGCTGGAGTTGTGGTTGCTGCTGGTGTTGTGGTTGCTGCTGGAGTTGTGGTTGGTGCTGGAGTTGTGGTTGGTGCTGGAGTCGTGGTTGCAGCTGGAGTTGTGGTTGCTGCTGGTGTTGTGGTTGGTGCTGGAGTTGTGGTTGGTGCTGGAGTTGTGGTCAGTGATGGAGTTGTGGTTGCCACTGGAGTTGTGGTTGGTGCTGGAATTGTGGTTGGTGCTGGAGTTGTGGTTGGTGCAGGAGTTGTGGTTGGTGCAGGAGTTGTGGTTGGTGCTGGAGTTGTGGTTGGTGCAGGAGTTGTGGTTGGTACAGGAGTTGTGGTTGCTGCTGCAGTCGTGGTTGCTGCTGCAGTTGTGGTTGGTGCTGGAGTTGTGGTTGGTGCTGGAGTTGTGGTTGGTGCTGGAGTTGTGGTTGGTGCTGGAGTTGTGGTTGCTGCTGGAGTTGTGGTTGCTGCTGGAGTTGTGGTTGCTGCTGGAGTTGTGGTTGCTGCTGGAGTTGTGGTTGGTGCTGGAGTTGTGGTTGGTGTTGGAGTTGTGGTTGGTGCTGGAGTTGTGGTTGGTGCTGGAGTTGTGGTTGGTGATGGAGTTGTGGTTGGTGCTGGAGTTGTGGTTGGTGCAGGAGTTGTGGTTGGTGCTGGAGTTGTGGTTGGTGCTGGAGTTGTGGTTGCGGCTGGAGTTGTGGTTGGTGTTGGAGTTGTGGTTGGTGCAGGAGTTGTGGTTGGTGCTGGAGTTGTGGTTACTGATGGAGTTGTGGTTTCTACAGGAGTTGTGATTGCGGCTGGAGTTGTGGTTGGTCCTGGAGTTGTGGTTGCTGCTGGAGTTGTGGTTGCTGCTGGAGTTGTGGTGGCAGCTGGAGTTGTGGTTGGTGCTGGAGTTGTGTTTGGTGCTGGAGTTGTGGTTGGGGCAGGAGTTGTGGTTGGTGCTGGAGTTGTGGTTGGTGCTGGAGTTGTGGATGGTGCTGGAGTTGTGGTTGCTCCTGGAGTTGTCGTTGCTGCTGGAGTTGTGGTTGCTGCTGGTGTTGTGGTTGTTGCTGGAGTTGTGGTTGGTGCGGGAGTTGTGGTTGCTGCTGGAGTTGTGGTTGGTGTTGGAGTTGTGGTTGGTGCTGGAGTTGTGGTTGGTGCTGGAGTTGTGGTTGCTGCTGCAGTTGTGGTGACAGCTGGAGTTGTGGTTGCTGCTGGAGTTGTGGTTGGTGTTGGAGTTGTGGTTGGTGCTGGAGTTGTGGTTGGTGCTGGAGTTGTGGTTGCTGCTGCAGTTGTGGTGACAGCTGGAGTTGTGGTTGCTGCTGGAGTTGTGGTTGGTGCTAGAGTTGTGGTTGCAGCTGGAGTTGTGGTTGGTGCTGGAGTTGTGGTTGCGGCTGGAGTTGTGGTTGGTGCTGGAGTTGTGGTGGTTGCTGGAGTTGTGGTTGCTGCTGGAGTTGTGGTTGGTGCTGGAGTTGTGGTTGCAGCTGGAGTTGTGGTTGGTGCTGGAGTTGTGGTTGCTGCTGGAGTTGTGGTTGCTGCTGGAGTTGTGGTTGCTGCTGGAGTTGTGGTTGCTGCTGGAGTTGTGGTTGGTGTTGGAGTTGTGGTTGGTTCTGGAGTTGTGGTTGCTGCTGGAGTTGTGGTTGCTGCTGGAGTTGTGGTTGCTGCTGGAGTTGTGGTTGCTGCTGGAGTTGTGGTTGCTGCTGGAGTTGTGGTTGGTGTTGGAGTTGTGGTTGGTGCTGGAGTTGTGGTTGGTGCTGGAGTTGTGGTTGGTGATGGAGTTGTGGTTGGTGCTGGAGTTGTGGTTGGTGTTGGAGTTGTGGTTGGTGCTGGAGTTGTGGTTGGTGCTGGAGTTGTGGTTGGTGTTGGAGTTGGGGTTGGTGCAGGAGTTGTGGTTGGTGCTGGAGTTATGGTTACTGATGGAGTTGTGGTTGCTGCAGGAGTTGTGATTGTGGCTGGAGTTGTGGTTGGTCCTGGAGTTGTGGTTGCTGCTGGAGTTGTGGTTGCTGCTGGAGTTGTGGTGGCAACTGGAGTTGTGGTTGGTGCTGGAGTTGTGTTTGGTGCTGGAGTTGTGGTTGGGGCAGGAGTTGTGGTTGGTGCTGGAGTTGTGGTTGGTGCTGGAGTTGTGGTTGGTGCTGGAGTTGTGGTTGCTCCTGCAGTTGTCGTTGCTGCTGGAGTTGTGGTTGCTGCTGGTGTTGTGGTTGCTGCTGGAGTTGTGGTTGGTGCTGGAGTTGTGGTTGCTGCGGGAGTTGTGGTTGGTGTTGGAGTTGTGGTTGGTGCTGGAGTTGTGGTTGGTGCTGGAGTTGTGGTTGCTGCTGCAGTTGTGGTGACAGCTGGAGTTGTGGTTGCTGCTGGAGTTGTGGTTGGTGTTGGAGTTGTGGTTGGTGCTGGAGTTGTGGTTGGTGCTGGAGTTGTGGTTGCTGCTGCAGTTGTGGTGACAGCTGGAGTTGTGGTTGGGGCTGGAGTTGTGGTTGGGGCTGGAGTTGTGGTTGGTGCAGGAGTTGTGGTTGGGGCTGGAGTTGTGGTTGCTGCTGGAGTTGTGGTTGCTGCTGGAGTTGTGGTTGCTGCTGGAGTTGTAGTTGCTGCTGGAGTTGTGGTTGCTGCTGGAGTTGTGGTTGCTGCTGGAGTTGTAGTTGCTGCTGGAGTTGTGGTTGGTGCTGGAGTTGTGGTTGCTGCTGGAGTTGTTGGTGCTGCAGTTGTGGTTGGTGCTGGAGTTGTGGTTGGTGCTGGAGTTGTGGTTGATGCAGGAATTGTGGTTGGTGCTGGAGTTGTGGTTGGTGCCGGAGTTGTGGTTGGTGCAGGAGTTGTGGTTGCTGCTGGAGTTGTGGTTGGTGCCGGAGTTGTGGTTGGTGCTGGAGTTGTGGTTGGTACTGGAGTTGTGGTTGGTGCTGGAGTTGTGGTTGGTGCCGGAGTTGTGGTTGGTGCAGGAGTTGTGGTTGCTGCTGGAGTTGTGGTTGGTGCCGGAGTTGTGGTTGGTGCCGGAGTTGTGGTTGGTGCTGGAGTTGTGGTTGGTGCTGGAGTTGTGGTGGCAGCTGGAGTTGTGGTTGCTGCTGGAGTTGTGGTTGGTGCAGCAGTTGTGGTTGCTGCTGGAGTTGTTGTTGGTGCTGGAGTTGTGGTTGCTGCTGCAGTAGTGGTTGGTGCTGGAGTTGTGGTTGGTGCTGGAGTTGTGGTTGCAGCTGGAGTTGTGGTTGGTGCTGGAGTTGTGGTTGGTGCTGGAGTTGTGGTTGCTGCTGGAGTTGTTGTTGGTGCTGGAGTTGTGGTTGGTGCTGGAGTTGTGGTTGGTGCTGGAGTTGTGGTTGTTGCTGGAGTTGTGGTTTGTGCTGCAGTAGTGGTTGCTGCACCAGTAGTGGTTGGTGCTGGAGTTGTGGTTGGTGCTGTAGTTGTGGTTGCAGCTGGAGTTGTCGTTGGTGCTGAAGTTGTGGTTGGTGCTGGAGTTGTGTTTGGTGCTGGAGTTGTGGTTGCCACTGGAGTTGTGGTTGTTGCAGCAGTTGTGGTAGCAGCTGGAGTTGTGGTTGGTGCTGGAGTTGTGGTTGGTGCTGGAGTTGTGGTTATTGCTGGAGTTGTGGTTGGTGCTGGAGTTGTAGTTGCTGCTGGAGTTGTGGTTGCCGCTGCAGTTGTGGTTGGTGCTGGAGTTGTGGTTGGTGCTGGAGTTGTGGTTGCTGCTAGAGTTGTGGTTGGTGCTGGAGTTGTGGTTGCTGCTGGAGTTGTGGTTGCTGCTGGAGTTGTGGTTGCTGCTGGAGTTGTGGTTGCTGCTGGAGTTGTGGTTGCTGCTGGAGTTGTGGTTGGTGTTGGAGTTGTGGTTGGTGCTGGAGTTGTGGTTGCTGCTGGAGTTGTGGTTGCTGCTGGAGTTGTGGTTGCTGCTGGAGTTGTGGTTGCTGCTGGAGTTGTGGTTGCTGCTGGAGTTGTGGTTGGTGCTGGAGTTGTGGTTGGTGATGGAGTTGTGGTTGGTGCTGGAGTTGTGGTTGGTGTTGGAGTTGTGGTTGGTGCTGGAGTTGTGGTTGGTGCTGGAGTTGTGGTTGGTGATGGAGTTGTGGTTGGTGCTGGAGTTGTGGTTGCGGCTGGGGTTGTGGTTGGTGTTGGAGTTGTGGTTGGTGCAGGAGTTGTGGTTGGTGCTGGAGTTATGGTTACTGATGGAGTTGTGGTTGCTGCAGGAGTTGTGATTGCGGCTGGAGTTGTGGTTGGTCCTGGAGTTGTGGTTGCTGCTGGAGTTGTGGTTGCTGCTAGAGTTGTGGTGGCAGCTGGAGTTGTGGTAGGTGCTGGAGTTGTGTTTGGTGCTGGAGTTGTGGTTGGGGCAGGAGTTGTGGTTGGTGCTGGAGTTGTGGTTGGTGCTGGAGTTGTGGTTGGTGCTGGAGTTGTGGTTGCTCCTGCAGTTGTCGTTGCTGCTGGAGTTGTGGTTGCTGCTGGTGTTGTGGTTGCTGCTGGAGTTGTGGTTGGTGCTGGAGTTGTGGTTGCTGCGGGAGTTGTGGTTGGTGTTGGAGTTGTGGTTGGTGCTGGAGTTGTGGTTGGTGCTGGAGTTGTGGTTGCTGCTGCAGTTGTGGGGACAGCTGGAGTTGTGGTTGCTGCTGGAGTTGTGGTTGGTGTTGGAGTTGTGGTTGGTGCTGGAGTTGTGGTTGGTGCTGGAGTTGTGGTTGCTGCTGCAGTTGTGGTGACAGCTGGAGTTGTGGTTGCTGCTGAAGTTGTGGTTGCTGCTGGAGTTGTAGTTGCTGCTGGATTTGTGGTTGGTGCTGGAGTTGTGGTTGCTGCTGGAGTTGTAGTTGCTGCTGGAGTTGTGGGGACAGCTGGAGTTGTGGTTGCTGCTGGAGTTGTGGTTGCTGCTGGAGTTGTGGTTGGTGCCGGAGTTGTGGTTGGTGCTGGAGTTGTGGTTGGTACTGGAGTTGTGGTTGGTGCTGGAGTTGTGGTTGGTGCCGGAGTTGTGGTTGGTGCAGGAGTTGTGGTTGCTGCTGGAGTTGTGGTTGGTGCCTGAGTTGTGGTTGGTGCCGGAGTTGTGGTTGGTGCTGGAGTTGTGGTTGGTGCTGGAGTTGTGGTGGCAGCTGGAGTTGTGGTTGCTGCTGGAGTTGTGGTTGGTGCAGCAGTTGTGGTTGCTGCTGGAGTTGTTGTTGGTGCTGGAGTTGTGGTTGCTGCTGCAGTAGTGGTTGGTGCTGGAGTTGTGGTTGGTGCTGGAGTTGTGGTTGCAGCTGGAGTTGTGGTTGGTGCTGGAGTTGTGGTTGGTGCTGGAGTTGTGGTTGCTGCTGGAGTTGTGGTTGGTGCTGGAGTTGTGGTTGGTGCTGGAGTTGTGGTTTGTGCTGCAGTAGTGGTTGGTGCTGCAGTAGTGGTTGCTGCAGCAGTAGTGGTTGGTGCTGGAGTTGTGGTTGGTGCTGTAGTTGTGGTTGCAGCTGGAGTTGTCGTTGGTGCTGGAGTTGTGGTTGGTGCTGGAGTTGTGTTTGGTGCTGGAGTTGTGGTTGCCACTGGAGTTGTGGTTGTTGCAGCAGTTGTGGTAGCAGCTGGAGTTGTGGTTGGTGCTGGAGTTGTGGTTGGTGCTGGAGTTGTGGTTATTGCTGGAGTTGTGGTTGGTGCTGGAGTTGTGGTTGCTGCTGGAGTTGTGGTTGGTGCAGCAGTTGTGGTTGCTGCTGGAGTTGTTGTTGGTGCTGGAGTTGTGGTTGCTGCTGCAGTAGTGGTTGGTGCTGGAGTTGTGGTTGGTGCTGGAGTTGTGGTTGCAGCTGGAGTTGTGGTTGGTGCTGGAGTTGTGGTTGGTGCTGGAGTTGTGGTTGCTGCTGGAGTTGTGGTTGGTGCTGGAGTTGTGGTTGGTGCTGGAGTTGTGGTTGGTGCTGGAGTTGTGGTTGGTGCTGGAGTTGTGGTTGGTGCTGGAGTTGTGGTTGGTGCTGGAGTTGTGGTTGGTGCTGCAGTTGTGGTTGGTGCAGGAGTTGTGGTTGGTGCTGGAGTTGTGGTTGGTGCAGGTGTTGTGGTTGGTGCTGGAGTTGTGGTTGGGGCTGGAGTTGTGGTTGGCACTAGAGTTGTGGTTGCAGGTGGAGTTGTAGTTGGTGTTGGAGTTGTGGTTGGTGCTGGAGTTGTGGTTGGTGCTGGAGTTGTGGTTGCTGCTGGAGTTGTGGTTGGTGCAGCAGTTGTGGTGGAAGCTGGAGTTGTGGTTAGTGCTGGAGTTGTGGTTGGTGCTGGAGTTGTGGTTGGTGCTGGAGTTGTGGTTGCTGATGGAGTTGTGGTTGGTGCTGGAGTTGTGGTTGCTGCTGGAGTTGTGGTTGGTGTTGGAGTTGTCGTTGGTGCAGGAGTTGTGGTTGGTGCAGGAGTTGTGGTTGGTGCAGGAGTTGTGGTTGGTGCTGGAGTTGTGGTTGGTGCTGGAGTTGTGGTCAGTGATGGAGTTGTGGTTGCCGCTGGAGTTGTGGTTGCTGCTGGAGTTGTGGTTGGTGCTGGAGTTGTGGTTGGTGCTACAGTTGTGGTTGCTGCTGGAGTTGTGGTTGGTGCCGGAGTTGTAGTTGGTGCTGGAGTTGTGGTTGGTGCTGGAGTTGTGGTTGCAGCTGGAGTTGTGGTTGGTGCTGGAGTTGTGGTTGCTGCTGGAGTTGTGGTTGCTGCTGGAGTTGTGGTTGGTGCTGGAGTTGTGGTTGGTGCAGGAGTTGTGGTTAATGCTGGAGTTGTGGTTGGTGCTGGAGTTGTGGTTGGTCCTGGAGTTGTGGTTGGTGCTGGAGTTGTGGTTGGTGCTGGAGTTGTGGTTGCAGCTGGAGTTGTGGTTGGTGCTGGAGTTGTGGTTGGTGCTGGAGTTGTGGTTTGTGCTGGAGTTGTGGTTGGTGCTGGAGTTGTGGTTGGTGCTGCAGTAGTGGTTGCTGCAGCAGTAGTGGTTGGTGCTGTAGTTGTGGTTGCAGCTGGAGTTGTGGTTGGTGCTGGAGTTGTGGTTGGTGCTGGAGTTGTGGTTAGTGCTGGAGTTGTGGTTGCCACTGGAGTTGTGGTTGGTGCAGCAGTTGTGGTTGCAGCTGGAGTTGTGGTTGGTGCTGTAGTTGTGGTTGGTGCTGGAGTTGTAGTTGGTGCAGCAGTTGTGGTTGCTGCTGGAGTTGTTGTTGGTGCTGGAGTTGTGGTTGGTGCTGGAGTTGTGGTTGGTGCTGGAGTTGTAGTTGGTGCTGCAGTTGTGGTTGCTGCTGGAGTTGTTGTTGGTGCTGGAGTTGTGGTTGTGCTGGAGTTGTGGTTGGTGCTACAGTTGTGGTTGCTGCTGGAGTTGTGGTTGGTGCCGGAGTTGTAGTTGGTGCTGGAGTTGTGGTTGGTGCCGGCGTTGTGGTTGGTGCTGGAGTTGTGGTTGGTGCAGGAGTTGTGGTTGCTGCTGGAGTTGTGGTTGGTGCTGGAGTTGTGGTTGGTGCTGGAGTTGTGGTTGGTGCCGGCGTTGTGGTTGGTGCAGGAGTTGTGGTTGCTGCTGGAGTTGTGGTTGGTGCTGGAGTTGTGGTTGGTGCCGGAGTTGTGGTTGGTGCTGGAGTTGTGGTTGGTGCTGGAGTTGTGGTTGGTGCTGGAGTTGTAGTTGGTGCAGCAGTTGTGGTTGCTGCTGGAGTTGTTGGTGCTGGAGTTGTGGTTGGTGCTGGAGTTGTGGTTGGTGCTGGAGTTGTAGTTGGTGCTGCAGTTGTGGTTGCTGCTGGAGTTGTTGTTGGTGCTGGAGTTGTGGTTGCTGCTGGAGTTGTGGTTGGTGCTACAGTTGTGGTTGCTGCTGGAGTTGTGGTTGGTGCTGGAGTTGTGTTTGGTGCTGGAGTTGTGGTTGCCACTGGAGTTGTGGTTGTTGCAGCAGTTGTGGTAGCAGCTGGAGTTGTGGTTGGTGCTGGAGTTGTGGTTGGTGCTGGAGTTGTGGTTATTGCTGGAGTTGTGGTTGGTGCTGGAGTTGTGGTTGCTGCTGGAGTTGTGGTTGGTGCAGCAGTTGTGGTTGCTGCTGGAGTTGTTGTTGGTGCTGGAGTTGTGGTTGCTGCTGCAGTAGTGGTTGGTGCTGGAGTTGTGGTTGGTGCTGGAGTTGTGGTTGCAGCTGGAGTTGTGGTTGGTGCTGGAGTTGTGGTTGGTGCTGGAGTTGTGGTTGCTGCTGGAGTTGTGGTTGGTGCTGGAGTTGTGGTTGGTGCTGGAGTTGTGGTTGGTGCTGGAGTTGTGGTTGGTGCTGGAGTTGTGGTTGGTGCTGGAGTTGTGGTTGGTGCTGGAGTTGTGGTTGGTGCTGGAGTTGTGGTTGGTGCTGGAGTTGTGGTTTGTGCTGCAGTAGTGGTTGGTGCTGCAGTTGTGGTTGGTGCAGGAGTTGTGGTTGGTGCTGGAGTTGTGGTTGGTGCAGGAGTTGTGGTTGGTGCTGGAGTTGTGGTTGGGGCTGGAGTTGTGGTTGGCACTAGAGTTGTGGTTGCAGGTGGAGTTGTAGTTGGTGTTGGAGTTGTGGTTGGTGCTGGAGTTGTGGTTGGTGCTGGAGTTGTGGTTGCTGCTGGAGTTGTGGTTGGTGCAGCAGTTGTGGTGGAAGCTGGAGTTGTGGTTGGTGCTGGAGTTGTGGTTGGTGCTGGAGTTGTGGTTGGTGCTGGAGTTGTGGTTGCTGATGGAGTTGTGGTTGGTGCTGGAGTTGTGGTTGCTGCTGGAGTTGTGGTTGGTGTTGGAGTTGTCGTTGGTGCAGGAGTTGTGGTTGGTGCAGGAGTTGTGGTTGGTGCAGGAGTTGTGGTTGGTGCTGGAGTTGTGGTTGGTGCTGGAGTTGTGGTCAGTGATGGAGTTGTGGTTGCCGCTGGAGTTGTGGTTGCTGCTGGAGTTGTGGTTGGTGCTGGAGTTGTGGTTGGTG